CGGCTGCGAACACTTCCAGTTCGTCTGTCTTGATGCTGGTGCAGGTGGCGAAGAAGAAGGGGAAACTGGTGCTGCAACTGGTCTTCAACTTCAAGATCTACGCGGACACACCGACGCTGAACATCGTGGACTCGGTTTGGCTCGACGCTGGCTTGTCTGTGAACCAGGTTTCGAGCTTGAAGTACGAAATCACCGAAAGTGTAAACAACGCGGGGATCCAAGGGGTCCAGGTGGGGCAGATTTCCTCGGTTGCGGCCCCCACGACGAGCACAACGTATGACAGTGGACAACTCCCCCTCCCTCTCATTTCTCATGCGAAATACCCAATCCACTCTTTGCCTCCTGGCACTGTTTGCGTGACAAGTTCTGGCAGCCCAAAGAGGACTACACTCCATTGCCAACCTGTCATGCAAAGCCGGCATTCTTGCTGATGCTTGTATTGCCGTTCATGCAATACAAATGAGGGGGAGCAGGGGGATTAGTTGTGCACTGTCATACAACGAGCACGAGTACGACAAGTACCACGAGCACCACAACGACCACAACGGGCTTCCGGATTCGGCAGTTCGACATTGAATTCACCGTGAACTTGACTGTCCATCCGAACAAGGAGGACTTGCTTTCGAACATCAAACTGCTCAAAGCATTATCTGAGGCCAGTGTCTATGCATTGCAAATGTGTCTGGGTCTGGAAGGTTGCAACTTGTGACGCGCATTTCACAATACAGACAAATCTCTCATGCATAGGCAGCAAGAGACGTCCACTTTCTGTTACCAAAGTGGTGAATTTATCATGCGGAGTAAGCAATGCGGAAGCTTCTCGAAATCTGTGATGCTTGAGCTTCTATGACAGACATTCTGTGTCATGCAAAAGCAGCATGACTCTTCCAGACCCAGACATCTTTGCAATGCATAGTGTCAACTACTTGAACGCCAATGGGTTTGACAACAGCACGGGGACGGGAAAGCTGATCAACCAAACGCTGGTGCAGATCGCCAACGCTTCGGCCGCCGCGATGGACCCGTTCTTGCAGACGACGGCAAAATTCGCCATTGTCGGTGACAATCAGACGGTGATGTCTGTCGATGCAGCGTGGTCGCCGGGGGTTCTAAACGTGAACCAGACGAAGGATCTCGTCAACGCGGTGAACGCAACCGTGATTGTCGCGAACATCGCGGGTGTGAAAGTTGGGAAAGTCATTCCAAAAGCGGCCCCGACGACCACGACGACGAGCACCACGCCTGCAGAGACGACGACCACCACTTCGACCACAACAACCACTTTGGGTCTGTACTACCGGCAGTTTGTGATCGACCTGACTATAGACGATAGTATCAACAAGACGGAGCTAGCGTCGGACCCGAATTTGCTGACCGCGTTCAGCCAGGCGAGTTGGGACTTCCTGATCGCGCAGGGCATGACAAATCTCGCCTACGCCCAGATTGAAAAGCAGTCGATCACGATTGTTTCCCAGTCGGGCAACTACACGACGAACACGTCTGCCGTGATTCTGTTGGAGTTATCCACCAAGCGGGTCAGGAGAGAATTTGTGGAAGTGGTTTCCAGCTTCGCGATTCGGGGAGACGCGACGCTGAAGCAGGAGCTGGACACGTACTGGAATCCGGTGACACTTTCTTCGAACGAGACGGATACTTTGCAGCAACTGCTCGATGACGCGGTTTACCTTGCGGGAATTGCGGGCGTGCAAGTAGGACAAATCACCCCGTTGCCCGCGCCGACGACGACCACAACCACGACAACCTCTACGACGACCACCACCACGACGACGACGTTGGCGACAGAGACGAGAATCTTTGACATCGACTTCACGGTCGACCCCGGGGTGGATAAAGCTGCGCTACTGTCGAACAGCTCCGACTTGCCACAGGCGGTGGCGCAGGGTGCGTTGGACTTTCTCACGGCTGCCGGATTTGTGAATTCCACCGGTGGTGCGGCGGAAGCAGCGGGCTTCGAGTTGTTACCGTTGAACAACAGCGCCGCTAGCAGTTCGGCGTACCTGGAGACGCAGGGAACGTTGAAATTGAAGGGAGACCCGACTGCGGTTAGTTCTATCGAAAGCTCCTGGACCGAGCCTCTGTCCGATACACAAACCAAACAGCTCCTTTTATCCTGAGTAAAAACGTACCCACACCAGAGTCAGGATGGGGATTTTGCAACACAAACCTAGGGGTTTTGTGAGTCACGCATGACAAGTTGCAGGCTGTATTGTAGTGCAGTTTAGCAAGGGAAGCCGCATAACAAATCCACCTCCTCATCCTGTTCACAGCATCACAAATTCCAAAACACGATTGGAAATTGCTCTCATGGGGATGCGCATTACAAGTCTTCCTGTCTTTGCAAATCTGCATTACAACTCTGGTGTGGGTACGTTTTTACTCACGATACCTTTCCGCGATCAACGACACTGTGATAGCTTCCAACATTCCTATGGCGATCTCAACTGTTACATTCTCAACTGTTACATGAACTTGTGATGCAAGAACTGGAAAAGTGCAAGGGGGAAGGTTGCACCTGTAGCATTACAAATTCCGCACAGATTTAAGTGCGGTTTGGGCCTTCGCAAATTTGTCATGCGGAGCAGCTTGATCGTGAGGATGATGATGCTGCTTTTGCATGACAAATTCATGTAACAGTTGAGAATGTAACAATTGAGAATCCCATAATTCCTGGCGTGAAAGTCGGCCGGGTGGTGCCCAAAACGACGACCACCACAACGACATCCACCACCACGACCACGACGACTTTCGGTCTGTATCTCCGGCAGTTCGACATGGATTTAACGATCGACGACACCATCATCACCGACCAGAACGCCGTGCTCACCGATCCGGACGTTTTGAATGGGTTGATGACGGGTACGAAAAATTACCTGGTGAACGCGGGTCTAAACATCACGCTCGCGGACATCGAGGACCAGAAGTTAGAGCTCGCCACGAACAGTACCGGCACGCCCTACGTCATGCTTTTGCATTTAGTTGCGAAAGCAAAGAAGGCGCATGCTGGTCGGAGGCAGCAGAAAGGGTTGCTCGAAGTCGTTTCCTCTTTCGGCGTCCGCGGGGACAACGCGACTAGGGACGGATTGAATACCTTGTGGGACCCGAGCGGGTTGTCGGTGAATCAATTACTGATTCTGAAAGACGCTCTGAACACTTCCTTCACGACACTGCAAATCCCGGGAGTTGTCATCGGAAAAATCGCGTCCATGCCGCAGCCGACAACCACAACGACGACCACCACGTCTATCCACAGCAAATTTTGTTCCGCACATGACTTTCCAGGGGCGCTGCTGCACGATCACAGAGCTCCTCTCTAACTCTATTTGGCATGACAAACTATCGGCTTGTTTCCATCGATTGGGACGATTTGTGATGCATTTTGCACATGTGCGGTACAGTTTGTGTTGCATAGCATCGATTGCAAGCAGGACGTTCAACATCGACTTTACGGTGTCAAAGATTTTGATTCCGAATTCCGAAAACATCGTTAACTACCCGACTCTGATGGACGCGTTGTCGCAGGGTGTGGAAAAATACATGGAGGACGCGGGGGTGAATGAAACCTTCGCGGTGGAAAACATGACGCTGAACGTTACTTCTGTCACGAGCGGTGCCATGTCGAACACGGTGGCGACGAAAGCCGACTTCATCTTCGAAGCTGGCTCTGACACCGGTTTCGCCCAGATCGACTCCGTTTGGGCGGCGCAGTCGACCTTCGACCAGAACGAGACGGACAAACTCCTGGACGCCATCAAGCCGGAGGTTGCCGTCGCGGCGAACTGCGCCGGCATCACCGTCGGCTCTGTCGCGCCGGTGCCGCAGCCGACGACCACCACAACCACAACGACGACGACCACCACAACAACCACGACGCTGCCGCTGATTCATCGAGAATTGGACCTGGATTTCACAGTGAAAAACGGCGTCAATATCACCGCTCTGCCGGAAAACGAAAACCTCGTCACTGCGTTATCCCAGGGAACCTGGAGCTTCCTGATTGCGGGGAACATGACAGGATTGCCCTTCGACCAGATCGAAAATGACGAATTCAAAGTGCAGTCGGTGGGGAACACCACCGCGGCAGAGACGATTGTTTCTATCATGTGGCGGTTCGGGGTCCGGTGTGATAGTGCTATGCAAGTCAAATTCGACCAGGCCTGGAACCCGGTGGGGTTGACGGCGAACGAGACGGCCTCTTACACGAAAAGGCTGAACGCGACGGTGTTCAATGCGGGGATTCAGGGCGTGCAAGTGGGGAAGATCACGGCCGTCGCCGTCCCGCCCACAACAAGCACGACCACCACGACCACTATCACGCTTGGGGAGGTCGTTCGGGCGTTTGACTTGGATTTCACGGTGGATTCGAACATCATCAGCGACAAAAACGACTTGCTGACCAACCAGGTCTTGCTCGATGCGCTGGCGAAGGGGTCCGCGGACTTCTTGAACAGCAACAACCTGGTGAACACCAGTGGCCTCGCGGAAATCCGGAACCAAACTTTGACCCTCCGCGCAGGCGCGAGTCAGAGTGGGGACTACCTCGAAACGGTGTCGCAGTTCACCCTAGCGGGGGACAGCGCCACTCTCGGGTCGATGCCGGGCGCTTGGCCAGCGGGGACGCTGACGACCGCGTTGACCGAAGCGCTGCAACAAGCGATCAACGCGACCGTGATTGCGGCGAACATTGCTGGCGTGAAGGTGGGGAAAATCGCGCCGCTACCGGCGCCGACCACGACCACCACGACGACGACGACAAGCACCAGCACCACTACAACGACCACGACCACCACGACAGAAGCGTTAGCCCTCCGCGAGTTCGAGCTGAAGTTAACGGTTGACGACAGCTTGGATATCGACGAAACCTTGAAGAACACCACGTTAGTTACTGCGGTCGCGAAAGGGTCGCTGGCATTCTTGGTGAACGCGGGGATGACGGAATTGAATTTCACCCAGATCGAGAACCAAACGCTGACTTTGAAAACCGCGAATCCATTCTTGCTCCTAGAAAACGGCCACAGGGTTTCGAAGAAGGCCGTCTACGATGTTGTCTCGAAGTTCGGTGTGCGGGGTGACAGCCCAACGCTGACCGCCTTGGACATTGCGTGGGACCCGCAGGGGCTGAACAGTACAGAGTTGACGGATCTTTCCGACCGGATCAAAACCGCGGTTCTTAACGCCGGGGTCTCCGGGGTGCAAGTCGGGGACATCACGCCCCTGCCTGCGCCGACGACCACCACGACCACAACCACGACAACCACCAGTACGACCACGACGACAACCACGATCGGAATCGCTTACCGCGAGTTCGATCTGGACTTCACGGTCGACTCGAACGTGATTGCGGACAAGAACACGCTCTTAACCGACCCGCAATTATTAGACGCGATTTCCGAGGGTAGTTTGGAGTTTATGAAGGCCAACGGGTTGGTGGTCACGACGGCGAACAACGGGTACAGTGCGCAGATCGAAAACCAAACTCTGAGCCTGAATCCGAGTTCCAGCAATACTATCGCTGGCTATCTGGAAACGGTGTCCAAGTTCGGCCTTCGTGGTGGGAACGATTCGATTGCGAGTATGCCGACCGCCTGGCCGGAGCAGACGTTATCGGATGCGCAATTGGAGGAGTTGTCGAAAAAGATCAACGAGTCCATGATCGCCGCCAACATTGCCGGGGTGCAACTCGGCAAGATCGCGCCAAAACCCGCACCGACGACGACAACAACGACGACGACCACCACGTCGACCACCACGACGACCACGACCACTTTCGGCATCGCGGAGAGGATTTTCGATCTCGATTTCACGATCGACTCCGCGCAAATCCCCGACAAGACCGCGCTGTTGACAAACCAAAACCTGATTTACGCGGTAGCGGAGGGTGCTTTGAACTTCATGAAGGCGAACGGCTTCGTCAACACGACAGGGACGGCAACTCTGGAGCACCAGGCCTTAGAGGAAAGAGCAAACAGCACGACCGGGAATGAGTTTTTGGAGACGCAGGCGAGCTTCCGCATCAAGGGCGACAACTACACGATCGACTCCATGCCTACGGCCTGGAACCCGGTGAACTTGACCGATGCTGTATCAAATGCAAATGTGTCTGGGTCTGCGAGATAAATGCGAGACTTGTCATGCTAGTCTGGCATGACTCTGAGCTCTGTATTGCGTGGCCGCAAACAGCTCCTCTGGCCTGGCATGCAAAAACGCAGTTCCTCATGCGGAATACGCAACTCAGAACTACGGAAATAAAACTTGTCATGCTGGGCAGCGCATTACAGTGCGCTTACTGTTTCCTTCCACGCGTCACAAGTTCTTTCCAGACCCAGGCATATTTGCGATGCATATGCGGAATCTGAGTCGTTGACCAACGCGGTGAACGCGTCTGTGATCAACGTCAATATTCCGGGCGTCAAAGTCGGGAAAATCCAGTCCCAGCCCGCGCCATATCCACAGGAAATTTCCCGTACACGTACAAATGCGGTCTCTGCATGACAAAACTTGGCTTCGATCCTCATTTAGCATGACAAGTTTTACGCTCCAAAGTGGTGAAATTTGTGATGCATTTTGTACATGCACGGGAAATTTGTATTGCATACGCCAACGACCACGACGACAAGCACCACGACAACGACCACCACAACCACCGTGACCGAAACCACGACGTCAACCACAACGACGACGCTCGCGGTCTACTACCGCCAGTTTGATCTGACTCTGCAGATTGATACGGCGGTCACAGGTGTCACGGTGGATACGACGCTGCAAAATCAACAGTTAATCGATGCGGTTGCGAAGGGAAGTCTCGACTTCTTGGTCGGCTCCGGAATGTCCGGCTTGACCAGTTCTCAGGTTGAGAACCAAACGCTCACGCAGAAGAACAACACGGGGAACAGCTACACGGTGTTATCGAAGTTCGGCGTCCGGGCGGATTCGAGCACTCTCGCGGCCCTCGATGTCGCGTGGGACGCGAACGGGCTGGACCAGACAGATATCGACACTTTAGAGGATAAGATCAACGCCACGGTGCTTGCTGCGAACATCGCCGGCGTGAAGGTCGGACCGGTCGCGTCTTTGCCGGCGCCAACGACGACCACGACGACGACGACCACCACGACGACGACCACGACGACCACTTTCGGCACTGTGCTCCGGGAATTCGATCTGACGTTCACGGTTGACAGCAGTCTGATTGCAACCAAGAACGATTTCTTAACCGATCAGAATCTGTTGGATGCTGTTATGAAAGGCTCGCTCAAGTTCATGACGGACAATGGATTCGTGAATTCCACCGGCGAGGCGACCGTGGTGGACCAAAAGCTCGAGCTTGCCGCCAGCAACAACGCCACAAGCCAATACCTGGAAACCGTGTCCAAATTCGGCATCAAGGGTCCCCAACCGACGTTGGACAGCATGCCGTCCGCCTGGCCGGCGCAAACGCTGACCGACGCGCAGACCGACGCTCTGGCGACGGCAATCAATGAAACCGTGATCGCGTCGGGGATCAGTGGCGTGAAAGTGGGCAAGATCGCGCCGAAACCAGCGCCGACGACGACCACAACAACCACGACCTCCACGACGACAACCACTCTGGGTCTCGCGTACCGGGAATTTGATCTGGATTTCACGGTGAATTCGACCATTATCAGCAACAAAACTTCTCTGCTGACCAACCAGCCGCTGTTAGATGCCATCCTTGCTGGGTCGCTTTCCTTCATGAAGGGCAATGGATTTGTGAACACGTCTGGTCTCGCCACCGTGTCGCACGAAACCATCACGCTGCACCCGGACAACAACGCCACGGGCGACTACTTGAAGACGATTTCGAAGTTCGAAATTCGCGGGGACAACGACACGATGACGAGCCTCCCTTCTGCCTGGCCGGCGGCGACGTTGACGGATGCGCAGGTGGACGAGTTGCAGATGGCGATCAACACGAGCATGTTGTCCGCCAACATCCCCGGCGTGAAATTGGGGGAAATCGCACCGAAACCCGCACCGACGACGAGTACCACGACGAGCACAACGACCACCACGACGACAACCACCACGACCACGACGACGACAACCACCACGACGCTGGGAATCGCTTTCCGGCAGTTCGATTTGGACCTGACCATCGACGAAAGCATCAACCAAACGGCTCTGTGCTTAGATCAAGACCTTTTGGACGCGGTCGCGCAGGGTTCGGTGGATTTCCTTATTCAGGCGGGAATGTATCAAATGTAAAAATGTCTGGGTCTGGAAACTTGTGATGCTGGGTGGCGTCTCATCATGAGGCCACAAATGCTGGCTCAGCATGACAAGTTTCTGAGCTTCTAGGTGTTGCCTATTCTGCATGACAAACTGCGTTCCTGCATCACAGAAAAACTGAGCTCTTGGGTAACGTGCATGACAGATTTAAGAGTCATGCCAGACAAGCATGACAAACATGCATTCTTCCAGACCCAGACATTTTTACATTTGATAGAATGAGTAGTCTTTCCATGAACGAGATCGAGGATCAAACGCTGACCATCAAAAACTACACGGCGATGCTGTTGCAGCTAGCCGGTCAAGCGGGTAGTAGTATAACTGGTAGTCAACAAGCGGCCTTCGAGGCAACTTCCTCTCTGGTGGAAACGCAAGAAACCTCTGTCCGGATTGTCCAAGAGTTCAACGCGAGGACCGGTATCCACAGTAAATTTCCCGTACACGTACATATGCGGTCTCTGCATGACAAAACTTGGCTTCGATCCTAGTTTAGCATGACAAGTTTGACGCTCCAAATTCGTAGAATTTGTGATGCATCTTGTACATGTACAGGAAATTTGTATTGCATAACCGGGAAATACTCGCAACGAACCCGGCGCATCCGCAAACGCGCTTACCTCCAGGTCACCTCCAAATTCGGCGTCCGGGCGGATAACCAGACGTTGGAAGATTTGAAGGCCGCGTGGAACGAGCAGGGGCTGAGTCAGTCCGATCTGGACATTTTGACGGAAAAGCTGAACACCACCATCAAAAATTCCGGCGTTTCCGGGGTCAAGGTCGGGAAGATCCAATCTCTACCCGCACCAACTACGACCACCACGACGACGACCACGACCACGACGCTCCCCATGTCGGAGAGGCTGTTTGACGTAGGTTTTACCGTGGACACTTCGATCATCGCGGATAAGCTGGATCTGCTAACAAATCAAGCTTTACTCGATGCGGTTGCGAAGGGGTCGGTAGATTTCCTGAAGGCAAACGGCCTGGTGAATGTCACTGGCACCGCGGTTTTGGAATCGCAAACGCTGACAGAAAAAGCAGGTGGGTCCACGGACGCTGATTACCTCGAAACCGTTTCCAAATACGTTCTTCGCGGAGACACCACCGTGCAGAACAGCATGTTGACCGCGTGGCCGGCAGGTAATTTGACTGACACGCAGACGCAAGCGCTTGCGAAGGCGGTTAACGAGAGTGTCGTCGATGCGAATATTGCAGGCGTGCAAGTCGGGAAGATTTCGCCTCTACCCGCCCCGACAACGACCACAACGACAACTACAACGTCGACGACCACAACCACCACGACGTTGCCGACACTGCAATTCGGCGGGTCGATTTCGTGTTCTGACCCGGATCCGAATGTGTGCGCATCGAACCCCGACCTAGTGAACGCGATGGCAAGTGGTACGGCGACCTACCTCGCGCAGTCCATTCCGGGCACCACCGCGAGCGACCTGCAGAACTTCAACCTGGCGGTGTCCAATCCCTTCCTGTTTTTGGCAAGGGCCAGGATGATTCTCAGCTCGATGAGAAATTCCGTGTCCGTGGTCGCCTCCTTCCAGATCGCAGTCCCCGCTTCCTCCCAGGGCGCGGTGAGCTCCGCCTTCCCGGCCGCGGGGTTGCCGGCATCCGCGTTGGCGTCGCTGTCTTCCGCGGTGTCGAGCGCGGTTGCAGCCGCAGCGATCCCCGGGATCGGCGTGCAGTCATTGGTTTCCATGCCACAGCCGGGCGCAGCGACGACGACGTCTACCACGACGACGACCTTGCCCCTCGCGTTGCGGCAGTTCGATCTCGATTTCACCGTGGACACGAACATTTATCCAGATACGAGTGTGTTACTTACCGACGCAGATTTGCTGTACGCGGTCGAGCAGGGTAGTTTGGACTTCATGAAGAACAACGGGCTGGTGAACATCACCGGCACAGCGGCTATGGAGAACGTGACTTTGGAATTAGGTCAAAATTCCTCCACCAACACGTCCTATCTCGAGACCGTCGCGTCCTTCGGCATGCGGGGGGACAACGAGACGCAGAACAGCATGGTGTCGGCCTGGCCCGCGGGGACTTTGTCGACCGCGCAGGTGGACGCACTGGCAAAGGCGATTAACGCGACTTTAGTGTCGTTGAACATCCCAGGTGTGGAATTGGGACAAATTGCGCCCTTACCGGCGCCGACGACCACGACGACAACCACAACCAGCACTACGACAACCACCACGACCACGCTGCCGCTCGGCTTGCGGCAGTTCGACATTGATTTGACGATCGACGATAGTGTCATAATCGCTGCCGACGCCGTGGTGAACGACACGCTGCTCGACGCTGTTGCGCAGGGGTCGGTGGACTACTTGGTGGATGCTGGGTTGTCCGATTTGAACATTAGTTACATCGAAAACCAAACACTGACGATAAAGTCCGAGAATGCGACCACAAACGTCGTGAAAGTCACAAGCGCCTTCGGCATCCGCGGTCCGAGCTCGATGCAAATGGCGCTAGATTCCGCTTGGGACCCGAGCGGCTTGGACGACGCGCAGTTGGAATCCTTGGCAACTGCCGTGAACAAAACCGTGATTGATTCGGGTATGGAGGGCGTGAAGGTTGGTGCGATTGTTTCTCTACCAGCACCGACAACGACCACTACCACGACCACCACCACGACGACAACCACGCTAGGTCTGGAGCTCCGCGAGTTCGATCTCGATTTCACAGTCGACAGCAGCATATACCCAAACACAACGGATTCGCTCACCGATCAGGACTTGCTCGACGCGATCATGGAGGGGAGTTTGACCTTCATGGAAGACAACGGGTTTGTCAACACGAGTGGGCTGGCGCAAGTCGAGAACCAAACGCTTACCTTGAAACCCGGAGCGAACACCACAGGCGACTACTTGGAGACGGTGTCCAAGTTCGGCATCCGCGGCGATGTCGACACGATCGACTCTATGCCGACGGCCTGGCCCGCGCAGACGTTGACGGTATGAAGGCTCACAACTCTCCTTCCCCCGCATTTGTCATGCAAAATACCTAATCCACACCTTTGCCTTTAAGCGTGGCCAATGGTTTGACATCTCCGGTCCGCGGCACTTGCCTTTTTCGTCCGTGCCGCAGGTAAGGCACAAATGGTCCAGCCTCGCCTGTCCGGGTGGGGTTGCGGCTTAAGGGAGAGTCTCGCCCCTTAGCCCAAAGGGGTGCGTCGTCTCTTCCGTGAGAGCAAAAACTTAAGGCGTAAAATGGGTCGGGTCCTGGATCGTTCTGTATGTTGGGCTGTCGCGCTCGGCTAGCTGGCCGGGCTGTACTGATCAGGTGTGGTGGGTAGCTCCCGACTGGTTGGCACTTTTATTGGGGCGACTTGCCGTGGTAGCGCTCGGCTTTTGTATGTTGAGGTCGCCGAAAGTGCTTCCTCGCCCACCCCCCGGGGAGGGGATCCTTGACCTGTGGCGCTGGGTGCGGGTGTCCACTACATGATGATGATGAAGCACTCTGCGCATGACAAGTTTTGAACCCCCAAATAGGACTACATTCCAATTACGGATTTGTCATGCAAAAGCTACATTTGTGGCATTGCTTCTGTTGCTGCTCATGCTATACAAATGAGGGGAAGTAGGGGGAGCTGTGCACTCTCATAGACGGATGCGCAGTTGGATTCCCTGGCGAAGGCGATCAACGACAGCATGATCGCGAGGGCTATCGACGGGGTGGAGCTCGGGAAGATCGCGCCGAAACCAGCGCCAACGACGACCACCACAACGACGACCACCACAACGACGACCACAACGACCACGACGACCACCACGACAACCACGTTTGAAACCGTGTTGCGGGAATTCGATCTCGATTTCACGGTGGATTCAGCGGTGATTCCCGATAAGAACACGCTGCTGACTGACGATGAGTTGTTAAATGCGGTCATGGAGGGTTCTTTAAAGTTCATGAAGGACAACGGCCTGGTCAACGATACTGGGGAGGCCACTGTGGAGAACCAGACCCTCTCTCTCGCGCCAAACGCAAACGCGAGTGGTGATTACCTCGAGACGGTTTCTCGGTTCGGCATCAAGGGACCAAATGAAACCAGCACTTCCATGCCGACCGCGTGGCCGCCAGCGACCTTGACGGATGCGCAGCTTGAGGATTTGTCGAAAGCCATCAATGAGTCCATGATAGCAGCGAACGTCGCCGGGGTGAAAATCGGAAAAATCGCCCCTAAACCCGCTCCAACGACCACCACGACTACCACCACCACGACAACGACCACCACGACCACGACAACCACCTTCGAGACGGTTTTGCGGGAATTTGATCTCGATTTCACGGTCGACACCGCGGTGGTTTCCGATAAGAACACTTTGCTCACAGACCAGGCGCTCCTCGACGCGGTGATGGCGGGGTCTTTGGACTTCATGGAAGACAATGGATTCGTGAACACCACGGGAGAGGCGACAGTAGAGAACCACACACTTTCGCTCGCCCCGAACGCGAATGCGAGTGGTGACTACCTCGAAACCGTTTCTCGGTTCGGCATCAAGGGTCCGAACGACACAATCAGCTCCATGCCCTCTGCCTGGCCCGCGCAAACGTTGACGGACGCGCAGTTGGATTCTTTGGGAAAAAAGATCAACGAGTCGATGATCAATGCGAACATTGCTGGGGTGAAAGTCGGAAAAATCGCGCCCAAGCCAGCGCCAACCACGACGACAACGACGACCACTACGACCACCACCACCACTTTCGAGACGAAGTTCCGTGCGTTCAACCTCGATTTCACGGTGGACCCGGCCGTGGTCGCCGACAAAATGGACTTGCTGAGTGACCAAAATCTGATCGACGCGATCATAGACGGGTCGCTCGACTTCTTGAACGCCAATGGAAACTTCGACAATTCGACCGGGGAAGCGACGGTTGAAAACGTCACCTTCAAGCAGGACCCGAACGCGACCAGCACTGGAGACTACTTGGAAACGGTGGTGAAGTTCGGAATCAAGGGTCCAGAAACAACCATTGACTCCATGGCAGCCGCCTGGGACCCGGCAAATTTGACGCAAGCCGAGCTGGACAGCCTGTCGGACGCGATTAACCAAACGGTGGAAGCCGCGAATATCGTCGGCGTTGAAGTCGGGAAAATCGTGCCGCAACAGGCGCCGACGACGACCACGAGCACGTATGAAATGCAAAAGTATCGTACTAGGATGAATTGCATTACAAATTTTCTCAGCATGAGAGCTGGAATTTGTCATGCTGTTTTACCTTAAGGACAAGATTTGTCATGCATAATTGCAATTAGTACGAGTGCGATACTTTTGCACAGGATAGCACCACGACCACGACGACCACGACCCTTGGAAGGAGGCTCCGTGAGTACGATTTGGATTTGACGATTGACGACACCGTCATCTCTGACAAGTACACGCTCGCGACCAACACAGCGCTGTTGAACGCGTTGAAGAACGGGTCCGCGACGTTCTTGCTGAATAACGGGTTGGACAACTCGACGGGTACTTTCAGAATTTACAACCAGACGCTTTCTATTGTCACGGCGACGAACGTATCAACTGCAAATATGTCTGGGTCTGGAAGAGTGTTTCTTGTCATGCTACATCTGCATCGTGGAATAAATTTGTGTTGCATGATTACCAAAAGAGGTCCACTTTTCAACAAGTTTAGAGGCAGTTTCTCATGCAGGAGAGGCATGGTAGAGATCTCACAGAGCCTGTCATGCTAGGCAGTGCATACCAGACCGTGTGGGTCATGGAAAACCTGCATGGCAAACGCGCATTCTTCCAGACCCAGACATTTTTGCATTTGATAGAACGCCAACGCCACGTCCGAATATGTGGAGACGGTGGCCGCCTTCGGCATCAAAGGCGACAATGTCACGATTTCCACGGTGGATTCCGCTTGGGACCCCGCCAGTCTACACGGCGAGGAGGCGAACGAGTTGTTAGACGCTCTGAACGCGAGTGTCATCGCCGCAAACATCCCGGGCGTGCAGGTGGGGCAGATCGCACCAAAGCCGGCGCCGACGACCACCACCACGAGCACGACCACGACAACGGAAGCGCCGACAACCACAACGACGACAAGTACGACCACCACGACCATATGGAAGTGTCAGGATGGAAATCGTCAAAGTTGAAATAGTTTGTGATGCATAAAATGGATGCCAATTGAAGCCCAGTTTCCAACTGGCGCATGACAAATTTTTGTAGAGCCTCAGTCCAGTTTGTCACTCTGTTTGGGTAAGGGCGGCGCCTTTTGTCATGCTACTTTAGCAGCTCTATTTCTACACCTCGACAGGCCTACAATCTGCCTCCCTTGCGTCTTCTGGAATAGAGACAGTTTTTGCGTTGCATTTTATGCATGACAAATCATTTCAACTTGGTCGATTTCAATCCTGACACATCCATAGACCACCAGCTCTACGTACGGAGCGCAGCTGCGGCAGTACGACATCGATTTCACGATTGACGACGCCGTGATCGCGGATAAAAACACGCTACCGACCAACGAACCACTGCTCAACGCGTTGAAGGCGGCAGCTAAAAAGTTCCTGAATGCGAACGGCCTGGATAATTCCACCGGGACGATCAAGATCGAGAACCAAACCCTGACGATCTCCGCTCCGTCTTCCGGCACGGCCGCGAACATCGTGGAGACTGTCGCCGTATGCATTGCAAATATGTCTGGGTCTGAGGGTGCTAACTTGTGATGCTGTCTTTGGATTCCAAAAAAGTCTGTATTGCATGACTAAGTAGCAAGAAGAGTCCAGCTCGTGCAGCTACGCGTGGAGGGCATTTCTCATGCGGTAGAAGCATCACAAAGTCCTCTAAAAATCTGTGATGCTAGGGCATGCATCACAGACGTCATGGCTCATGCAACAGGTAGCCTGACCCCAAATGGCAATGATCATTGGGAGCAGCAGAGCGCAGCAGGACCCCGGGACTGCAACAGCTCGCCCCTGTTTTAACTTAGAATCACGCAGTGCTCCGAGTATGCCACTACCTCGACCCCTCAAGAAAAGAAGTAGCCCCCCCAACTACAACACCGCCGTCCGCGATCAGGATACGACTTGTACTAACCAACATTGTACCAACCGAGATCCCGCGGGGCACAGGGTCTGGGCGGCTCGAAGCAGAACGTGCAGCACAAGCGGGAGACAACACATCCAAAGGTGGGGATGGTCTCAGGTCGTTCAGGTCCGCCAAGGGTTGCGTCGCGCTATCAGGGTTTCGCCAACTCCGCGGGGGCGTTGCGGGTAACTCCCTAAAACACCAAAACCGGCAGAAATTAGGGCCGGCAGTCCGGGTAATTGCTCACCAGTCGTTTTGTATGACGAACCAAGAGGTGCAACGCGAACAGATAGGCATGAATTTAGCATCTCCGGCTGGTAGAGCAATCGGCTACCGAGGTACGTCAGGGGGCGTAGCTACATCAATCAATCAATGCAAAATATGCATGACAAGCCTGCCAATCTTCCAGATCCAGAGACTTTTGCATTTGATACGCTGCGTTTAAAGTCACGGGCAACGATTCGGCCATGGCGACGGTTCTGTCTGCCTGGCCGGCGGCGGGATTGACGGGTAGCAAGGCGAATGAGTTTTTGTCGGCACTCAATTCTTCCGTGATCTCCCGGGGTGTTGCGGGCGTGAAGGTTGGTCAGATCACGATCCAACCCGCCCCGACCACCACGACAACGACTACCACGACGACCACCACCACGACAACCACCACGACGACGATCGCGCCACAGCTCCGGCTATCCTGTGCAAAAGCATCGTACTCGTAGAAGTAATTGCAGTCATGCATGACAAATCTGGTTCCTTAGCTTATTCAGCATTACAAATTTCATTTTTCCTTCTGGAAAAATTTGTAATGTAATACTATTTCTACTAGTACGATACTTTTGCAATGCATACCGGCAGTACGACATCGATTTCACGGTGGACCCCGCGATTATCAGCGACAAGGCTACCCTGGCGACGAACACGCAACTGCTGCACGCCTTGGCGAAGGGTGCGCTGGATTTCATGAACGCAAAGGGGCTGGACAACAGCACGGGCACTACGATGCTGAAAAACCAAACGCTGACCATCACGCAGTCGGGGACGTCAACCAACCCTGACTCACTGGAAACGGTGTCTAAATTCAAAATGACCGGTGACTCCGACGCGATGCAATCCGTCATTGACGCCTGGCCGCCCGCGGGGCTGACCGGGAACGGGGCGAATGAGCTGCTGGCAGCCATCAACAGCTCGGTGATCGCGGCGAACATCGATGGGGTGAAGGTCGGGCAGCTGGCACCGCTGCCCGCGCCGACCACCACTACGACCTCCACTACAACCACGACAACCACCACGACGACGACGACCACCACCAGCACCGAGGGGTCGGAGATCCGCCAGTTCGATTTGGACTTCACGGTCGATGATAGTATCGTCTCAGATAAGAACACGCTTGCTTCGAACACAGAATTATTAAAAGCGTTGCTGAAAGGGTCGAAAGACTTCTTAGAAGCGAACGGGTTTGACAATTCCACCGGGTCCGCGAAACTTTCGAACCAAACCTTAGAAATCGTCCCGCCGGCCGCCGGCACGACGGCGGGGGACGATTATCTCGAAACCGTCAGCAAATTCACGGTCCAGGGGGACAACCAGACCATGACGAGCCTCCATGCCGCGTGGTCGGTTGCCGCGCTCACCGGGGCGAAAGCGAACGAACTGCTGGATTTCGTCAACAAGAGTGTCGTTGCGGCAAGTCTTCCCGGTATTTTCGTCGGCAAGCTGGCACCGTTGCCGGGAATCACCACTACGACGACCACCACGACAACGACCACGACGATCACGACCACCGTCACAACGACGACTGCGACGACCACTACCACTGTGGGCGAGACGCTCGTCTCCCGGGAATTCGGCATGCAGATTGAGGCGGATGATGAATCTGTGCTGCAAGACCCGGCTATGGTGTCCGCGGTTGCGGACGGTGCGCTCAAGTTCCTGCAGGACGGAGGTTTGGCCGGCGCGACGAAGGACGATATCAAGGATCTGAAGCTGACCGTAACCGGCAGCACGGTTCTCCTCGGGACGTCCATGCAAATGCGGATCAGCGGGAAGACGAAGCAGACGAAGCGATCCACTAAAGCGGCGTTGGATGTGAAGACCAGCTTCTCCGTGGCGGTAGACCCCAGTGAAGTCGCGGCGCTGGATGCCGCGTGGCCGCCAGCGGGATTGGACACGTCTGCTTTGTCCAGTCTCGGCGACGCGGTGTCGAACTCCGTCGCGGCAGCGGCGTTGCCCGGCGTGGACGTGAAGGGGGTGACCTCCATGGTGGCACCTAGCACGACCACGACCACCACGACTACAACCACCACGACGGTCGGGAAGCAAACACGCCAATTCGATCTGGACTTCGGGGTCAACACAACGGTCATTTCGGACAAAAATACGTTGATCACGAATGAAAAGCTGTTAGCTGCTTTGCTGAAGGGATCAGTGGACTTCCTAACTCAACACGGACTGGACAACTCGACCGGAAAAGCGGTTGTCGGGAACCAAACTTTAACCGCCGTCCCTCCGGCGCAGGGTACAAGTGGCACACCGGACTATTTGGAAACGGTGTCGAGCTTCGACATCAACGGCGACACGCAAGTGATCGACAGCGTCTTGAATGCGTGGCCGATCACGGCTTTGACCGGCACGAAAGCGAACGACTTACTCACCGCGTTGAATTCTTCCGTTTTAGCCGCGAACATCCCGGGCGTGCAGATCGGGAAGCTCACCCCGAAAGCCGCGCCGACCACGACCACAACGTATCAAATGCAAAAATGTCTGGGTCCTCTGGAAGAATGCGCGATTTGTCATGCAGCTTTTCCATGACCCCTGAGGTCTGGAATGCAGGACCTAGCATGACAGATTCTGCGCGATCTCTCTCATGCCTATCCTGCATGAGAAACCCCCTCCCGACTTGGTCAAAACTGGGCGACTTTTGGTAATCATGCAACACAGACTCTTGCATGCTTCAGAGTTAGCATGACAAGTTGCATTCTTCCAGACCCAGACACTTTTGCATTTGATACAACGACGACCACCACGACGACGGAGCGGTTCGAGCTTCGCCAGTTCGATTTGGATTTCACTGTCAACAAGACCCTGCAGCCAGACCCGGACGCGTTGCCGCAGAACCAGAAACTGCTGACCGCTATTGCGGAGGGTTCACTAGAATTCTTGAAAGCGGGCGGGTTGACGAATTTGACTGTAACGGGCATGCTGTCCAAAACCTTGACGATCGTGAGCACAAGTTCCTCCTGGTTCATGCTGATCGAAATCGAGGAGAAGTTCGGGAAGAAGAAGGAGAATGTGTATCTCGAAACGGTCTTCAGCTTCGGCGTATCAAATGCAAAAATGTCTGGGTCTGGAAAGTGGTAACTTGTGTTGCTGTCTGTGGATTCCAAACAAATATGTATTGCATGACTAGCAAGAGGAGTCCAGTTTTTGCCACGGCGAGCGGGCATTTCTCATGCGGAACAGGCATCAGGAAGCCCTCTCAAAACCTGTGATGCTAGACCATGCATTACAGACCTCGTGGGTCATGGAAAACCTGCGTGACAAATCTTCCACTCTTCCAGACCGAGACATATTTGCATTTGATACGGCGTGAAGGGAAGAAACGCCACCATGGACCAATTGGAAGCCGCCTGGCCGGCTGCGAATTTGGATGACGTCCAGACCCAGGTGCTCATATCCTGTGCAAAAGTATCGTATTCGCTATTGCAATCCTGCATTACAAATCTTTTTCTTAAGGTGCATCTGCATTACAAATTTCCTGTCTCATGCTGAGGAAATTTGTAATGCATTTATACGAGTACGATACTTTTGCAGTTCATAGCTCACCGCTTTGGTGAATAAAACGGTGGTAGCCGCCGCGATTCCCGGCCTTCAGGTCGGGAAAATCAAACCTCTCGCTGCCCCAACCACCTCCACCACGACGACCAGCACCACGACGACGGCAACACTACCGCCCTTGGAAGAGCGGTCGTTCGACATGGCGATGACGTTGGATGACAGTGTGTATCAAACCCAAGCCGACTATGACAATTTAATGGACGACGCGGAGCTCCAGCAGGCGGTCAAAGACGGCGCCTTCGAGTTTTTCGCCGCGTCAATACCGTTTTTTGCCAAGAGCCAAATCGCGGACGTTGACCTGAACATAACCGGAACGGCGAACACCACTGCGAATCTGACCGAATTGGACAGGTTCACGAGGTCCGGGAAGGACGGGCACGGAAAGCGGCCATCGTTACTGTTTCTGTTCGAAATGGAGAGCACCATGAAGCGGGAGAAGGAGCAGAAGGAGGCTTTGCTGCAGCAGTCTGCGGTGGCGTACAAGAAGATGAAACGGGCGCCGCAGCAGGTGCAGGTGAACGTGCAACTCGGAATTCAAGTGACCAGGAGTCCCACGCAACTCGCGCAACTCCAGGCGACGTGGCCGAGCGGCGGTGGCTTGCCGTCCGCAGCGAACAAGCAGCTGCTCGCGGCGGTGAAGTCCTCGGTTGCGGCGGCTAACATCCCCGGCGCGGCGGTTGGACAAGTCGCCGCGGTGTTGGCGTCGACCATATCAAAATGACAAATCCCCCCACCCCATATCAAAACGAAGTTTGTGATGCTGGATTTGCGTACACAAATCTGATTTGTCTTGCTGGAGAGGACTGCAGCCCCATACCAAGCCTGAGCAGAGAGGTTTTAGACTAGGCTCTTGGCATGAGAAACGTCTGCGCTGTAGGCCCAACAGCATAACAAATCGCCCGCATGATGCGGCGGAGCCTGTTGAGTTGCATTCTTGCAAGACAGAGATGATTTGTGGCCGCAAATCAGCACCGCGACGTACCTTTTCGATATGGGGAGGGGGGATTTTTCCTGACAATAGACCACGACGACGACCACGACAACCAGTACCACGACGACACCCTTGGTGCTGTTGTTCGAGCGCTATTTGGCCGTCAGGATGGCGGTGTCGCAATCTCGGTTGATAGCGATGGATTTGTGCAATGATCCTTTGATCCTAGGAGCGGTCGCCACGGGCATCACGGAAATTTTCGCGGTGTACGGCGTCCTCGTGAATGCCGACGAGTGGATGATCCACTGCAAGATCGACGAGAATTATCCAAGAAAAGAACACCATCGCAATCACTTTTGCACATTTTTGCAATACAAAAATTTTTGTCATGCGCAAAAATGCATCACAGTCAACACTTATAGCCGATTTCCCTGGGTGTTTTTGCAATACAAGAAAAGTTTGTTATGCGAGACAAATTTCTGATGCAAAACCTCCCATGTGTGATTGTGATGGTGTTTTTTTCTTGGATAAGAATGTGGATTTGTTGACTGGCAGAGCGATCGATATTCCAAAAGAGTACTTCACCGATGGCTATGAGAAAGACCAAAACCAGCTGATGCTCTTGCAGCAGGTATCCTGAGTAAAAACATCCCCACAACAGAGTCAAGATGGGGATTTTGCAACACAAACCTAGAACTTTTGGGGGTCACGCATCACAAGTTGCACTCCGTAGTGTAGTGCAGGTTCGCAAGGCCAGCTGCATCAGAAATCCATCTGCTCATCCTGCTTACAGCATTACAAATTCCAAAACACGACTGAAAATGCCTCTCCTGGCGATGCGCATTACAAATGTTCCTGTGCTTGCAAATCTGCATGACAACTCTGGTGTGGGGACGTTTTTACTCAGGATAGCAGGACGCAGAGGGAAATGCGGTCCTCGCGGCCGACAGTGATGTTGATGATCACGCAGGCGCCACTTCTACTGCCCTCGAAGTTCTTCGGCCAGTAGCAGCACAACTTCAACTCCCACAACTTCCCGCCCGGCAGTCCAAGGACTCGACCGCGCCCCTCGAGCGCGCGATCGAGTCATTGTCTAACGGCCGCATGGAGCGCCGCGTGGCGCTGCTGCAGCAACACTTGGAGGCGATAAGCAGTAAAGAGAGAACTACGACGAGAAATAATGGCCAGAAGGTCCTCTCGGCCGGTAGTGGTACCATCGCAGGTCTGTCGACGGTCTCGGGAACAGCTTCTACAACCCGGCGCAGGAGACGAGCCGTGGAGCAGTTCCAGGATGTGACTTTTCTGTTCAAAGTCAGCTACATGCTGACCTCCGTTCCCGTATCAGAATGAAAAATCCCCCCTCCCCGCTTCAATAACGAGGTTTCTGATGCTGGATTTGCGTACACAAATCAACAGATTTGTCTTGCTGGCGAGGACTGCAGGCCCATATCAAGCCTGAGAAGACAGGTCTTGGCCTAGGCGCTTAGCATGACAGACTTCTACGCTGTAGGAGCATAAGCATGACAAACCGCCTGTAGAATGCGGCGAAGCCTGTGGAGTTGCCTTCATGCAACACAGAGACGATTTGTGGCCACAAATCAGCAACGCAAATTTTCGAAAACGTACCTTGTCAATATGGGGGGGGATTTTTCCTTTTGATACCCCGACTATGAGACGGCCACCAGCTTCTGGTCGCGCCCGCCGACCGGGCTGGCGAGAGCGCAGGTGAAGGTTTTGACGCATTTGCTCGCGGACTGCTTCGCGGACAGCGGCATTCCGGGGGTCGCAGTGGTCGGCGTCAACGGCGCACCACGGACCGGCAGTCAATTCTACAAGAAAATCCCTTACGTCTCCCACCAAGCGCAGGAAGAAGAGTATATGTTCAACCGGGTTTACAGGCTGGTCGAGCTGGCCTTGGAATCCTCGCTCTTACCCGCGTCTTACCCACTGGCTTTAAAAGAGTCGATCGAGGAGACGATCGGAATTTGGGTGCAGGATACCTGCAACGCGATCAACATCGAGGTTCAGATGTACCAGTTGGTCAAGTACGGCGTGCCCGGGCAGCAGGTTTCCAACATTACCATGCAGTCCGATCTGTCCCTCAACGCGGAGGCGCTCGAGGCGCAGAGGGTGTTCACGATGATTCCAAATGTGGAATCATTGATCAAAAAATCGGTCCTGTTGGAAGACAAGCGGGACATCGGCAGGGACATTTTGTTCAACGGAGGAGGCGAACTGCCGGGCTTGAACGTGACGAAAGAACCACCTTCACCGAAGGACAATAGCACCACGACGATCTTACTCCAGAAGCAGAAAACAGGTGTCAGTGTCAGTTCTGCAAGAATAACAGCGTTGCAAACGCCACCGACCGATCCGAACGTTTATTTCCAGTCGTTGGTCAGCATCCAGATGGATTCCGCCTCGGACTTGGCCAAGCTCAAGTTCCGGTGGGACCAGGATGTCGGCCTGACTGTGGGCGCAAACTACCAAATTCGGCAATTGTTGAACACGGGCTTGGAACGCCGCGGGGTGCCGACTCTGACCGGGGCCAACCAAGAACATGTGCGAGCATTCTTGGGAGGACCGGTACAAAATTGATGCAGCTGTTGGAACGAAGATTTTAGAAAAAACAAAAAGACGAGATCATCTTATGACGCATTCTTGTTCTTCTTTATTTTCCTACGGTTTATTGAATGACAAAAACAAATGAAGCGGCTGGAGTCAATGAAGTTGCAATGGTAAAAAGGTCTGCGACTGCGTCTCTATATCAAATCTTGTCCTCTATTCTCTCACTTCAGGCTCGGATTCCGCCCAGCACGACGAGCACAACAACGACGACAATCGACCCCTTCGCGGGGATACCATTGAATGCCACTACGGCAGCACCAAATACGACGACGACGACGACGACGTCAACTAGTACGACTACGACAACCACTACCACCGCGGCGCCAACTACGACCGCCGCGCCGGCAAAGCCTTTGCCGGTGCCGCAAATCAACGTGCAGATTGGCGGGACCACCCCTTCGCAGACGGCCCCGCCGACCGCAACGGGGTTCCCGCCAAATTTCCCGCTACCCGTTCCCTCGGGAGGGTATAATAGAAGTTGCTTCATGTTATATACGTTTTATTTTATCACCAGCTGCCCTCACCCTCAAGACAAACAAAAGTCGGGCTTGTTTCTTGGCATGCGGACTGTGTCGTGTGTTGATTCATGCGGTTTTTTATTCGGATCATGTAGAAGGCCAAACAAAGTACTAATCTGAATCACACAGGTACCAACTGCAGAACGCGACGACAAAATTAGTGGTAAAGAAATCTTCACGCAAACAAGGCGACGACGTCGCTCCAGCATGGGCCAAGTCCCTGATGGAAGACGTTGGCGAACTGAAAAAGACTTGGGATGCTGAAACAGCATCTGGAAATGCTAAAAACCAAGCGCAGAACGCAGACGCAACGACAAGAATACGGGTCAACAACCAAGGCAGCAAGGCTGCGGCGAGTTACCCATTACAAACAACGCATCGCACTGTGTTTTGATTGCAATATTGCATGATAGAGTGTTTGCCTTCCAACCAGTATGCTTGATGGATTTTTTATTTTACTAAAAACTCTAGAGCAAACCGCATTATCATGTTGTTCTTCATCTTCTGAAAACACACTGTATTGCAGCCTACACTAGTGAGATGCTTTTGTAATGCATAGGAGCAACCCAACACCAACTTTGATATCTACGGACAGTAGGTTACTAGACTCCGCTTCCGCTCCGAGTCCTGCCGCAGCGCCGAAAGCGGGTGCAACGGCGACTGAAGGTACTACCTATGATAAGAATAAAGACGTGTAGACGTCGTGTTGTTGGTCATGCAACAGAGAATTGAAGTCAAGTCGAAGTCCTGAGTATATTTGCATGACAATTTAGATTTTTGACTCTTATTGAAACAAAACTACGTTCTCAGGTAGCGACGTTCAGGATATTCTGAACCAACTCGACGCTCTCGAGCGCGACGCGGCGAAGATGCCTGCGGGCGACACGGCCTGGGCGGAACGCATTGCGAGTCGACTAGATTCTATCGGTTTTTTACAAAAGTCAAAACAAGGATTCAAGACGAATGAAGCTACGACATCATCTTCTTCGGACATGGAAAGTAGAGTGACGGGCTCTAGTACAACGGAAAAGGATATGGCTCAGGCGCAAACAAAAGCAGACGAGCAGCGCCAGGGTACTACAGCAGCTGCTTCGACTTCGAGAAGTGCGACTCCACGGCGACAGCGGGGGTATGGTCCGAGGACCGCCCCAGCAACGACACCAAATAAGAGGATCAGGATATGCATATAGAAATTTACCGTGCACGTGCAGAATTGTGTGCATGATTAAAAATTTTGTTTTTAGCTTTTTTCAGATGGTAGCATGATCGCTGGACGAGCCGGCAGTTGTGATCCTCATGCTGAATAAGTAGTTGGGGACAGAGAGTCTGTCGTGTACGCAGGAATCGGACTGCAATGTATTTGTATGTGTGCGGTAAAGTTTTTTCTGTTCATACGGAAGAATATACTTCGACAAAGCCACCTCACCAATAGCAGTGATGAACAACCAACGGCTCAATGAGGCCGCGCAAACCTCTGCCCCACGGGGGCCACAAGCGGAGGAACGATCTGCGGGTCGGGAGGGGCAAAGAACCGTGAAGCAAGTACCTAGCGAAGACCATCCAGACGAGGGCTCCGCTAGCAGCATGAGTAAGTTACTCAGCTGGCGGTAAGAACGAACCATCAGAACTACCCTATCTGGAAAGAAAGAAGTAGATGTGTGTCAGTAGACTTTTTTGGTTTCTTTTGTTAAAAAACTATGTTGAAGACTATTAACTTTTTTTCAACGCTAAATGTAAAGAGCGCAAGAACGAAAATTTTTTGATCGTTCTGGAATGAACGCAAGAAAATTTGGAAAAGATTAAAAGGCTTAATATCATCAAACACGATAGAATCAAAGTTGTTGTTGTTTATCACAAAGTATTATCGCCAGTAACCCACTGGTAGAATCAAAGTTGTTGTTGTTTATCACAAAGCTTATGCTGTCGGGCTTGTTGGCCCGTCTTGCATTCTCATCATCTTTATTTGGTCTTAACTTTAGCAAAAAATTGGTTCATATTCAGAAATGCTACATCAGAGCATATTTTCCAAGAACCACTTGAAATAGCAATACTTTTTTTCATTCTTGTCGCTGCGTGTTGCGACGCGCGAGGTTATGATTTTCAGGCTGTTTTCAGAAATATTCCCAGCGTAGTACAGTAGTCCAATATATTACGAGTCTGCCAGGTATAGAGCCCGAAGACTTTTGTCTTGCTAGGGTACAACTCTTCCCAGAGGCAGCTCGTATTTGAATCAAAGTTGTTGTTGTTTATCAGAAAAGTAAAGATGCATGAAAAATCGATAGAAAAAAGAATCGATCGAGGTCCCGCAGCTCCATAATATCACTATCTCGCTAGAGCAGGCAAAAGTTTGCTTCCTTCGATCTGCATCTTTTTTTATCCATGGAGGAGTCACATTCTTCCGAGGGTGATTATCGGCCTGCGAGGAGCTGCGACCTCTGCATCAACAAACTTACATTTTGCCATTATCAACAGAATAGATATGGAAAAATCAGAATTTCAAATAGATAGACGAAAAAAGGGGCACTCCGTCATGGTGCCCTTTACAAAATACAGAAATTTTCTTCACAACTTGAGGAAGCAAGCAGTGGCAAATAGCGTCTTTGCCGTGCTGGATTTGCACTGTCGACCTCGATTACATTGATATTTCATCAATCCTACGTAGCAAACCGGTTTTCGTGTCGAAACTACCGGTAGAGAAAATCCGTAGAAAATATATTTTGCAACCTATGGTCAAACTCCCCTCCCGTCGGGGCTCTATACAAATTTGGTGTCAGATCACAAAGAGAAATTAACAGGAGTCTATGACATCAAGCTGTCACTCCAGCTGTTCCTGATGAAATTCGTATTTTTTTATGAAGGGCGGTGTCCAGATCATCATTTGAATATCGAATTTCAGAAAACTAGAAGGCCGCTGAGCCATATAATATCAACAAACTACATTTTGCCATTATCAAATTCGTTTTATGATTCGTTGTTTCTAGAACAGTTCTACCGTAATTCGAAGAAAAAAATTTTTACCTATTGCAACAAATCAGAACAATTTCATGAAAATTTATGAGGATGATACAATTTCCGTATAGAAGTCAGTGCAACTGTAACTGAACCGCATCTGCAGCGTTGCGACGCTGCAGTTGTGGTTTGATAGATCGACAAACTTGTCTTTTTCTTTTCGTACAAGAATTTTCCTAGAAAAAATCCGAACCGTACGAGTCGGGTGGGTGATCATCGCATGGCCCCCGACCGTGTGAGTTTCCGGAAAATATGTTTACATCAACAACTTACATTTTGCTTTTATCACAACAGAAAACTCAATTTAGAAATTCGTGTCAAGAATATTGTCAACAATAAGAACCTTCACAGCGCTCTAGTGCGTTTCCAAAATTGTTTCTATGCTGTTTGTCAAACAAAGAAGTTTTCGATTACAACTCCGAGCAGTTTTGTTCTGAGAAGAACATTCTCAATCGGTTTTTCTAGAAGAAAGGAAATACAAGTGTGGTTTACCCGGATTGCCGTACAAACATCCGGTTTGCCGTACAAACAACCAAGTTGCTTTCATCGTCGATTTTGCATGGGCATCAGGGCTTCTACGTAAGTTCCTGGTGTCGCATAATCAGAACGGTGGATGTCAACTAGAGAAAATCCGTATAAACAGTTTCACCCAAATAGAATTTCCCAGAAATAAACCTATTTCATCCTACTACGTAGAAAATCATCTTCCTTCTGAAATATGTTTTTGGAAAGACGAATGTGTAGAAAAACATTTTGGAAACAAGAAGTAGGGAAGTATGTTGCAGGGGAAATTTCAACACCGAATGTACCATGAACCTAAAAAACTGGAAAAAACCAAAAAAATTTGAAAATAAAAAAAAAAATGGAGCGGAAGTCCGGCTGACGTAACGCTCCTCGCTAAGCCATGGTGTATTTGCCCTGGGCATGACTCTTTTTGCAACTAAAAATACGAAGTGTCTCAAAGGAGCGACAGTAACGCGGAGGGAGATAAATGCAGTATCAGGAGAATGTGATTAGGACCCGACGGTAGCTGCGACCTTTGTCAAATAGAAAGAAGATCTGTAGACTACATACTCTAATGAGCGATGAGAAGGCTCACCGCAGGCCTTCACTGACGATGTGACAACTGCGAGCTGGAACGCGACTACTTCATTAGCATTACAAAAAGTGAAAACTTCCTTCTTCGACAAAAGAGTGTACCTGGCTGTGGTCCGGTGTGCAGCCAGCCAAGAAATAGCTCTAGCTTCATCATTCCCGTCGGCCATTCATGCTAAAAAATGCGTACTAAGCAAGCATAAGGCCAATCGAGCATTGTGCAGTCTTGTTTTCTTCAAACTAACTTTCGCACCTAGCTTTTGCAGTTCTGGCGTCAAACTCAATAATCAGCACATGGAAATATGAAAGATAGTTACCGCACACCAAGAAAATGACGCGAGGATGCGTTCCAGAGGTCGCCTTAGGAAAGCAAGGACACGGGTCGTCTCTGCTCTCGACCTGGTCCTGTCTTCCTGGAGCCTGCTATCATCGACGCGCGGCCCCCGAGTATCCCACTGAAATGAGCTAGCGCTTGTCATGCAAAAGGAAACTACGAATCAGAATATTTCCTGAAACAAGTAGACAAATTCTCGTCACCATTTTTGCAAAGTACAGATGTGATGCGCTAGCTCTTTTCTATCGGATATCAAGGCAGCATTGGCAATGGTGTTGCACTCATCGCAGCGCATCAGCTAAAGCCCGGGGCTGAAAATGAGGCCGGGGGTGTTCCTGGGATTACGCCCGGTGGAGGTGCTGTCCAGCATGCCGCATCCTCAAGGGAGAGAAGCAAGGACGACAGGGAAGAGCGCTCAGGTAGTACAATTGCTTGGCTTGTTTTAGTTGCGGTTTCTGGCAGTCTTCACTTTTGTATAATGAATAAATTGAAAGAGCGCAAGTGCGCTGATTCGACAAACAAAAATCGTGCGAAAGAACCTCTACAACCACGACCACATTTTCTCTACTCAGGCTCTATCAGCGCCAGCTCCTCTTTATCCTCCCTGGTCGACGATTTAACACCCAGCCTGGACGTGGAGGATATATGCATTGCAAAAGGAAAGGTCTCGTACTCGTTTACCGGATGCGCACGACAATTTTTTTCAGCGTGAAATACAGTGGGATTTGTAGTGCTGATTTCCGGAGGCTGAGTGCTGATTCAACTCAGGAAAGGGTAAAAGGGATGTGTCATGCATAATGGAAATTGCCAATTATACCTAGTCTACGGTAGTACAACTTTTGCAGTGGATAGGATGCTGCTGTGCTCAAAAATGCGGTTTCCGAGACGGAACTGCAGACCTACAGCAACGCCCAGCTCGAGAAGCTGGCCGCGGCAAAATCCGCAATGCTGGATGATAGCTCGTTGGAGAAGAGCTCGTCGCAGTTCATGCACTCGCTGCAGAAAGCAGAGCACAGGCTGATGAAGGATCATGCGGCGGAGGGGCGTAGTGGTAATGGTTTGATTTCATTTTTAAATTTAACTATGAGATGTCTACGACGTCATACCATCGTGCATGATGTTATACCCCAGCGTATCATCTTCGTTGCATTCTGTTGCCCTTCATAGCATGGTGAGTAAAGTTCTGCAGCTTGGTATAATGCAAATGCAGTTGGAACCGCGAGAATACTCACAGGCACCCGGCCATCCGCAGGCGATTCTTCGTTGTCCGCAATGGATCAAGCACCTTCTGCAGCCTCGTCAAGAAAAACCAATCCAGCATCTACAGTTGAAGCCAGCAAGGATGAGTTGTCTACGAGCTTAGTGGAAAGCGAGCAGCGCAAGATTCTTGAAACAGCGGCGTCCGCATCAGAAGCCAATCGAGGGACGAAGCAAAACTCCGCGAAGAAGAGCAGTGAGAATGTGGATGCCGCTTTCCAGAAAACGTCAACCGAGTCGGCCGCGTTGCAAAGTCTGTCGAAGCTCTCCACAGAAGAGCTCGAGAACATCGCTGCGCTAGATATGCTATCAACTGCAAATACGATAGTACCTGGGGTGGAAAATATTGTGCATGGCAAATCTACATTCTCATTTCATCACAAGGTTTACTCAGATCAGGCACAGTATTTGCAAATTGATATGACTCAGCAGAATCCCAGCGCCAAGAGCGAGCGGCTAGGAACCGAAGGATTGCAGCGGCGGAGACGAGCAACAAGGAAGATCTCAACGCAGTCGGGGTGGAGGGGATGTATGTATCGTGTGCAAAAGTACTAGTGGTGCTATCGTGCCGCTCTTCCCCGTTCCCGTTGTCTTAAATTGCATGACTGGACGTGGTGGACGAGGAACCCGCTGTGTCCCTACTTCGTATTTTTTTCACAATCGCAAGTTCCTCCAGCACCCTGATCGAAGGAAGTTTAGAATTAGAACGCCAGGAGCTGCGTGACCGTGTAACAACTGCCTTCTACTTTTGCCCTGCATAACCTCCAGGCGAGGAGGAGAACCTCGGTCTTGGTGAGGGTGCATCAGATGAGAACACTATGACTTACGACGAGGAGAACAACATGCCGCTTATCCAAGATGGAGACTATAGCATGGATGGCGAGCCGTTCGTGGCGAAAACCACTTCGTTCGCGATTAGTACAGGGCCAACGGTAAATGGCGCAGCGAACAATCTGAACAGTCAAAACGATGCAACTACTGCGACATCAAAGACTGTATCGCTTTCGCTGGAACACGTCGGGACGGAAGGGGAGACGAAAGCAGACAAGGAAGCTGCCTACTACATTAAAAAACAGAACGAAGTTGAGGAGCAGGACGCGGCGCACCTGTTATGCATTCCAAATATGTCTGGGTGTGGAAGGATGCAATTTGGCATGCGGTCTTTGGATTCTAAAAACATCTGTATTGCGTGACCAGCAGGAGGAGTCCAGTTTGCGCTACGCGGATAGGGCATTTCTCATGCGGAGTAGACATCAGGAAGCCCTCCAAAAATCTGTGATGCTAAGTAATGCATTACAGGCATCATGGGTCATGCCAAATATGCATGACAAACCTGGCAATCGCAATCTTCCAGACCCAGACACTTTTGCAGTTGATACCTGTACGTCGAGGACCAGATTGTGCGGGAGGCGGACTTGATCACGACAAACATCGAAACCTTCAAAGCGGATGAGGTGCAGCTGCAGAATCAAGGAAACATAGCGCAGTACGACGACGAGTACGGCTATACGACGGTGAGCTCCTCCACAACGTGCATTTGCTACCTGGTCTACACTAACGGCACTCAGATTCAGCTGAACAGCAAGTTTTCGTGCACCTCCATGACGTCGACCACCACGACGACAACAACGAGCACGACGACAACGACGACCACGACGACAACGACAACCACAACAACGCTGCCCAGCATGTCGCGCGCGTACCAGTTGTCGCTCAACATTCCGGCTGCAGAGACCGCGGGTTCCGTGGCGGGGATGACGAACGTGCAGGACGCGGTCAAGAACGGGACCTGGTTTTATTTAAACAGCGACACCTCCTGCACCTTGACCTTGAACGACATCACCAGTCTCTCCCTCGACCCTGTGGACGCGTCGGCGATTGGGAATCCGGTCACCGTCAACGTGACGTACACAGCCCAGGTTCCCGCTGGCCAGCAGTTGACGGACTTTGAGGCTAGGTGGCCGGACGGCAGTTTGTCCGACACGGGCAAGGACGACTATCCGCGGAGAGGAAAAAGCTTTGAGGTCAAGTCTGTCTCCTAGTGATAGAGATAGTGCAATAGCAATTACAACTCTCGTGGTCTTATGCTCCTTTAATAGCACCTGCTTGCAAGTGAACGACTCCAGGAGCTCCAGGCCATCATCAAGGTGACCTTCGTATCATGGGACGAACCGACGCGACTATTACTACCATGATCTTGATCTGATGCAGGTGGATCCCATGTCGACTGCAGCTCGTTTGCCTGATTTGAGCGTGTAAGGAATTCACCTGAACACCAGGCCCGCGACCTCATCCATGATTCTTTTTCCTAGTAGCCCTAGCTGTTGCAGTAAGTAGTTGAAGAGTGATTTGATTATACATTACTTTGCTTTGGCGCTGACGTGGGGCAACGACCAAGGACGCGTGTACGGAATTTTCCGAAGCAGGACTTGCTTGTGCACTGCGGGACCATAGCACAGTGGAAGAGGACGAGTGATCTGCGACGAGGAGCAGCCAAACACACTGAAAACGCACCTGAAGGAAGAAATGGCCGCAAGGCATTTGTGGCAGCAGCTCCCCGGAATGCTACTTCAAGGAGTTTTCCCGTCCGGGGCTTCAGCTTTCGTCCCAGCAGCGCGAAAATCTTAACGGAAATCCCTTTTTGATCCGGATGCTTTTCATCTCTTCCAAAGTTTAAAAATTTCAGCTTCTTCCCCAAGACTTGACTCTTGAAGGCTTTTTCCTTTCGATGCTTTGCTGAGACAGTATGTGAACGATTCTATCATCGTGACAGGGATTGCAGATCTCTCCCTGGAAGGGTCAGTGACGCCCACACAGTCCCCCACGACAACGACAACCACCACGACGACGACGACCAGCACAACGACAACGACGACGACCAGCACCACGACGACGAGCGTCACGGCGACCAACACGACGACGTCAACTACGACAACGTCAACTACGACAACCACAACGGCTGTGCCGACGGTCTCCCGGGCCTATCAATTGAACTTCACTGTGCCAAGTACTGAGACAGCAGCGTCTGTTATGGCGAGAAAATAAACTGGGTTGGTGTGAGTTTTGTGGACTGGCGGCATGGCGTGTGCTTAAAATCCTGCCTTGCAAAGCTCGTAGTATGAAGTGAGTACACAACATATGAAAAAAGGTAACTAAAGGACTGCTGGCATGACAAGCGCTCGCTGTGTTACATGCTTGTTCAAATTGTAACCTTACATCAGCGCAGTTCTTTTTTTCGGTGGATACGCATTGCAGGGATGCAGAAGCTTGTTGACGCTGTGAAGAACGGAACCTGGTTCTATTTCGATCAAGACTCGGATTTATGAGTTGGAAAAAATCACGACCCGTGTGTTTGTTGTAAAAATGCGGAATCGCTAGGGCTAGTGCGCTTTCATGAGTGTTTATGTTATGTGTTCCAGCAAAGTCCACGTGACGGCAAATGAAAAACAACCCGCAGGGTCGTGATCATATCTAGCTGTGCATACTGGATCACCGATTTGTACATCGAGAATATCACCTCGCTGACCATTGCCGAGGCGAGTTCTGGGGGCGGAGCGAATTACAGCTTATTCGATATCAGCTACACGGCTACCGTGAACGGGAACGACACCGTGGATGAGTTTGAGGCCCGGTGGCCCGATCCCAACCTGTCCACCGTGGAGAAAATTTTGCTGAAAAGGTACGTGAACGACAGCGTCCTAGTTGCCGCGATTCCCGGCGTGGAACTTGGCACGGGTGACGTCACGGCGCTGCCCAGTCCAACGACTACTACCACCACGACATCGACGAGCACCACGACAACCACAACGACAAACACGACGACGAGCACAACGACGACCACCACGACTAGCACAAGTACTACAACGTCGACGAACACTTATCCAGTGCAAAAGTACTCCTGTTGCTCTCCTACAGCGGATCGCAGTCATGCAAGGCAAATTTCCTTTCCGAGCCAAATCAGCAAGACAAGTCCATTTGTCATGCTGATGCTAAGATAAATTTGTATTGCGTGTACCTACGACCAACTGCGATGCTTTTGCAATTCATAACACTACCACGAGTACAACGACGACCACGACTACGAGTACGACGATTATCCTGATGGGAAAGTCACAATCTAATGACATTGTCAAGAGCGACCACTTCAATTTGCCATGCACGTAAAAAGGGTAGTACAGGTTACAGATTGACACTTGCGAATGTGCCTGTTGAAAAGTCCGTCCTCCCTGTCACAGTGATTGACAGAGAAGATGGTTGTGGTTTCCTCCAGCATACTCACGACGACCTCGACAAACACAACAACGACGACATCGACGTATGAGAGTGCACAAATCCCCCTCCCCGTCATTTGTCATGCAAAATACAATTTCGTCCCCTTTCCCTTAAGCACTTCTTGCATGACAGATTCCGGAATCTGAAACAGCCCTAGAATCGGTCGCGAATGTGTCATGCAAAAGCTGCATTTATGCCACCCAGCACTTGTGTTGCTGCTTCTGCCCTTCAAATGAGGGATTTGTGCTCTGTCATACGACGACAACGTCGACTACCACGACGACAAACACCACGTCGACGACTACAACGACGACCACATCGACCAACACTACAACGACCACATCAACCACCTCCACGTCTACCAGCACGACCGGGTCCTCGACCACTACCGCCACGACTGCTTCCAGTGGTGGTCCTGTCATCTCCGTGGTTGCCCCGGCAGAGTGGAAAGAGACCCTTTTGCTGCACAACCTGTTCCGGTGTCTGCACAACGTCCCGCCGCTCATCTGGAACAGTGAGTTGGCTACGAACAGCGCGCAGCATTCGCAGTGCGACGTGGCGGCGAACACCATGTGCAGCTTTCCGGCGTCGGACCAATACCATTCGCCGACGAGCACGCGAAGCAACAAATTCGGCTTCACGAGTACCTTCGGCGAGAACATAGCGGAGGGAAGTGGCGGCGATCACGACTTGATACGGGATTCTCAAACGGTACATTCTCAACTGTTGCATGATGAAAGTTGTTTCATCGCGGGAAAAGTTCTACTAGTCGACGCGCTAAATTTTGGAGTAGCACGAGAATGTTGCGCTTGCGCTTGCGTCCCACTTCTGTATAATGCAAAGCGCGCAATGGCAACCGCAAGGTCCCCCCTCTTTACATAAATTTGCTCTTGTTGCATCCCAAATTATCCATGTGACGGCTGAGAGTGTAACAGATGAGAGCGCCATACTTGAACTCGGGGACGTGGGCCCGCGCGACGAAATGGTGGTACGAGGACGAGATTTATCCATTATTATGTCTGGCTCTGGTAGAATGAATTTAGATTTACCATGCAGAACTCTTGGCGTACAAACATGTTTGCAACACAGCCTTTTTTATGGTCGAGACAGAGACTTCGCATAAGTACATTATCCAGACCCAGGCAAGTATTTGCAGTGCATAAGATCATTCTAACCCAAAATTGGCCGACGGGCAGCGTGTCAGACCCGGCAGAATCCCTGGCCTCCTTGAACACCAATGACATCACGGTCCCTGTCGCGAAATGGACGAACGAAGCTGCCGCCAGCGGCAGTGGCCTGGCCGAGGGACTGCACGATGTGCCCGTTGTATGGGAGAAAAAAACTGTATAAGTGTATAGTTTGCAGTGGTGCGGAGGACGATGCAAGACAAAGACTGTCACGCTGGTCATCATGCGTGCTGGATGTGCTCCAGAGGCTAATTTCATACGCGTTTTCACGTACCAGCTACGCTCATTTGTATATGCAAAACTCGGCTGTGACGCTCCTTTAGTGACTTCCTGGTATGACGTTGCTCTTACAAACTTTTCTTCTTGCATACGTTGCCGGGAGCGCGATCGGGCACTACACGCAGGTCGTCTGGGGCGACAGTTGGGAGCTCGGCTGCGCTGGGTTCCCAACCGGGAAAGCCGTTTTGTGTCAGTACGGGAGGGGAGGAAACATCGGGAGCGCCACCATGACGACGCATTTCAAGGAAAATGTGGTCGCCTTGTCGAAAACGGAACAGGAGTGCGCAGTATCGATGGCGCAAAAGTGTGTATATCTGTGTCTCGAGGAAAGCTATATATGCAATATTTTCGGATGATTGATAAGCCACCTGAACCTCCGATAATGGAACCTAGTTGCAGCCCGTGACAAGTTTCTGAGCGATGTGATTCTCGTGGTCCGAAAAGTCTGAGAATATTTTTACAAGCCGCGTCTTTGCAGCTGTACATATCAAAAAATCGCATTTCTCTCTCTCTTCTTCACTTCTCCCAAGGATTAGTTGCAACTCTTGCGACTTTCCAGTCTCAGAGACGAGATGACATATTTGCGCTGCATACTTGGGAGCAAATGACGACCAGTACCAGGTGCAGGGGTCGGTGAAGATCTTCCTCCCGGGGGCCTCGGTCAGCACCTGCGGGAGCGCGGAGTCGTTTATTTTACTCGCGTAGCCTCTGCAAAAGTTAAAGTATTGCACTCGTACTATTGATTGGAATTGTGCATCTTCATGACGAGGGATTCAGATTCTTCTCCTTCATGTGAACCAGCAATACAAACAAATTACGCTTTTCCTACTTTTCCTCAGTGGATTTTTGATGCGGTTTCTTCTACTAGTTGTATGTAGTGAGGTCACCGAACGGTTCTAACCGGGGAGTTTTTTTGACATATACCCTCAAAAACGACCGGCAGTTTTGAAGCCTGTAGAGAGTTTTTTTGCATGAAAAAGATCCCAGCGTGCAAGCCTGTTTGGCTTACCTGGCACCGAATCGCCAGCGGATTCTATCGATCGCCACTGGGTAAAACGACGCAGAGAAGCCAGCAAAAGGGGCGCCCTTCTGGGGCGCCCACCGCCTTGGTTTCTGGCGGTTTGGGGCGCCCAAAAGGGCGCCCGAAAAAAACGCACCGAAAATCAGAACAAGCGAAACAGCATGGCACGGCCGCGGTTTCGGAGCATTTTGGGCGGCCGCGAAAGCGGCCGCATTTTCGCCGGTTTCAGAGCCTGGGGGGCTTTGCAAAAAGCGCCGACCAGAAAAGTAAAAACGCAAAAAAGCAAAAGCGCGCCAGACGCGCAAAGCCAATCCGCATGCTACGGGCCCGATTTTTCTTCGCTTTTTGGGCGCCCCCCGTGGCACCCGGATCGGCCTCATAGCATGGGGGCTGGCTTTCGGAAAGGAATATCGGAAATTTGCCAAAATTTGCGACGTTTATCAAGCGGCCGCCATACCGTGCGGCCTAACGTTACTCACGGCGGTACGGCGAGCCCAGAAAAAGCAAAGCCGCGGCCAAGGCGACGGCCGGCAAGAAAACGCCCACGACCTCACTACCTCCGCCCCGGCGGCTATATTTGGTACAACGACAAGATACTTTTGCAATGCATACTGCCCTCGAGAAGCCAGTGAAGGAAGCGTTTAAGGCGCATTTTTCGTTGACCAAGACTTCCTTCGACGTTTACATTGAGGACAAACCGAATTACGGAGCCAAGTGTATGGACTTCTCAATAAGCGTCAGATTGATAGCTGTTGCGTTAATTTATGATTCAGAATTACAGCAAAAGTGAAGGGAGAAGCAGCTCGCTTGCGCGTTTTGCATTACAGTTGTGGACCGGATTTTCATGCCGTTGAGCGCTTCGAGAACTTGTCATGCGCAGGAGCTTGGTCTCGTGCGCAATGATAGTGAATCTGCATGACAAAAAAATTATGTATAGATACAGTGAACTACATCAATGGCACGCTTGAGAATCTGATGAATTGCTCGGCCGAATCCTCGGGCATGTCATACGAGTTTGGGTTTATCCTGAGGTCGTTATCCGCTGGGAAAGCAAAGTGTGTGAAAACCGCTTTGGCGGGCGACCTTTCTGCATTGTTCACCACCCTGCAGTATGCATTGCAAAAGTATCGTACTCGTATAAATGCATGACAATTTCCCTCAGCATGAGAAATAAAATTTGTAATGAGGATTTGCCTTGAAGAGAAAAAAATTTGTAATGCATGATTGCAATTACTACGAGTACGATACTTTTGCAGAGGATATGCAGTCGAAATGCAACGAGTTTCCGGATTCTCAGGTAGGGGCGTGTGCCACGACGTTGTCCGGTGGGGTGAGCGATTTGAAGCTAGGAAGTGAATTTACCCTCGAATACAGGCCGCCCATGTATTCAGTGCAAAAGTGCGTCGCTATTGCTTGTAAGTGGTGTTGCATTCATGCATTCTGGCAGAGTTGTAGACTACCTGTTTGTGATTGTGAGCTTAACAACATTTTTTAGCCTGACGGGCTCGAAATTTCATCCTGAAAAGGAGCGAGCTTGTTGTAAGCAGGCCTTGTACAACAGCCAGTTGTGCGATAGTACTTTTGCACGGGATAAGACGAGCGATGAGGCCACTGTCACCGCTGACGCAGACTGCACCAGCGGGGCGGGAACGGGAGGAACAGCAGCTTCGACGGTATCCACGACAGTCAATTTCCCGTACACGTTTTTGCATGTGGATTCTCCATGACACACTTTCCCTTCGCCTTCGATCCTCTGCTGCATGACAAGTGTTACTCTCTACGCTAGCGAAAAAAATATTTGTGATGCCTTTTCTAGCTCGTAAGTTGTATCCGGGACCGGGAAATTTAGACTGCATAGACGGCGGCCCCGGCTGCCACCACAACCCCGGTTGTCACCGTAACCTCCGCTACGACAGCCGCGGCAACGTCGTCCTCAACTTCAAGCACAAGCTCAACGTCTACATCAACGTCGACGTCGAGCACAAGTACCAGTACGACCACAACAACCACCACAGAGGCGTCGACAACTACGACGACCACAACGACCACAACGACCACAACGACGACAACCACGACGACCACGACGACCACGACAACAACGACCACCACCACAACGACGACCACCACCACTACCACCACCACGACAACCACCACCACCACGACCACGACAACCACCCTCCCGAAGTTCCTGCGTTCTTTCCAGGTAGAGCTCACCGTGCCTTCCAGCGAGACGGCGGCGTCCATGGCGGCGAATGCGGACTTTTTGAAGGCCATGAAGAACGGCACGCAGTTCTACTTCAATCACGACCCTGCTTTGAGTTTCGCGGTTGCCGATCTGGTGGAATACACTCTCGCTGCGTCCGCCGTGCAGACGAGCTCGGACACCGAGGCATTTGTGGATGCGAACTACACCGCACAAGTTCCGTATCAAATGTAAATATGTCTGGGTCTGGAAGAATGCAACTTGTGATGCCGCATTTGGATTTCAAAAAAATCTGTATTGCATGAGCAGCAAAGGGAGTATAATTTTTGCTACGGCAAGAGGGCGCTTGTCATGCGGAATAGGCATCAAGAAGCCCTCAAAAAATCTCTGATGCTAGGGCATGCATCACAAACATCTTGGCTCATGTGAAACTTGCATGACAAGTCTCAGAATCTTCCAGACCCAGACAGTTTTGCAGTGCATATTCCGCAGGGGCAGCTGATGTCCGACTTCGAGGCGCGGTGGCCAGACCCAAACTTATCTTCCGACCTATGCAAGAAAAAAACTGTGTAAGTGTAAATTTGTGTTGCAGAAGATGCGACAGAGTTACACCTGTCATGCCAAACAGCCATGAAGTCCTCTTTTCATGTGTGTTTTCCCTTAAAAACCATGCATGACAGGCTTTCTCTGTCATGTAGAGCAAATTTGTGATGCTGTTCCTCAAAGAAAGTTACACTTACACAGTTTTTTTCCTGGATACGACCAGCTAGATTTGTATTGCCGGGCAGTGTCGAGGAAAAAGCTCGAGTCAAGTCACTTTTACACACAAGTCATCTGCTGGATTTGTTCATACTCCGACTTATTGTTGAGCAGAGGCGTTTTAGTCCGCTTGCTCCTGGAGAAGATTTTTTTGAAAGTTTTCGAAAGTTCAGTTTTGCAGTTTTCAATTTCTTTTAGCCGTTGGAGCAAAGCGGCCTCTGGACAAGTTGTCGGCGGGTCCTGTGCTTTCGCATTCGCGTACGGTGTGGACGCGAAATTAGAAGGCTGCTGGCACAAGACCTCGGTGACGGCAGCGATCTTGCAGGCACGACAGGGAAGAGAGCAGCGGTTTCCAGATTTCGCGAGGACCGAAGATGGATGCCATAATCGTTTCCGGTGAGCTCCTTGATGCAGTGGCAGCTGCAGGGACGGTTTCTCTGATGTTGTGACTAAGAGTGCCGCAATCTCAAACGTGCAAGCACTACAGTGACGCTCGCATCAACTCCAATGGTACCATGTCGTCCACAATAGAAAATTGATATAGTGTCTGTCGTGATAAAAAATCATAAATGTGGTCACGCATTTTAACCTTGTAGTTGTATGACGAGGAAAGAACGACGTAAAAATTGAAACCTGTAGTCGGAATTTGAAAATGAGGTCTACCTGTATTTTAACTTAAATCGCTCGTATATTTGGATCAATCTCTTCTAAATCCATCGGAAGAACAACAAGCAGAAGATTTTTATCGTGTGAGAAAGACAGACTAGACTTGACTCAAAGCTTTTTTCTCCTGCACACCTCGCTGAAACAGTACATCGACGACTCAGTCACGGTTGCGGCGATCTCGGGCGTTTCTGTCGTCTCAGTTGTGTCCCAGCAATCGCCTACCACGACAACCACCACGACGACCACCACTACGACAACGACCACCACGACGACCACCACCACCACGACAACCACCACCACCACGACTACCACGACAACAACACTCCCATCGTTCAGTAGGAAGTTCACCATCCAGCTGAACACCCCGTCGACGGAGACGGCCAGTAGCATTGCGGCGATGCATATTCATTGCAAATATGTCTGGGTCTGGAGAAGTGCCAGGTTTGTCATGCATATTTTCCATGACCCATGATGTCTATGATGCATGCCCTAGCGTCACAGATTCTGCGAGGACTTTCTGATGCTTATACCGCATGAGAGACGCCCTCTCCGCGTAGCAAACACTGGACCCTTTTTGCTGTTCATGCAATACAGATCTCATGTAGGATCCAAAGGTAGCATCACAAGTTGCTTCCTTCCCACCAAGACATATTTGCAGTGCATAATGCAGTCGGTGGTCGATGCCATGAAGAACGGCACGCAGTACTACTTCAATAGCGATCCGGCCTTGAGCTTCGCGTATGAAAGCCTCAGGTTGGAAATCCTCAAAGTGGAAATGATTTGTAATGCAAAAAAACGACTCCAGCTGAAGCGCCATTTGTAGTCGGCGCATGACAAATTTCCCGGGCACTTAAAGCATGTCTGTCATGCAGGTTAAGGCAAAGGGGTGTCCTTCTCTCGTGCTAAGCAGCACTCCAATTCTTTACCCCTAGCAGGACAATAGTCGGCCTCCATTTTCGCGTCCTCTGCAATACAGGCTTTTTTGCTTCGCATTTCATGCATCACAAATCATTTTCACTCTGAGGATTTCCATTCTGAGGCTTTCATATCGCGATGAGCGACCTGACGCAGTTCGAGGTGGCCGCGGCGTCGAACCAGTCCGCCAGCGTGACTTTAGCCGACATTGACGTCACGTATACCGCGCAAGTGCCCTCCGGGCAAGCTCTGTCCGACTACGAAACGAGGTGGCCGGATCCGGATTTATCCACGGACCAGCAGGATCTGTTGAAGCAGTACATCAATGAGAGCAGCACTATGGCATCGAACCCGGATATCACGGTGAGTAGCGCAGATATTGTGAGTCAGCCGAGTCCAACGACGACCACGACGACCTCAACTAGTACGACTACGACTACCAGTACCACGACAACAACGTCGACAACCACCACAACAACGAGTACTAGTACGACAACGACCGAAGCAAGTACGAGTACCACCCAGGCTGCCACGACAACTCAAGCTGCTACAAGTACTGATGCTTCGAATACTACGACGGAAGCGCCAACCACTCAAGCTGCTACTACTGCTGCTTCGAATGCTACGACGGAGGCGCCGACGACTCAAGCTGCTACTACTGTTGCTTCGAATGCTACAACGGAGGCGCCAACGACTCAAGCAGCGACGACGCAGGCACCCAATACAACTACCGAAGCCCCGACCACCGCAGCTGCGACAACGCAGGCACCCAATACAACTACCGAGGCCCCAACAACCGCAGCTGCGACAACGCAGGCACCCAATACAACTACCGAGGCCCCGACCACGACTGCAGCAACGACGGTGGCCGCGACGACGGTGGCAGCTGCAACCACCGCCGCTGCAACCACAGCAGCCGCCACAACCGCTGCTGCAACGACTACCGCGCTGCCGACTTTACAGTTCGGAGGCTCGGTGGCCTGTTCGGGGGACCCGCAGACCTGTGCCTCGGACCCGGACCTGGTCAGTGCCATGAAGCAGGGGACGGCCACGTATTTGGCGAATTCGCTCCCGGGCACCACGGCGGCCGACCTGCAGAACTTCCAGCTGACGGTGACCAACACGTCCATGTTCTTGCTGGAGTTTGAGTTCTCCTACGGCACACAAAGAGCGGACGTGGACGTCGTCGCCTCGTTTCAAATCGCCGTGCCGGCAAACGAGACGGCGGCACTAGATCAGGCGTTCCCGGCGGCCGGATTGGACAGCGCGGCGTTGAACAGCCTGAGCAGTGTATCGTAAGGAAAAATCCCCCCTCCCCATATTGAAAGTGCATCCATCTGAAAATTTGTGATGCAGATTTGAATTTGTGACGACCACAAGTCGCGTCTGTCTTGCAAGGAGGCAAGTCCAGGCCGCCCGGCACGTTGTGCAGGCGATTTGTAACGTCGTAGGGCCTACAGGGCAGCCGTCTATCATGCTAGGCGCCTACACCCAAAGCCCCTACCTAGGCTTGCGAGCTGCGTGCGGAGCTCTACTGCAGCACAGATTTGGTTTGTGTACTGAAATACAGCGCCACAAATTTCGTTTTTGATATGGGATGGGGGCTTGTTTCGCTTTGATACAGTGCGGTTACCAGTGCGGTCTCTGCGGCTGCGATCCCGGGAATCGCTGTGAACTCTCTGAGCAGCATGCCATATGCATTGCAAAAGTATCATGTTCATACTACGTTGCAAAAATTTCTGTTTTGGAGTTTACCGGGTACGCGGTTAAGAGTTTGTCGACGTAATTTACAAAGGGACGCCCTGCCCTTAGTTTCCCAACATGACAAATTTTGGAAGAAGAAAAAATGCAATTTCTTGTAGTGTTGATATAGGTAAATAACAAACTAGATTTGTCATGCTGTGCTGCACTTAGTACGAGTTTGCGAAGATACTTTTGCAAAGCATATACCACGGCCGACGACGACGGCCCCGCCAGCAGCAACGACGCAGGCTATCCAAGAAAAAACACCCATCCACATCCAATTTGTCATGCAAAACATGCATAAAATTCTGTATTTGTCATGCAAAAAATGGATGTTGATGGGTGTTTTTTCCGTGGATACAGGCCGCGGCGACCACACAAGCCCTAGCGGCAAACACGACGGAAGCGCCCACGACCACAGAAGCTCCTACCACGTATTGTGAGGAAAAATCCCCCCTCCCCATACCAAAACGGGATACTTCAGAAAATTTATGATGCTGATTTCGGGCCACAAATCGTCTCTGTATTGCCAGAAGGCAAATCCAAAGGCCTGGCCGCGTTCTGCCGGCAATTTGTAATGCTGTATGGCCTACGGCGGATATGTCTGCATTGCTAAGCGCCTCCGCAAAAACGCCCCTACTCCGGCCTTGTATCAGTTACAGTTTGCAGTCCTCTACTGCAAGACAAATCCGATTTGTGTACACAAATGAATCCCGCATCACAGATTTCCATCTCGATATAGGGAGGGAGATTTTTCCTTTTGATACCACGGAGGCACCAACCACAGTGGCGGTCGTGGCGAACACCACAGTCGCGCCGGCAACTACGACGGGCATGCCACCTGCGACGACCACAGCAGCTCCTGCTCCGCCGGCGGCAAATATGACGAAGTATCAACTGCAAAAATGTCTGGTTCTGGAAGATTGCAACTTGTAAATGCTGTTTTTGGACTGTAAAAACAATTTGTATTGCATGACCAGCAAGATGAGGGGTACGCTTACACTTTTTGCTTCACGGGCAGGGCATTATTTCTCATGCGGACAGTGCATCAGGAAGCCCTCTGAAAGTCTGAGACGCTAGGTTGTGCATTACAGGCATCATGTGTCATGAGAAATATGCATGACAAATCTTGCATTTTTCCAGACCCAGACACTTTTGCATTTGATACGAAGCTGTTCCGGGCAATCTCGGTGGATCTCGAGATTCCATCCAGCATGACGGCAGACCAGTTGGCCCAGGATCCGGACTTTATGTTGGCCATCCAAGAAACCTACAGCAGCTATCTAGAGACGCAGATCGGGGCGGCTGGGCACAACGCGGGGGCGGTGAAGGTCGAGCCGACGGACGTGATGGACATTGTGGTCACGGTTCTGGGTGCCGCGACGCCTTTTCTCTTCTTGCAGACCGGCATGGAAAGTGAGATGGACATGGAAGAGGCTGTGTACGCGCAAGAAAATTCGATGTCTACACAGCTGGTGCGACAGTCAAAAACCCAAGCGGAAGAAAAGACGTTGACGGCTGGCAAAAGCAAGCACAAAAAAGCTGAAGCCGGCCACAAAAGCAAGAAGCACCGGCAGCACCATAAGAAGCAGGGCAACAAGGGGAAGACAACAAGTAGTAAGAGTACGAAAGAACAATCCTCGGAGAACAATTACGAGTCGGGCGCCTTGTTGAATCTGCAGCAAGCGAAGCGCTCCCAGCCGGTAACCCTGCAGGTGAACGCCAATGTCCAGGTGCCGAACACGCTCTATGCATTGTAAAAGTGTCTGGGTCTGGGAGATTCTGAGACTTGTCATGCACGTTTTGCATGAGCCATGATGTCTGTGATGCATGCCGTAGCATCACAGGGCTTTCGAGACGTTCGTGATGCCTGTTTCGCATGACAAATGCCCTGTCCGCGTAGCAAAAATTACTATTACATTCCCTTTGCTACTCATGGTCATGCAATACAAATTTTTTTGGAATCCAAATGCAGCATCACAAGTTGGGTTCTTCCAGACCCAGACATTTTTGCATTTGATACGCTCTCCGCCGTGGCCAACGCAGCCTGGACCGCCACGGCCCCGCCTTCGAGTTTGATGACCGGACTTTTGACCGCCAATCTGCAGTCAAAATCGGGCTTGTCCACAATCACCGTGACTGGTATCAACTACGCCACAACGACCACCACCTCAACCTCGACCATGGCCACGTTTCCGCCCACAACTCTGCCCCCACCTACGACACTACCAGTCGCGGTAACAACTACAACCACGACGACCACGACCACAACGACGACCACCACGACGACCACGACCACGACGACAACCACTACTACGACGGCGACGAGCATCCCGAACTGGGTGGCGTCGCTGTTCCGGCTCGTCAAGGGTGCGCTGAAGAACCAGACCCCGGTATCCTGTGTAAAAACGTCTCCATCCCAGAGGTGTCATGCAGATTTGCGATCACAGGAAGATTTGTAGTGCGCATCTCCATGAGAGGCATTTCCAATCGCATTTTGGAATTTGTAATGCTGTAAAGGAATGAGCAGACGGATTTGTGATGCTGCTGAACTAGCTAAACAGGACTACACAACTACGAAGCCAAACTTGTCATGCGCAGCAGCCAAAGGTTGTCGATTTGTCTTGCAGATTTCCCAACTTGAGTATGAGGTGTGAACGTTTTTACAAATGATACCCGGGGCCGGCCCCTACGGTGATTCCAATTCCGGCACCTGCACCGGCGCCGTTGCCGCCTCCGCCGGCACCGATGATTTTCCCCGACAACGGGGGGTCAGCGGCGGCGTCCGCGTCTGCAGAAGCGTTTAAGTCCTTGTCGAGCGCGATGGCCAGTATGATGACGAACCAGGCGAACAAACCCACACCGCCGCAGCCGAATATCAACATTACAATTGGAAGCGGTAGTACTTTCTTGGATTTTTCATAAATGCAGTTTCTATTTCTACTTGTGAAAGCACTCTAATAGTTGTACGTGGTTATTTCCGTTTCTCACCTGCGTTGTAATATAGTATGCCGCAACTACCCAGATCGTTAGAGATCATAGAAATATCAATACAACAGACGCACTGAACCCGAATTCGCAGTCTGGCGGATCGAGCCCCGACCCTAGCAAGCAGCAGGGGGTGAACATTCCGCAGAGTCTGCAGGTCTACGGTGGCGGCCCGAACCCCGGCGTGTCTTACCAAGCGAACCTGCGCGGCCGGCGCCGACGCGCGCAACAGCAGCAGCCTTTGGTGATCAACAACGGTCCGCTCCCCTACGTCCCCCCGGGCGGGAATTATCCACCACTGGTGAGCGGCGGCGTACCGGCCTACCCGCCGTACCCGTTTGTCTACCCCGGCGGGGGTGCCCCGGTAGCGACGCAGCAGTCGAGCGGAGGAGCAGCTCCGGTGTCCCAGACGCAGCAAGTCGGCGGCACGTCTTTCCAGCCAGCGCAGCAAGTCGTTCCTATGGCTGCACCTATCGAAGTGAAAAAAGCCCCCACCCCATATCGGAAACGAAAGGTGCGCGAATTTGTGGTGCTGTATTTGAGTACATAAATCGACTTGTATTGCTAGAAGGCCAATAGACGAAGCTGCGGCCTAAATTGCAGGTAGTCTGTCATGCTGTTTCCCCCTTCCAGTTGCCTCCTGTCATCTTGGAGCTGCAAGGCTTTCCCACGCTGGGCAGCACTACAGTCCGCAACTTTTGCCTTCTAGCATCACAAAGCTGATTTGTGGCCACAAATCTGCATCACAGATTTCCGTTTTGATATGGGGAGGGGGCATTTTTCATTGTGATAGCACCCCCGATTACAACGACAGGTGGCGGTGGCGGCGCAGTGGCCGTGGCGCAGGCACCGCCGGCCGCCCCACCTATGAGAGTGCACAACTGCCCCCCCTCATTTGTATTGCATGAACAGCAATACAAACACCACCACACGTGGAGCCTGTGCATGACAGATTCATGCGCCTAGTGTAGTACGGTTTGGGCTTCGGAATCTGTGACGCAAAGAGTGCCACAGGGAAGCCCTTGGATTTGGGGTTTTGCATGACAAACAAGGTCCGAGCACGGGGACAGAGTCCCCGTGCGACGACCTTCCGGCATTTGCCTGCCTGCGCGGTGGCACTGGGCCGCAGGCAGGTCGCCTGCAGCTGGGTATCTCGGTGCGCCTTGCATTCACTGACCCGCGACGGGCCTGCGGACGCGGCTCCCTTGCTTGCGCGCACTAGGTCCGTTAGCCTGCCGCGCGCAAAGATAATGAAAAAGAAAAGAAGAAACTGGCGCCGGGTGCGGGTCTGGAGCGAGCCGGCCTGCAAGTCATGACGCGGCGGCAGAATCCCCGCACTGCGTGGTGTCCGGAGAGTGTTCGTAGCTAGCCCCTAGGCCATGACGCGGGGACCGAGTCCCCGCGCTGGCCTAGGGCTTTCGCCCCTTGGCCGCACGGTGTCCGGGAAGCACTTGCAGCTGACCCCTAGGCCATGACGCGGGGACCGAGTCCCCGCGCTGGCCTAGGGCTTTCGCCCCTTGGCCGCACGGTGTCCGGGAAGCACTTGCAGCTGACCCCTAGGCCATGACGCGGGGACCGAGTCCCCGCGCTGGCCTAGGGCTTTCGCCCCGTGGCCGCACGGTGTCCGGGAAGCACTTGCAGCTGACCCCTAGGCCATGACGCGGGGACCGAGTCCCCGCGCTGGCCTAGGGCTTTCGCCCCGTGGCCGCACGGTGTCCGGGAAGCACTTGCAGCTGACCCCTAGGCCATGACGCGGGGACCGAGTCCCCGCGCTGGCCTAGGGCTTTCGCCCCGTGGCCGCACGGTGTCCGGGAAGCACTTGCAGCTGACCCCTAGGCCATGACGCGGGGACCGAGTCCCCGCGCTGGCCTAGGGCTTTCGCCCCGTGGCCGCACGGTGTCCGGGAAGCACTTGCAGCTGACCCCTAGGCCATGACGCGGGGACCGAGTCCCCGCGCTGGCCTAGGGCTTTCGCCCCGTGGCCGCACGGTGTCCGGGAAGCACTTGCAGCTGACCCCTAGGCCATGACGCGGGGACCGAGTCCCCGCGCTGGCCTAGGGCTTTCGCCCCGTGGCCGCACGGTGTCCGGGAAGCACTTGCAGCTGACCCCTAGGCCATGACGCGGGGACCGAGTCCCCGCGCTGGCCTAGGGCTTTCGCCCCGTGGCCGCACGGTGTCCGGGAAGCACTTGCAGCTGACCCCTAGGCCATGACGCGGGGACCGAGTCCCCGCGCTGGCCTAGGGCTTTCGCCCCGTGGCCGCACGGTGTCCGGGAAGCACTTGCAGCTGACCCCTAGGCCATTACGCGGGGACCGAGAGAGGCCCCGCGCTGGCCTAGGGCTTTCGCCCCGTGGCCGCATGGTCCGTCTCGCGACGCGTGACAGACTGGGCTTCGGGGCCAAACCTCGCATGACAAAGTCCGAAAGTTTGGCCGGGGTGTGTCCGAAAGTCTGCCCGGGGTGTGTCCGAAAGTCTGCCCGGGGTGTGTCCGGGGTGTGTCTGGGGTATGTTCGGACTTTTTGCCTGGGGTGTGTTCGGGGGTCTGTCTGGGGTATGTCTGGGGTGTGTCTGGGGTGTGTCTGGGGTGTGTCTGGGGTATGTTTATACCCCACCTTCTGCGTTTTCGCCAAAAATGTGTATTCAGGTCGTGACTGACTGCCATTTGCATACCCCTGACACACCCCCGAACATACCCCCGAGCATACCCCTCGCATGCATTTTTGACCAGCTGCTGCAGTTTAGATAGTAATGAGGGAGAGGGGGGGGCTGTGCACTCTCATACCACCAATCCAGATCCCAGTTCCCGTGCCCGCACCCGCACCACCACCACAGGTCGTGCACGTGCCCTACGCGCAGCCGGTTGTGTATCAAATGTAAAAATGTCTGGGTCTGGAAGAGGAGAAGTTTGTCATGCACATTTTCCATGATCCATGATGTCTGCGATGTATGCCGTAGCATCTTCACAGATTTTTTGAGCGCCTATCGATGCGCATCCTGCATGACAAAAGCCCTCTCGTCCGCGTAGCCAAATTTGACTCCTCTTGCTGCTGATGCAATACAGATTTTTTTAGCATCCACATGCAGCATCACAAGTTTGGTTCTTCCAGAGGACCCAGACATATTTGCAATCCATATTGTGCAGCCCGTGCACATTCCGTACCCCGTGCCCGGACCGGTCAAGGTGACGCCGGTCCCGGTGCCAGTACCCGCACCAGCCGGTGGAGGAGCAGGCGCGGCCGGAGGTGGACCGCAGGTTGTTGCGCCCGCGTTGGCGAACTACATGCCAAACGCAAACATCAACACGGGAGCTGCTGCACCAGCACCGAGTCCCGCTCCAGCCGGCCCGGTTGCGTCTCCCGGTGGGCCGGTCGCAGCTCCAAGCACAACGGGTAGTACTCCGTTTCTGGTAGAGAAGGGACGAAAGGTGGTGGACGTTTCTCCAGCGGAGAGCAAAGTGATCAGGCCGCATGAGGTTAGCTCTGCTAGTGCTGACAAGAACACGCCAGCCTGGGCGTCGAAGCTGATGAAGGATATCAATTTCTTAAAAAGCAGTGGAGCACCGCCGCCGCAGTAACGACGAAAAAGTAAAAAGAAAGCAGGAGTCTTTTATTACATTATGAAGAGATCGAGATCTTCAGAAAGAAACACCTAAATTTAATTTTCAGCTAGCAAAATCTTCACTTCTTATCATCTTAGATCTAGTATTACCTTTTACTTAAGCAGACGAGAAGATATCGTTGCAGATTTCAAAACGAGAAGTTGGAATTTTCAAAGATAAACGATAAGTATGTAGTTTCCCAAGGAATATGAACTACGATGAGACGGTACTAGAAATAGAATACCAAGTACCCATTGCTTTCCATTTCCATACCTTCAGCTTCACGATCACGAAAACAATCAAAATGATTTTTACTAAATATTTTTTTTCACCCGTTTCGCGCATTCGAGATCCAAAAGATTTGTTTCATCCTGCTATCTTGCGGATAGGAAAACTACAAAGGTAGTTGCAGGACAATCTATGCACAGTTGCAGGCCGTAGTTGCAAAATGATCTACATAGAGATAGACACTAGAAGAATTTCCTGCTGCAATACAACGATTCTCCATGTTGATGTTGAGTATCCGCGATCAAATGAACAATATATGATGAAGGAGGAATCACCGGCATAGCGTTGGCCTACTTTGCTGGGGGAGCAAGTGGTGAAGAATAAATCGATTTATTTTCAATGCATCAACAACAGCAGCAGCTATGATATACAAGCGCTACTAACTCTAGCTTGCAATTGTATCTATGATTTTCAACTCGCAGGAGCATAGCAGGGAAATAAAAGAAAGAGAAAAAAATGTGGCACGCATTTACAGTGGCAATTTGGGCCTCAGTTCCTCGACATTGCAGGCCAGTCCAGTTGAACCAAAAAGAGGACCTGTCTTGGCGTGCTCCTTCTGCTTGCTTCTTCAAAAAGTGCAAATTGGGATCGTTTGTTTTGAGGCCTGGTGATAGGGAAGACAAAGATTCAGGTTCAGCAAAGTAGGAAAGCGAAAACATATTGCAGCGCTATCTGATATAATGTGAGGAGGCGACTTACGCATGCTTTCTGGGTGGATGTGAGGCCGTGCCGGAATCAAAATCATGGCAAGATCTAGATCATGAAGACGATTGGGTTGCATTTGTTTGTGCTGACACGACCTGAGCTGGTGGCCATTTCCGGGAGGTGAAAGCAGAATTATGTCTGGTGTGCTCTGGCAAAGCTGCAAGCCGTGTATGCGTTGAGGTTGTGGACTTCTGAGTTGGAGGAATAACAAAAGTGAAGCCCAGGTGGAGCTGGTGCAGTTGGACAGATCATGAGGATGAGGATGATGTTGTAGTCATGATCTTCTTCAACTTCAACCTTTTTCTGCTTTTTCATCTGACGTAGAGCTCAACGTCAGCAAAGTACGACTACCAATGACAACAAGATGCAATTAGCTACCTGATAAATCGAAGTCGAAAAGATGCGGGTAAGTGCCCTACAGTTGTTTCCCTGAAAAGAAGCGGTCCGTGTGACCCGGACATCCAGATCCGGTCATGAAGCTGACCCCCTACTTGCGCGCAGGCGGTCCGTTGTGCGCCGCCGGGCTCTATTTTCCACAATCCTGGTGGTCGGCCGAGGGTGTGCTTGTGTCAACGGACAAGGGACAGCATGAGAAGAAGCTTCGTGTCGAAACAAAAAGTGGTAAAGCGCACGCCGCTGCCCACCAGCAGAAACACAAGCACAAGCACAAAAAGCATCGCGGAAGGAAGAAGCGCCATACTGGAAGAGGAACTGCAGAGGAAAGTGAAAAAAAAGAAATTCCTGGAGTAGAGGAGGCGACTTCTAGCACAGCAGAAGCTCCTGCAGATTCATCTCCCGAGGACGGCGGTCGTGCAGCAAAGAGCGACACGGGTATTAAGTCTGCTGCAAATGACGAACGCGACGACCAGGACCTCGGTGACAAATCTTTCCTGCAGGAAGAAGTGACGCAGGAGGAAAAGGAGGAAGAATTAGCATCAAGAAGGCAGCAGGAAGAGACCGTCGATACCCAATCGAAATCCGCAACCGAAGCAGAAAGTGAAGATAAAACCGAAAACGAGGCCACAATTAAGAACGACGCGGCCAAGGAAGAAAAGAACGAGAATGACATCAACCGTTTCAGCGAGGAACTGGCAGCCGGAAAGAGCTATCTATTGCAAAAGTAGTGTGCTCGTTGTACCAAATTGCAATACAGCATAAAACAGGATCTATTTTTTGCTGACCCTAATCTGCACGACGAATTCCATTTGTTCTTGAATACATTGTAGATAAAATTATAGGTACCAATTAACGTTGTAGACTTTTGCAATGCATAACGGCGGAACTAGAAAGAGGAAAAATTACGTGGACATTACGGAGCAAGGTAAAGAAAACAAACCCAAGAATGTATCCTGGATAAAAACTTCCCATTTCCCGAAAGTCAAGATAAGAAATCTGCTAGACAAATCCAGAAGTTTTCCGTATTAGGCATGATGACACACCTGGACACTTTGTGCATTAAGCCGGTTTGGAAAGAATAAAAGCCGCACCATAAATTGGCCAACTCATCCTGAATAGCGTATTACGGCAGTAAACTTCCTCCAGACTCTCTGCGGTAGAATAAAATATACGCTCCGCATGGGGCAGTTGCGCATGGGACCCAATCTGGGCAACAAGTACATGCTCATCCAAATAATACTACGCATGACAAGTCTTGAGCGGGCGGGACGTCGGCGCTTTATTTCCTCAGGATACCGAGAGAAGAAGTGGAGCCTCGAGGAGCTGGCCGGGGAGGGAGTCCTGAGTGACGAAATGGACGCGGAACTGTATGTATGCATTGCAAAAGTATCGTACACGTACTCGTGTAAATGCATTACAAATTTTCTTAGCGTGAGAAATAAAATTTGTAATGCGGATTCAACTTAAGAAAAAGATTTGTCATGCATGACTGCAATTACTACGAATACGATACTTTTGCACAGGATAGTATGACCGGTACATGACGGGGGAGTTTGACACGCAGCCACAGAATAAGCAACTCGTATGACAATGCACAACTCCCTCTCCTCCTCATTTGTATTGCATGAACAGCAATACAAACACCAGCACACGTGGAGCCAGTGCATGACAAATTCATGCCGCTAGTGTAGTACTGTCTGGTCTTCCGGAATCTGTCATGCAGACAGTGCCAAAGGGAAGCACTTTGATTTGGGGTTTTGCATCACAAAAGAGGGGAAAGGGGAGTTGTGCACCCTCATAACTCGCAGAGCAGCTGCTCAACCTGAGTGACGAGGAAAAGGCCGGTGATCCGCTGACCATGGACACCTTGGCCTTCAAGCTGGACATGAAAAAGCCCGAAGTGGCCGCGTCGAACGGCGATAACGAACCGCGATTGGTGGAAAACATGAGCGCGAAGGAAAAGAGCGACGCAGCCGTCGAGGACGCTCCTGACGGAGATGAAGATGACCGGAAGTATTATGAGAAGCTGGTAAAAAAAAGCGAAGTTGACATTGGGAAAGGTATTACTACAGCCACTGGCACCACTGCTATCCCGAGAAAAAACGGTATACAGTTACTTCCACATTGCTTTTTGCAACTTCATCAACAACACAAACTTTCTCTGCATGACAGAGAAAACTGGCAACGCAGAGACCAGAAGGGAAATAAACACGTATGTTGAAGCGAGGCAGGCACTCATTTTGCGCACGAGGAAGGTAGTAAGTTGCGCCGGTCCTGCAAGACAATGTGTAACTGTATGCTATGCTTTTGTCTCGCCATAATTGCAGATGCAGCTAAACCGACGGAAGTGACGGTGCCAAAAGAGGAGAACGACGAAAACAAAGTATGCACAGCAAAACCAAAACAAGCATCGTAGTAGTTGTCGTGCTAATTGCAATATAGGGATGACAGACTTGCTTCGTAGGTTGTCCTAGAAGTACATGAGAGACTCAGACTCGGTTCTTATTTTACAAAAAAAAAAAATGTAATAGCATCCGAATCCCTACTTCCTACAAATACCAATACGATGCTTTTCCGTATCCATACAAAGACGCAAAAGTTTACTTCAACAAAGACGACGACACGTCGCTGGACAACACGGTCACGCTGACAGAGTATCCACAGAAAAAAAACCATCCACATCCAATTTGTCATTGTCATGCAAAAAACGTATCAAATCATGTGTTTGTCATGCAAAAAATGGATGTGGATGGTTTTTTTTCTGTGGATACAGAGTCCGACAAGACGATGAAGCTGAGTCAGGAGGAAGGATCCCAGAAGCTCGAGGAGGCGAGTGCGGAAACCCGGGGCGCGGCAAAGGCAGTCAAGCAAATGCAGGAGGAGTACAGTGTACGGGTTGGACTTCTGTTGTAGATTTATGCACTGCCACGCACGTGTTGATACAAATGCTGGTGGCATAGACATTTTTTTTATGAGGAACAAACGTTGACTTTCACTCACAACCACGTCCCGGAATCCGCATGACAAGTTTTATTTTTTTCGTTGGAAAGTCAAAGTTTTGTCGTGTATTCTCAACTTCAGCGTGTGTGGCAGTGGTGAATTTGTGTTGCATACAGTGCAGACGAGCTGGCTGCGGGGAGCGCATACGACGCGTACGATTCCATGAACGCACTTAACGAGGAAGAAGATTCGGAATTATTAGATTCCGCCTACGGGAGCGACAGCGACCAGTACTCCGGTATTAGAATTAGATAACTGCATAAGATTATGACTTTCCTTGCGCGCGGGATGCACGCATCTGCAGTCAGACCACGTGGCCATGCACAGACAGTTGGAGTCAGACGGATATCTTTATCTGAGCAGCCTTGTTTATTTTGTCATACGCTAAAAATATGCTTTCTGTTTATTTCTACTGCGTGTGGAAGTCCCAGGATTATTTGCATCAAATTTATACATAGAGAAGATGAAGATGATGAAATGAACGTACTCTATCAGGTGCAGATTTGTCATTCGCTTTGAACAGCAAGAGCGACCAACCGAACGTGACCGCGGCCGTTCCTGCGCTCGGCAGCGGGATAAACGCGACAACGCCTGCTGGTATCAAGCGCAAATATGTCTGGGGCTGGGAAGCGACTTCAAAAGTTGTGATGTTGTTTGTAGTCAGTCGTACAAAAATCTGTCATGCGCGTCGAGTATGTGAAGCTGGCCACTTTTGGCCTCGACGACCACATGCGAAGTTATAGGCATTGCAAGACTCATCATCTCGGCCCCGCATTGCAAACGGATTTTCCGGGCCGCGACAAACCTGTATGACAAACGAACCTTCTGCATTTTTCCAAAACCAGGCGTTGTTGCACGTTATAGGTACTACTCCGTCCATCCCCGGTCTCAACCCGTTGAACCCTGCGAACCCAGGACTGCAAGCCGGGCTCCAAGCCGCGCTGGGGGGCGCCTTGAATCAGACCGGGCCCGGGCAGCCGGCAATTCAGCAAGCGTTGCAAAACGCGCAGGCTGCTCTTGGAGCAGCCGCGACCCCCCCGCCAGTGCTGAACATCACGGTGACACCGGCGCCGGTGTCTCTCGAAGACCAAGTGAAAAAGCTGACCGAGCAGGTAGCGCAGAACACGGCGGCGCTCTCGAACGGCGCGAACGCCGTGCCCGCTGTTTTTCCGCCCCCAGGATCCCTCCGCCCCATCGTTCTCAGCCCCCTTACCGTGGCCCCGCCGCCGCCACCACCGCCTCCTGTTGTGGTACCAGCGCCGGCGCCGGCCACCCCACCTCCACCCAGCAGCTTCAATCTCCCAAACGGCGGCTATGTGCTGAAGACCAACGGCATGACGGTGGTGCAGCCCGGTTCGCCTTATTTGCAGGGGTCGGCGACGACAGTGGCGCCGGTGGGTGGCGCGGCCGCGCAGGTATTGATAAAAGGGATATAGTTTTATCATCCGGTTTGTTTTGTTGACTAGGACTCCTAATTCATAATTGGCGTTGTCTTCCAAGCGACCGCACAGAACGCATATGCAATGAGCATCAACTTCTACTGCTGCACCATACGTAGAAAGTGGATAGTATCGATGTACATGCAGTTAATACGTCACTGCTTTGTATTGTTAACAGGGCGACGATGACACGCCGCCTGCGTATTTGCAACCCCTGATCGACTCCATTGACAAGTTTACGCTGTGTGAAGTCTTTACTAACGCCACATCTTTTCCATGGGCCCCAGATGAAAAATTTGTGATGTGCTTATTGCCTGTTAATCGATAAAGATTGCATGTTGAACTTTGAATATTTGATACACGATGTGTGTCGTCCTTGTTCAAGGAGTTGCCTGGCATTTTTTTTTTGCCCTTGATCAGAAAGTGGCTCCTTTCATCACTCTGCATATGCTGGATCAAGTCACAGCAGGCCAATGCCACGAACCCGGCCGCAGCTGCCACTGGGGGAATCACGCTGGCGGAAACGAAGCGCAAGTTCTTGTCGAAATTGGACATGCACAGTTTCTCCTCGAAGACAGACGCGATGGAAGAGTTCAAGCGAGAAGCGACAGAAGCTGAAATAGAGGGCGGGAAAGCTAGCGTGGAAGATGAAAGTACTAGCAGTGAAGCAGCGGCAGTGGCAACGGAGGCAGATGAAACTGAAGCTACTTCTACTAGCGAAGCAGATCTAGCAGACACTCACGTAAGTGAACGTGACGGAGAGGCTTTGCAAGAAGCTGAGGAAGCAGAAACAACCGGCGAGGACTCTACGCGGCTGCGGCCATCTGAACGAACCGAACTGCAGAGGAGCGAAATGTCGGTGTCGCGGCAAAGCGAGGATAGCGTGCTGGCAACACCGGCGAATGAAGAGGAGAAAGTGGGAAGTCACCACCAGCGGAGGAATGTGGCCGGAACAAGTGGGCCGACACAAGACGATGCAGCAGCGGTTGCACAGCCGTATGCAAAGGAACGCAGATTTGTGTTGAATCGAGTATAGCTATAGAGATTATGTCTGCTATGGATCAGGTGTATCGCATCTAATGAATAAGGCGCTTCATCGGGCGAGTTGCTGCGAACCACCCAGCTCGAGGATGGAGCTCGACTTCCTTGGTTGAATGTAATAAATTTGCGTCTTGCATAGTAAGCAACTAACCGACCGCGTCGTTGGTCCGGAACAGCTGCGCAAGGCCGTCGAAATCGAGCGAGCGAAAGCGGAAGAGAAACGGCTGAAGGCGATCTTGCAGGGAACGAGTACGGAGGCAGAGCGACGAGCTGCCTATGAACTGCAAAAGTAAAAACTAGTATAAAATGCATTACAAATTTTCTCAGCACGAGAGATGGAATTTGTCAAGCTGATTTGCGTTGGGAACAAGATCTGTAATGTTGCAAGACTTGCATTTATACGAAACGAATACGATAATTTTGCAGTGGATACCGCCAGGACAGCGGCAATGCTCCACAACGCGGATGCGGCAGAGACCGAAGAGGACGTCCGGGACATCTACAAAGCCAAGTGGGATATGGACCGCTCAAGCGTTACGCTCTCAAGTGTTACACAAAGTTGTCATGCGAAAACACTAAAAGCGCAGGGCAGGCGAGAGATTGATTGCGCGTTTTGCATTACAAATTTGGAACGGATTCCCGTGCTGCTCAGCCCTTCCAGAATTTGTCATGCGAAGCACCTTGATCGTCTGGCGGCTCATCGTGATTTTGCATAACAAATCATGTAACAGTTGAGAACGATGCAACGTTTGAGAACGCCATATGGGAAGCGGAGGACTTGGAGCGGAGTTTTGACGCGTGAGGGAGAAGATAGTGCCGCTAAGAAAAAGACGAGCAATAATATCAACATCCGGGGCACCAAGTGCTCGAGCTCGCTCACTGACACTGGAGAGCTGAGTCCTACAATCTCCAACGATATAATCCACCTGTGGCAGTAGAATCAGAAAGTCTCATCTGGCACAAAATGAAAAAGAACATGATGCAGCAGAAGTGGAAGTGGCAGCTAGAAGACGAGCATCAAAGAAGTCCTAAAAAAATACATTAAGGCTATACTTTGCACTACTTTTTTCACTTTACATACAACTATCGGATCACGTCCATGTCGCATGTGGCGACGATACCAGATGCAGATGGAATAAATTGTCCAGAAATCTAACGATGATCAAGAAAGAAGTGATTTGCAGACCATAATTGAAATTGAATTTAAAACCAGAACAAAAAATATACAATGCTTTTATCAGATACAGATTCATTATCTCAACTAACAAAGAAAATTATCCGAGAATACAGCCATCATGCTGATGTTTTTTATGAAAAATGTTTCAGCCACAAAAATGTTGTGGATAAAGATATTGCCGAAAGAACAAACGCATTGAAAGAGGATCAAATTCCTTGAAATGTCATGTACAATGTTTACAGCGTAAAAGATATTCAAACAAAAACGGAACTTTTTCATGCATGCCAGGTGCCCGTAGCTCCTATGCTTGTGCTTCAATGGGTAAAAAACGAGCACAAAAAATGCAAAGACGGCACAGTAGGTGCAGGGTGAAAATCCATTGGGTCAGTATTCCCCTTCGCAGTTTCGTTCTTCTCTTGAAGCTGGAGCTGCAATAAGTACAAAAACAAATCGTTGGCCGCAAAAATGATCGCTGTCGTTTTCATTTCTGGAAGGTGCATCAGGGGGCGACTATCAGAGACCGCAATACGTAGTTGTGTAGAGGTACTAAAAACAACTCGCGGCCAGGGATGCAGCTACAGAAATGGAACACAGGAGGACGAGTGCGCGTCTGCGCGATAAGTTTAAATGATTTCTGTTTGTCACGGCGGGGGGTTCGGTGCTGATGAGATACTGTCGACTGCGCGCTCATACTTATCGTGATTACGACAACGAGAGTAAATTGATGAAATTGTATGAAAGAAAAAGAGACAGAGAGCGATCAATGCGCCGCAAAATTAGGCACGGGTCAAAAATTTGCGCAGCTCAAATCAGCACCAGCACAAAAAACGAAAGTATTTGCTTCTTAATTTTTTTGGCTGCAGTTCTGAAGAGCGTTGGATGCGATGCTCTGCGTCCAATATGTGGGCTGACGAGCAGCAAGTACTCCCGTCTGTTCATATTTTCTCCAAAGTATTGACTTGCCAGCATGCAACGGGGGCCGGCTGTCAGCAGCAGCAGCTCCTGCAGCCTGCCGGCCTCAACGAACAGGAACAGGGACGACCAGCAGCTGCAAGATCAGTGCCATCAAGTACGTCTTCAAAATTCATCCAGGATTACGAGCGGCGGTGTGGTCCTTATGAATTACAAATATGACAGGGTGTAGATCTCTGTGTGATGCGAAATGTAACGTAAGTAGCAATAGCTGTACATCACCAAGATCTGTATGGCAAGAGGGGGACTTCCACGTCTGGGCAGTTTTTTTGTAGTGGTGCAGGGACGCACTGATTTGTATGTAATCTTACCACACAACCAAATTCGCCATGAAATTATTATCTGCAAAACTTGTGATGCGTTTTTGCCGTCGTACAAATAAACAAAGGCCGCATTGCCATGCAAGGCTCCGCATAGTGGCAGGTGGTCACGTTCATGATGTTTTTTCCAGACCTCCACCCAGACATGTTTGCATTTGATTGCCGCGCAAAAGAATCGTCCTCCATGTGGTCGAGGGCAACCAAGGCTCGTGCTGCGTTTCAGGAACCTTTCTACTCGCGCAACGTCTTCAACATCGGTGGAGCTGGAGGCTACATACGCATTGCAAATTTTGATTCCCGTAGTACACGATTTTGTACGTCAAAATGATACAGACAACGTTCTCGCTAAGAACGTAAACAAAGCGTGAAGAAACTTGTCATGCTGAACAATTTTAGCTTTGCATACGAATTTTGATGATGTTTTCAACAGGAGTAGAAACTTTGTCACGCGTTGACACCGTTCGGACGCAACATCGTGTGCGATACAATTACTGTGGATACTGTAGGCAGATCACCTGTGCTCTGCGGGGAGGTGGAGATGATGATGAAGAGGTGCCCACCAGAAAAATCGCAACCATCCAGGACAACCACGACAACATCGCGAAAATCTACCGTGGAGCCCGACGCTCTTCCCAAGAAACCTTATCCCGGAAAAATCGGAGGCGTATTGCACACCCCGCGCGGTTCAAGAAGCAAGAGCTGTTTCATCAACGTCGGAACCACCTTGCAAGGACGCCGCGGCGTCGGAATGAAAAAGACAGGAAAGGAGCGAAAGCGACTCTACTTTCCATCAACTGGGTGCATCGCAAAAGTGCAAATGCAAAAAAAGAGACAGCACGACGACGCACAGGAGGAGGACGAAAGTGGTGCTTCAGTCCGCGCATCGGCAGCTTCTTGTTCACGAACAAGCGTACTAAAGCCGGGCAACGATTATCTGGAAAAATGGAAAATGAATGTAAAAACTCCAAGCGGCTTTGCTTTTGATTACAGAAGTAGACCTCAAGAAGCGAAACTGCGAAACGAGGAGGACATCGCGCAAAGAGCTTCCCAGAGAAGCCCGAACATCCACGACCCGCAGTATTATGGCGCTCTTTCGCGGACATGGACAAAAACATCAACGGCCAGCTGTAAGCTTCGCTGCTGCAAGAAGAGATCCACTAGTACAACGAGGACCTCCACACGGCAGCACCAGGTAAAGGAGCGGCGAAGCAAAGCAAAGCTTGCCACGACTCCACCCTCTGCTGGTTGTCCACCTGCAGATTCTTACGCGGTTGTAAAGGATTCGATTGTGAAAAATTTTCTGAAGGCCAAGAAAGTGAGGAAAAGCATCAAAGCAATTTCGTCGCTTTACCTGCTCCTGTCCGGCGCAACGATGCTGCAGAGCTCTTTTGCCGTCGTTCTTCAACACCCGGAAGACGACGCGGCAGAGGACTTTGGCGTATTCATTGCACAAGCATCGTAACTGGTAGAGCACAAACTGGATTAGGATTAGGATTTTAGTTACTCTTACAAATTTTCTCAGTATGGAAAATCAGCAAAATGGAGTTTGTCATTCTGGTTTACCTCGAGAAGGACAAGGAGATAGATTTGCCATGCCTATCCACAATGAAAGCAATGCGAGTGCGATACTTTTGCAGTGGATACGGGGCCAAGTTTTTTGAGAACGTGCTCGACGAGGAGAGCTATTCGCCCACGACGACTGGCGGGTCTTCAATTGATGCCGGCAGTCTCGCTTTCGACCAGCAAAGCTCCGACGATGTCAGCCCCGACCCCCCCTACTCTCTGCTGCAGCAGCAGTGGTCGAGTGGTGGGAGGAAGCCACATGAAAATTTGAACTTGCTCAGCATTCAAAACCAAGCGAAAGCTAGCGGCGCTACTTCGGTTGAACAAACATCAAGCGAAAGGACAAGTAGAACTGCTGCAGCCTCGGAAAGGAGCAAAGCAGAGATGAAAACTTCTACTGCTGCAGCGCAAGAGCAGACCGAAATAAACAAGAAGCGAACAGCAGCGAAAGACGAGCAAGATCCGGCGGAAGTGGGTGGCTTTGAAGCAGATCAACAGCCTTCTAGTAGCGTCCCTTCCGCCGTAGAGCTACCAAGTGCTCCTTCCTCTGCGGCATTATCTCCAGGACTGCTCGGATTGGAAGCTGAGACCTACGAGGGGGAGGGTGGAGGACTGGGGATGTCTAGCGGGATGTTCAATGTCACGGCTGGCTCAAACAGCACGTCGACGTCTACCAGCACGTCAACAACTACTACGACCACAACCTCGACGACAACATCGACGTCGACCACCACCTCGACCACGACCACGAGCAGCACCACAACGTCGACCACGACGACAGACAGCTACCTCGGGCAGAACGGACAGGCGACGGTCGCACTCGGCTCCGTGCCCGTCGCAACGATTGCCCAGAAAACGCCCACCGGGGTCGGGTTTACCACGGTACTGGCGCCCAATGCGTTCGCCGGACAGGTCGTGACTGCTGCGGCAAGTGCAGGAGGAGCAGCGGGACAGCCGCAACAGCAGCAACAGGGCGCCAACACCCAAAATAGCCCGCAGATGGCGCAACAGCAGCAGCAGCAGCCAGGATCTTATGGTATGCAGAACTCCATGGGAGCTGCTGCTGGCACCGGAGCCGGTGTTGGCGGTCCAGCAACGCCGGGAAGCAGTATGCAGAACAGCATGGCCGCGAATTATCCTGCTCCGAACTCTGCCAATTCTGCTGGGCCAAATGCGGCCGCAGTTGCTGGAGCACCTGGTGCTTCGCCTTCGTCAGGGCAGTACCAGTACAGTTCTTCGGGGACGCTGTCTGCATCTCCCGCTGCCGGAGGTCAGGGAGGAACCACGTACTCACAATCCGGGACGACTACGATAAATGCAGGAAACGGAGGAGCTGGGGCCACGGCGACCGGAGCCGCCGCAAGCAACCCCACGACGACGACCGGCCAGCCGCAGTACTTTGGCAGCCCCTCAAGTAGTCCAGGAGCGGCGAGCGCCGGACCTGGTAGCGCTCCACCTTCAGCGATGGGCAATGCAAACAACAAGAATTTACCCCTCGCCTACTCTGGGGCGAACCCTAATACAGGTGGACCGGGATCGACGTCAAATGCCGGTGGTTCTGCTGCTGGGACCGGCGGCGCACAGCAATCGCAGCAGCTGTCAGGACAGGCACAAACAACCGCTTCCGCGACTACAACGGCTGCAACGACGTCGAAAAGCTCTAGTGGAAAAACAGCAAGCTCGACAACCAGCACCACGAGCACGACGACAAGCACGACTACGGTGTCGACCACTCCGAACGCGACGTCTCTTTTGCAGCCCCTTGGTATTTATGCAGTGCAAATATGGTTGGGTCTGGAAAGAATGGAATATTTGTGATGCCAACTCTCGATCATACCAAAATTTGTATTGCTTTCCTTTCGCAGCAGAAGGTACTACGCGGATTCCTGCTGCCGGAGAAGGCATTTCTAATGCAGAATAGGCAAGTAGAGAAACAGAAATCATTCGCAAAACCTCTACTCCTGAAAGAGCATGCATTACAGACATCGGAGGTCATGCAAGATTTGCATGACAGAGGTGAGTCAGCCAACCTGCAGGACGCAGAAATATTTGCAATCCATAGTACTCAGCACGAGCGCGACGTGTACGATCGGATTTTTTACTCCCAGTCCGTGGCGGCCTTGCCGACCGAGGTGGTGTTTTTCGGCCCCGAGGGGCTGGATGTCTGCGGCACGGTGTCTTCCTCGCTCTCCCAGGAGGAGTGCGAGAAACAGAAATTCATCAACGGGGAGCCGCTGCATTGGGAGGGCGTGGTGCGGATGGACAATTTTCCCCCGGGCTATGCCTTGTAAAATCCGTATCGTGCTACTAGTACTAGCTGTAGTTGTAATTTTCGCACTTCTGTAAATTTGCCAAGCATGAGCATGAAGACCACAAGCGGAATTATTTGGTATGCCGAGCTCGGTCAGATGAAACCAGATTTGTCGATGCAAAAATATTGCATACGATTTTAATTACGACGAGTACGATCCAATTTTTGCAGAGGATACGGACTGCGGGTGGTTAATTCCGCCGAGTCAGACGCATAAGATCCTGTACTATAACCAAGGCGTGTCGCAAAACAGCACCACCTCGGCCGGGCTCGGAATCCCGCCGAAAAAAAAGTCGCTCGCGAGCCACCTGCAGAACGGGCTGGTGTGCAAGTTACCGGTGAAAGAGGTGCTGAAACGAAAGGAGATGGAGCACAAGACCGAGCAGGAGCAGCTGAACAAGAAGCAGCAGCGCGCGGAGGCAATGGACAAGCAAACGCAGCAGCAGCAGGAGGTGCAACAGAAATTGCAGGACGACCAGAAAAAGCAGCTTGAAATGACGCAGAAGGAGGTGACGAACAAGCAGAGCGACCGTATGAAGCAGGTCAAAGAAATTTTGGACAAAAAGGGGGAAACCGACACGCAAGCCGATTCGGAGATCGAGGCCTTGAAAAAGCAAAGGGCAGAGCTTATGGTGTGATTCTCAGCTGGAACCATCTCCCATGGAGCATGATTTTGTGATGAAAACGAAATGCCGAGGATGACCTGTCATCTACACTGCCATGGAGCGTAGCATGGCAAATCTCTTCGCCTTGACATCCAAGAGCCCGCATTGACAGCTATCCCCTTCGCATCGATTTAGTCGTGCGCAGCTGAAGCACACGGAAGCAGCTGCAAAGAAACTTTTCTGCTTGTGCCCCTTAATCCATGCAAGACAAATTTACGTATTGTGCTCTACATTTTTTTTGTCGGTTCAAGATGAGATTGTTTCAGCTGAGCAGGGCATAAAACTGGAGGAAAAAGCAGCGCTTGAGAAAGTAAAAGCGATGGCGGCCAAGGCACACGAGGAAAAATCCAAAGAAGAATGGATGAAAAACAAACGTAGTGACTTTTGTACTTCTTGTTAACTCGATTTGATGAAAAATCTTGGTCATGCTACTCCCTGTCCCTTGTTTACAGGAATCGCAATGACTTTTTGCGTCTTTTTGTCAATGTTTTCATTCCGGGACCACGAGCTTCATCCATCATCAACATTGTCTACTCATATTATTGACCGCGCGCAATTATATCAAACAGAAAACCTCGCGGCGAAGTCGCAGGAGATGAAGGCCTTGACAAATTTAGCCCGGAAGCAGGAGGAAGAAACGCTGAAGGAGCAGCGCATGATGGAGAGCACTATGAAATGCAAAAATGTCTGGGTCAGTCTCAGTCTGGAAGGATTCGACCTTGTGATGCTGTCTTTGGATTCCAAAAAAGTCTGTATTGCATGACCAGCAAAAGGAGTCCAGTTTGTGCTACGCGGAGAGGGCATTTCTCATGCGGAATAGGCATCAGGAAGCCTTCTAAAAGTCTGTGATGCTAGGTCATGCATGACAGGCATCATGGATCATGCAAAACATGCATGACAAACCTGGCACTCTTCCAGACCCAGACATTTTTACGATCCATAAGCACGCAGAAGACGCAAATGCGGTCCAACGAGAACGACCAGAAAGTGCAGACGCGGCTAGATGAGATCGCTACCAAGGAGCAGATATGCATTTTCGCAAGACAAGTATCATACTGCTAGGAATAACTGCACTGCAACTTGTAAAGAATTCTACGCAAGAACGAGATATCAGAGCGGCACGGGCACTTGCTTGTCCTGGTTTAGGGAGCTGCAGAGAAGATTTGTGATGGAAGATTGCAAGAGTTCCGACGCGTGTGATGCTGTATTTGCAAAAATCCATAGCACATGAAAAAGCGCGCCGAACAAAACAGCAAAGCCACGAGCGTGGTGCAGGTGAAGCTCCAAAAGGAGGAAGAGACCAACGAGAAGGACACGAAGAGTGTGCAAAACGACCTGAAGACAAAAGAAGAAAAGAACAAGGAAACCTTGGCGAAATCCATCCAAAAGAAGCAAACCGCCGAAGCGCAGTCGAAGCAAGCGGTCGCTGCGCTGGAAAAATCCATGCAGCAGCAGGAGTCGGTGGATAAACAAAGTATTCGGGACGCGATCAAACGGAAGAATCAAGCGGAAGTGGATGATAAGGATCAACTGAAGACGACGGAGGATATGATCCTGTGCATAAGTATAATCGTATTAAGTAGTAGCAAAAATAGCATGACAAATTTCATAGTCAGCAGGAGAAATGCAATGTGTAATGCGTATTTGCCTTGAGAAAGAGATATATGAATGCGATTAGTACGAGTGCAATACTTGTGCAATTCATAGAGGAAGACAACAAACAGAAGCTGAAGGCCAAGGAGACCGCGACCAAGGCAAAGATGAAACAAGCGGAGCAAGACCAGAAGACGAAGATGAAGGACACCGAGACGGGCTACAAGGAAAGTCAAAACACCACCGAAATGAAGATGAAGCAGGTATCAAATGCAAAAATGTCGGGGTCTGGAAGAGCCAAACTTGTGATGCTGCATTTGGATGCCAAAAAAAGCTGTATTGCATGCGCATGCATGTTGACCAGCAAGAGGATTCAAATTTGGCTACCTGTCATGCTGGTCGCGGAGAGGGCATTTGTCATGCTGGATGCGCATAGATAAGCGCTCAAAAAATCTGTGATGCTATGGCATACATCACAGAAGTCATGGATCATGGAAAATGTCCACGACAAAGTTGTGCTCTTCCAGACCCAGACATTTTTGCATTTGATGACAGGCAGAAGAGGACGACAAGGAGCGCATGAAGGTCACGGAAGAGGGATACAAGCAAAACATCACCTATGGGGTTCTCAAACGTTACATTCTCAACTGTTACATGGATTTGTGACGCAAGAATGGCAACAGTCAAAGGGACAAGCTTGCTGCTTTCGCATCACAGATTTGGTACAGATTTAGATGCTGCCCAGCCTCTCGGAGATTTGTCATGCGAAGCAGCTTGATCACGTGGCGGCTTAAGGTAGTCTTGCATTACAGATTCATGTAACAGTTGAGAATGTAACGCTTGAGAACTCCATATCACCTTGTCCATGAAGCGCACAGAGGAGCTGAACAAGGAGCAGTACAACACCATCGACGAGTATAAAAGGAAAAATGGCGGGTTGGTGTGACGTTTTTGAATTTTTAGGAACAGCATCTTCACAGACTTTTTTTGCATGAGAAAGAAACCTGTCTTCACATGCGTCGTTTCCTGGACATTAGAGTCAAAAATACGTACGACTACGAAACTAGCCCACGATGCATTTGTTCCAGCACGATGATACAAGTGTAGTAACCTCCGTTTTGCGCCGTCAACAACTGCAACACAATAAAGTTACACTTGCTCGGTTTTTTTCTGCCATAACCAGATGCGGCAGAACATGACCTACAGCCACCACGCAAAAATGATCGCGGAGGAGTACGACCTCCTCAAACGTTACAATCTCAAACGTTCCAATAGAGTCTGGATTTTGTCTTGCATGAGATTGAGAAGCATGAGACACGTGCATAGCCTTGCGCTTTTCGCAATACAAAGCTCGCCGGATTTGAGCGCGATTTGGGGCTCCAAGACTTGTCATGCGCAATCCTGTAGGCGGACTACCACCTAGGCTAAGTCATGCCTTTCTTGCGTCACAGATTTCTGTAAATTCTTTTGCAATGTAGACTGTAACAGCTGAGCAAGTGATAGGGAGCAACGCGACAAGGCGGTCGGGAGACAGGTGCAGGAGCGGCTGACCAATATCGGGAAAAGCTTCAGCTACCGGCTTGCCTGGCACCGCAACCACAGCAGCAGTCTGGCGATGAAATATTTCAAGGAGATGGCGGACTGGCAGCAGATGGAGGCGGAAACCCGGGAAAAGCTGGCCTATCGGACCAGGAAAAGCACCCGATCACAGCAAGAACGAGCGACAGTTTATCAGAATGAGTGATGCAGTTGCAGATGCAGACCGAAAATACGGGAACAAAAATTGAAATTCAGAGTCGCGCATGTAGTAGCATTTCGTTTTGCAAGTTTTGTTAACGAAACGCGCATGGAAGTGAGTACTCTGTATACATAGAAATATCTTCTGAAACAGAACCAAGAAACCACCGATCCATTCGCAGTGGGCACTGCAACGACCATCTTGATCTTGCGTAATAATGATAAGCAGAGTTGTACTACTGACGAGACGATCATGATCCACTAAGTCAGCCCTCAGCTTGACTACAAATCACCGCTATGATTGCTGGTGCTTTTCGCTCTGATATTTCCGCAGTATCCGCGAACGCCTCGATGGCGCAACAGGTGGAGGCAGAGAAGAAAGAAGAAAACCGAAAAGTCCTACTAGGTATAATTGAGTTGTATATATAGCGTCACTGCACTACTTTCTCAATACTAATCTTTATGATAGATCATGGAAGTGAGACGAGTGGTGTGAAACAGCACGAAGCTCAACATGTGAAGGTGAAAGCAAAGCTGAAGCTCAAACAAGATAAGTACAACTTGGTGTTCTACTCCTGTTCGAATCCAAAGCAGCGAGCTGTGATCGTGCCGCTTTTACCATATTTCCGAGTAGACGATCTTCCGCAGGAAGAAAAATTCCTCGTGGTTCATTGAAATTGAAAAAAACGCAGTATCAAGAGAAGGAACAAAATCATCACGAGAAGTACAATCAATCGTAAAAATCTATCAATCGTCAGAGCTTCAGGAGAAAACTACCGCGGAAGATAAGGAAAAGACCGACTTGGAGGTAAAGCGAAAAAAGCAGTCCAAGGCGAAGCAGTCTATCGTACGAAAAAAGTGTTTCACTGTAAGGATTTTGCAAGTTTTGCATCACAACTTCGTTCTACCAAGTTTGTTCTACATGACAGAGAAAACTTGCCATGCGAGGTTCCTAAGGGAAAACACAGCTACAAATCGACTGTCTTGCATGTGTCGCAAGACAAACACTTCTGAGTATACATTTTCTGCATTACAAGTTTACAGCGAAACAGTTTTTTCTTGCGATACAGTCCGCAAAGCGCGCAATCTCGATTCTCGCCGACATGATGAAGAAACATGCGCAGGGGCTGGTCGACGACAAGACGCTGAAAAAGGCGGAAATGGACAAAAAAGAGAAAGAGGGCGCAGTTTTATGATCCCGGAGAAAAGAAACGATAGCATTTCGACGCAAAATATGAGTTTGTAATGGAAGAGTAAACAACACGATCGCAAAAGCTACATCGACCTTGTTGCGTTGCATACTCTAAGCAGCAGGATGTTCTGACTGTGTGCTTTCCCATGTTGGCATTCTTTTTTGCGTGTGGCTTGTTTTTTTCTGGCGAATCGATTGTCGAGTGACCTGCTTAGTTTTTTTCTGTGCGATACGCTTCGCGGTGGGTAAAGGATATGGCGTCGATGATCACGGGCAAACCGAATATCAAATGTAAAAATGTCTGGGTCTGGAAAAATGCAAGTTTGTCATGCTTGTCTGGCATGACTCTTAAATCTGTCATGCACATTACCAAAGAGTCCCACTTTTCTGTCATGCAGAAACGTAGTTTGTCATGCAGAATAGGCAGCACCTAGAAGCTCAGGAACTTGTCATGCTGATCCAGCAATTGTGGCCTCCTCATGATATGCCACACAGCATCACAAATTTCCAGACCCAGACACTTTTACACTTGATACCCAATAAGCAGCGGCAACTGGAGATAACCGTGAAAGAAGAAATATGGCGTTCTCAACTGTTACATTCTCAACTGTTACATGGATTTGTCATGCAAAAGCACCACTATCATCCTCACGATCAAGCTGCTTCGCATGACAAATCTGCGGAGGGCTAAATAGCACTGTAATCCTTCCCAAATCTGTAATGCAAAAGGCGCAATCTTCCTCCTTTCACTATTGCCCTTCTTGCATTACAAAGTCGTGTAACAGTTGAGAATGTAACATTTGAGAACGCCATAAGAAAAACGCGTGAAAGAATCCGCTGCCAACTACACCATCGCTGCTCGGGCGGCCTACAAGGCGGAGATCTTGCAGAAGCAGCTGCAGGAAAAGCAGACGAAGCAGCTGTCGCGGACTCTTGAAACTTTGAAGAAATCGGAGCTCGAAAAGGGCACAAAACTGAAGGGCCTCGCCGAATCGAAGCAGAAGGAAACTGCGCAGCAAGCAGAGACCCTGGAAAAATCCGAGGACGAAGCGAGTCAGAAGCAGCTGCAGCGCAACACGCAACTGCAAGCGCAATTGGCGACGGAGGAGAATATGAAGCAGACGCTGGGTGGGTTGCAGACCCCGGGAAGCAGCAGTTTCAACCCGCAGCTGGCCGCGAAAATTGCGAGCTCGAGCGTGCTGACACAACCGATAAAAGCGCTGGCATCGATACTGAAAAACGGGGGTAACCCCACGGCCGCCACCATAAACGCAGCGGCCTATGCATTGTGCAAAAGTAGTAAAACCGTAGTAGAAGTATAAATTTAAATTGCATTACTCGAAGTCATTATCTTTTTAGAAAACTATCCACTTTGCCATTCATGATAATGTGGAAAGTTAGATCAAAACTTGTCACGCATAACTGCAATTAGGAGGGTTGCGATACTTTTGCACCGGATACGGGCAACGACGCAGCGAATCAGGCAAACACGATCAACAACATGCAAGCCCAACTGGCGACGTCGCAGCAGGCGGCGCTAAACGCGCCGGACCCGAACGCCGTGACGCCACCGCCTGCAGTGACAGGAGATCCAACGGACCCGATCCAAGCTCTAGCCAACATGATCAAAGGCACGGGAAACACGCAGCAACCCGCCCAGGGCCCGGGCGGCGCCCAACTCCCACCGGGTGGCGCTGCCGGAGTGTCGCCGATAGCAGCGCTCGCAAATATTCTCAAGGGCGGGTATGGGAGGGGAGGCGAATTTCTCCTGTTCAAGTAAATTACAAATGAACTTGAAAAAACTTGCTCAGACCGAAACGCTTTGCACCTCTTAATCCAGTTATCTGAGTTATATTCGGTGCGGGTGGCGCAGCTCCCGGTCCTGCCAGGAGGGCTCGTTGCAGGAGCTCAATTGTCATGTATAGCCACACGCCTGCGGTCTCTGCGTACTGGGAAAACAGTTTTACAGAATATGCCCAGGACTCCAATTAGACGTGCTGTCGTGTGAAATTTCTGGAACAAAGTGAAAATGAAACTTAGGACTAGGCTTTGCCCTCCATACCCGTGCCGGAGAAGCGCGGAAGAAAAAAGCACAAGAGATGATGCAGAAGGGAATTCAGCGCACCAACGAAGACATGCCGATCAATCAGCTTGCCGGACTTATTATCACAGGAAAAGGTGTTGATGTGCAAGGAAAGAAAATCTGTCATGCGATATTCACGCAGTTGCAAAAACGAAACTGAGTTCAAATTTGTATTGCCTTCGCACAAATCACGATTGGCAAATACAATAAATCTGTCGCACTTGTTCTGCGAGGATCTCCTATCAAGAAAGCCGTTACATTTGACTAGCTGCACCTTTCAGGTTGATACTACTCAAGGATGATGAGGTGCAAAAGAAAGTGAAGCGCGGGGATTTGCCCAAGGACGGTACAGACTTGAGGGATGTGCTTTTTAGTAGTGGAGTCGTTGTAGAAGTAGAAGTCTTTCTTGGTTTTTCCAAGTATTCTCTAGTATCGAAAATAATCGCTTGCGTTGCATGTAAGTATCAGCATCTTCAAGAGGGCTTGAACAGAAATACTGAAAATTATTTACGATGTATGCCACGACCACCAGTGCTGCAAACAGGACGCATTTTCACATAATTGCAATATGCTGAACGAAGATCGTATTCGTATCACAGAACCCGATTACCCGGTGACAATTCAGTCGCGTGCGGTCAACATCCCCCTACAGTGTTATCAACTGCAAAGAGATACATCTGGGTCTAAAAGAATGGATGCAAACTTGCAAAAATGCTGACCTCGCATACTCGTTATTTCTGTACTGCAGTGCATGACATTAGTATACAGAAAAATTATAGCGCTGGCGCTGCCGTTTATCTTTTGTTATGCAAAGACGGGACTTCAGATGCGCATGCGCGTTACAAACTTTTACAGAACCGCTCTAGAAGAAATTCTTTTGCTTCTTCTTTGCTTGTTACTAAAGCGAGCTTGTCATGCAGACATTTTTGGCGTGACATCTTTATTCCAGAACCAGTCACATTTACGATGCATACATATCCTGTCACCGCGATCGCAGACCCATTGTTCGTCCGCGCCCTACGCCAAACAGTCGCTATACTGAGTAAAAGCGTCCCCATTTTTGAATCTCTGGTCGAACAAAAATAGCCCAGATTTGTCATGCAAATCTGAGTGCCTGAAAATGTTTCTCATGCGCAGTCACATTAGAAGCATTCTTTGATGGTATCGGACAGCTTCTCATGCTAGAACCAGGATGAGGCGAGCAATTTGCGACGCAGGTACACAACTACACAAGATTTGTCGTGCCCAACAACCGAAAGCTGTTTTTTGTCGTGTAGCAAGAAAATGCTACCCACATTGACTCGACGCGGTGGGGACGTTTTTTCACAGGATAGTTGCGGACTTTCTGTCTATGAAAATGTCAGTGACGATCGAAATGGGCGCAGTTGCGAAGGCAGACGTGCAGGTAGAGAAGAATCGAAATGATTTATAGATGAGCTGAGGGCGCTTTCAATGAATGAGGTTGTCATGATCATGTTGCGCGGCGTTCACATGGGCCGTGCTGGCACATGTTCTTTTTTTCGTGCGCTTTCCATAGCCAAATTACCCTGATCACTTCAAAAAGGTTCTGCCACTTTCCACCACAACCACGACCCCGTCGCCGCCTTCGGTCTACTACGGAAAGAAAGTGAGCGCTGATCTTATTTCCGGCTACTGCTAGTTCCAAGAAGAAAGCCAGCTGATGAAGCGGAGAATAACTTTCTGATGTGTGCAGCTCTTTATCTTTTTCCTTGTGATGAACATGGTGATGCAAGAAAGCCGGCCTTGTTAAATAATAGCGATTCACTCCAGATCCAGATCGCATAGAGTTTCGTCATTTACTTATTTGGGTGTGCTTTTTGATTTGCGTGGACGAAACACAGTGGAGGAGCATGAAGAATCCCCATAGTACTAGCAAGCGGTATCTATTAGTTTTTCTTGCAGTTGGCAGCACATCCTGAAGTCTGTCACTCACTTCTCCTCCATACCTCCGTGTTCCTCCAGCAGGACTCGACGCTGCACCGTGCCAAAGCTTCATCTAAAAGCGAACTGAAAAGAAGCACCTCCACGAAGGCAGCCGCAGGCTCCGGGAGCAAGTTGCGCCAGCTGATGAGCCAGAAGCTGCAACAGAAACTGGGTAGCAAGGCCACGACGAGGACCGGTAGCAAGGCCGCGAACAAGATGGCGACCAGATCAACATCAACTCGAGCCCGAGCTGGCAGCTCCTCGTCGAAGCAGCAACCCTACTTCCAAGTTGTGCAACCCGCGGCCGTCTATCCACAGTAACTTTCCCGTACACGTACAAATGTCGTCTCTGCATGACAAAATTAGGCTTCGATCCTAGTTTAGCATGACAAGTGTTACACTCCAAATTTGCGAAATTTGTGATGCATCTTGTACATCTACGGGAAATTTGTATTGCATACCGTCCAGGGTAACTACATGGAGCAGCCGATGCTCCTGCAGCCGGGCCAGGATCCGGTTGTGCTGCAGCAAGAGGGGAACCAGCCACTGGTCGTCGTGCAGCCAGGAGGTGCGAACCCCAGGCATATCCATAGTAAATTTCCTGTACACGTACAAATCACCACTTTTTGTCATGCAAAATTGAAAAGAAACGCGGCTTCGAAAAAAAAAAAATTGCTGCCTTTTTGGGTGCTGCCGAGTGAATATATCTACCCGGAATGGTATCGCTAGTGAGATCCGGACTCACGGCGCTGCAGTAGCTTTCTCTAAACAGCTAGCGTCTTTAAAATTCTTCCCGGAAAGCCTTCGCATGTCGCCCCCTCGACTCATAGCGACCGCGGCACAACATGCATCGCTATTAAATTTCGGGACAAGGGCGCCAAGGTGTGCCGACCCTGCGCCGCATTGCGCGTATTTCTGGGCGGGGACATGTGACAGAAGACACACCGAGGAGGATACAACAATGAGCCTGCCCGGCCGATTGATGAACTTAGGCAGTTGCGTTTTAGGTGAGAGACTAGTCAGTGGGCGGCTGTGTTTGATTTGGTTTCCGACTTTTTGAAAGCAGCCGCTAATGCATTTGGGCAAGCTGGCAACCCTAATTTCCAACTCGATGCGATGGCTAGTTTTGGCCTTTTGTAGCGTTCACGCACGGAAACAGTTTTTCACTTGGGCTGATCGGCTTCACAACCCGCGCGGCGAGATCTCCGGCGCGGAGATCGTCGCCAGCGAGAAAAAGCCGCGACATTTTCTTGCGAAAAAAATGCTCGCGAGTTCTGCAAAAACATTTTTTCAGGGCTCAACTTCTAGCTTTCAGACCGCCGAAATCACGCGACTTGTTTCTGTACAGTAGATTTTTCCCGCATGGTATGGTGAAGCGAAGCATGCTCCTGTACACCAGTTTTCTTTTAGAAAGTGGTGTACAGGAGCAGCATCCAATTGACCATACCATGCAGATTAAATCTACTGTACACAAATCACGTGCGTGATTCTGACGTCGTTTGAATACTGCTGCAGCAAGAGGGGAACCAGCCACTGGTCGTCGTGCAGCCAGGAGGTGCGAACCCCAGGCAGATGCCTCCGCAACAGGCTGCGGCTGCCGCGGCCGCGACAGGGTACAATTATGTACAAGGAGTTGTACCGCCACAGAATAATGTTGTGGGGTATACTAGCCCGCAGCAGCAGGCGGGAGGCCAGACTGGATACTACAACTCCCCGACGAAGAACTACCCGTATGCAACCTACCAGCAGGAGGGAGACCCAGGACTCACGCAGCAGATATCCAGGAAAAAACACCAATCCCCATCCATTTTTTACATGACAAATAGTGGACTTTATGCATGTTTTGCATGACAAATTGGATGGGGATGGGTGTTTTTTCCTGGATAGTAGATGATGGCTCCCTACTATCCGCAGGGTCCTCGTGGACAGCCGCAGGATACGCAACAGCAGCAGTACCTGGCTGGTGGCCCCGTGTTGTATCAGGAAAACGGGCCTCAGTACTACACCCCTGGACCAGCGCAGCAGCAGCAGCAGCAACAGCAGCAGCAACAGCAGCCGCCGCCGTCAAACTTACCTGCTGGCCCTGGAACGGCCGCCGGTGCGACAGCACCCGCCGTGACTGCCAGCGTGCCGACGTTTCTGTACAATGCCCAGCCGCAGCAATCCTTCATAGCGCCGATGGATCAACAGACCCCTGCAGCAGGCGTAACGCCTATGCAGGAGTTTCAGCCTCAGAATACGGCGCAGCTGGCGGGAGGTGGATCGCAGGACGCATCGCAAACTGCCGTATCCACGCAACAAGAGCTGCACCAGACGAGCACTTCTACTGCGCAACCAAAGGAGCCGGCCGCGACGGCCTCCTCTTCTGCTCATGCCGGCAAGAGCTCTGCGGATCATGGCAATTCAAATTCCGTTTCTCTCACGGAAACTGGTCGACAGGAGGAAGAACAGAGCGGCCCTGCTGGTTCTTCGAAGGTGCCGGCACAAGTCGTACAGGCCGGCCTGAACCTGGCCGTGCAGTCCTACCAGGATGTGGCTGCCGCGCAGGTTCTCACCATCACGGTGGCCGCAAGACTGGACATCAACGTCGCGAACACTCTATGCCTTGCAAAAGTGAAGTATCGTTCTAGAAGTGGAGGTCGTAGCAAGTGCAATAGTACAAATGGGCTGAGCATGAGATTTGGTACTTGTCATGTCGATTTAGCTCGGGACGACGATTTGTATTGCATTCTTCCTTGTGAGGATCAGTACGAGTACGATACTTTTGCACAGAATAAACCCAGTTGAAGACCTTCGAGGAGGCATGGCCGTGGACCGGACTTTCCGATAACGACATGGACTATTTTCTGCAACTTCTGGCCGCCAACCTGCTCCGTTCCGGCTTGACGCACATTCGCGTCGCCAACCCCTTTCGCTCCTTCCCGGGACCGGCGACCCAGGGGCAGGGAGGTGCGAGTAGCAGTACTACAACTGCGACCTTCAAGGTAACTGGAGGCGAAAATGGCGCTGTCGGCGGAACAAACAAGAAGAATTCCGGCGGAGGTGGTCCAGATCCGATCATCCTACTGCCACCGTTGAAGCCGCCGCCCCCCGCGCCCGCACCCGCGCCGCCGCCGCCACCGCCGCCACCGCCGCCCGCACCGGCACCCTCGCCGACCATCACCGTTTTGGATCCCTACACCGGCTATCCACAGGAAATTTGAATGTAAGTACCGACGTACATGCACAAAGACAAACTGCATCACAAATTTCGCGAACTTAGTGCATGCCTCGAATTGTCATGCTAGCTAGGATCATCGAAGGGGAAGGCAAGCTTTGTCATGCAGAAATCGCATTTGTCTGCGTACAGGAAATTTCCTGTGGATACCGGCCGTCCGATGTACACGACGACTGCGGGGGCCCCGGGGGCGCAAAATGTTGTTCCTGCTCCCTACATTGACCCCGTGACCGGGCTATGGATTGCAAAAGTATGGCACTCGTATAAATGCATATACAATAAATTTTCTCAGCATGAGAAATGCAATTTGTAATGCGGATTTGAGTTAACAAAAAGATTTGTAATGCATGATTGCAATACGAATACGATGCTTTTGCACTGCATACGGGCAGCAGGTGCAGGGTGTGGTGGCGCCGGGCGCGACGCCAACGAACACGCTGGTGTTTCCCCCCTACCCGCCGCAGGACGAACTCGACCCGGCCGTGGACAGTTCGTACGCAGACAGTCCAACCTACGGCGCCGCGGGCACCATTCAGCAGATTACCAACTACCACTACACCGGTCCGGGCGGCATGTCCAGCTCTGGCGGCAACGCGGAGGGGAAGCAGAACGAGAAGAACAGCGGGGGCGGCGACCTGTCCGTCAACGGGGACGAGGAGGAGGAGAAGGTGCCGTCCTATCAAATGCAAATATTATGTCTTTGTCTGGAAGCAGGTTGGCTGGGAAGTTTGTCATGCGCATTGTACAGGATCCGCGGTCATGCCAGTGATGCATACTCTACTAGAGTCACAGCTTTCATCTTCACGAAGTCTTACTCATGCCTATGTGCCCTGAATGAGAAATGCCCTCTCCGGGCGGCAAAAATCTGCGTACGAACTTTGCTGCTCATGATGAAGTACAAGTCTTGGCAATATGATGCAAATTTACCATCACAAATCCAATGCTTTCGAGCCCTAGGTATATTTGCAATGCATACGTCCTGGGCGAAGGCGATGGTGGCCGACGTGCAGCGCATGAAGGACGCCGCGGCGACGGCGGCGGCCGCGCAGGGCAAAAGCCAGCCCATCGACATCAAAGTGGACAACGGCGGCGCCCAACTGCCCCCGCCAGCTCCTCCTCCGCCACCAATTGTGACCCCCGCGCCCTCGGGCGGTGCGAACGCGAAGATGATCGGAGACATGCTAGCCGCCAAGATCGAGGCGCTGCGTGCCCGCCTGGAGGCGAAAGCGGGCGTGACCGGGGCGGCCACCTCGGCTGCCCAGCAGGCCGCAGGGAGTGCGGCGAAGGCAGCTGCAGCGGCAAGCGGGGCTCAAACCGCCGCGGGCTATCAAATGCAAAAATGTCTGGATCTGGAAGAATGCAACTTGTAATGCGTATTTCAGAACACAGAAATGTCTCTCATGCATACGCAGCAAAAGCTGCCCACTTTCTGTCAGCAAAATAGGGGACTTGTCATGCGGATTCGGCATTGCGGAAGCTTCTCGAAACCTGTGATGCTAGAGCTTCCATGCCAGACCTTCTGTGTCATGCAAAAACAGCATGACTCTTCCAGACCCAGACACTTTTACATTTGATACGGGCAAGGCCGCTGCGATCAGCGGACTGTCGAACGCCGTCGGCGGTTATCCAGGAAAAAACACCCATCCCCATCCAATTTGTGATGCAAAACATGCATAAAATCCACTATTTGTCATGCAAAAAATGGATGGGGATGGGTGTTTTTCCTGGATAGCGGTGCTGCCGGCGCGCTCGCGGGCGCAGCGGGCGGGATCCAAGCTGGCCAGGCGGCGGGTGCCCTCGTGGCCAGTCAGTTTCCGTTCGGGTACTATCCCTTCTAACAAACAAAAAAGTGCATCTACGTTCACGGTTATTTTCACAGCAGAAGATCTCGTGCGGTAGAAATTTTGCCTTCTTCCATGCATTCTATGCAAGACAGATAATTTTGGGCACCTTTTCCGATGCATTACTGCATCACAAATTCCGTTAACGTGAAGCGCTTTTTTCTGTGATACCTTCCCGCAGAATGGCACGACGGTGAACGTAAATCCCGTAATCACAGTGCAGGGGGCAAAAATCAACGGAACGAAAGCAGTATGAATTGCAAAACTATCGTACTCGTATAAATGCATTACAAGTTTCCTCAGCGTGAGAAATCAAATTTGTGTTGCGGATTTACCTTAGGAAAAAGATTTGTGATGCATAATTGCGATTACTACGAGCACGATACTTTTGCACAGGATGAGCCGAGTCTGGTGGATCCACTTCCAAGCCAACGATCAATGACCAGGACACAGACAACAGCCAAGACAACGATCAAGACAACGACCAGGACAATGATCAGGACAATGATCAGGACAACCACAACGACAGTAGCACGTCGACCTCTACGAAGACCAAGAAAGGCGGTGGAGGTGGGCCGCTTGCGAAGGCCGCGGCTACCATATTACAATGAAAAATGCCCCCATCCCATACTCAAACTAGAAATTTGTGATGCAGATTTGTGGTCACAAATCAGCTTTGTCGTGCTAGAAGGGAAAAGGTGCGGACTGTAGTGCGGGTTGGCGTGGGAAAGCCTTGCATCTTCAGCATGACAGGGGGAAGCTGGAAGTGGGAAACAGCATGACAAATTGCCTGCAAACGAGGCCACAGCTGCGTCTCTTGGCCTTCTAGCATTACAAGGCGACTTGTGCACTCAAATTCAAATACAGCATCACAAATTTCATTTTCGATATGGGGAGGGGGGATTTTTCCCTTTGATATACCACAGACCCCGCCTTGCTCGGGGCGATCAATGCACTGACGTCCACCGTCGCGAACATGAATGCCCTGGCGAACAAGCAAGCCGCAAAAGCTATCCTGTGCGAGTGTATCGTACTCGTCCTAAAACTAATTGCAAATATGCATGACAAATTGTCTTCCTGAGGTAAAACAGCACTACAAATTCCACTCCTCTTGTTCGTGCTAAAATTTGTAATGAAATTTATACTAGTTCTAGTACGATACTTTTGCAATGCATAAAAGCTGCAGCGCCGCAAAATCCCCCGGCGCAGGGGAATCTCCAACCGCATGAAGTGGTCCAGCTGAACGCCATATCCTGTGCAAAAGTATCGTACTCGGAGTTATCGCAATCATGCATTACAAATTTACTTGTTAAGGTAAATCCGCATTTACAAATTCCATTTTTCATGCTGAGGGAATTTGTCATGCGATTTATACTAGTACGATGCTTTTGCATTGCATACGCCACCCGGACTTTGATTCGTGCCGTTATGGAGTTGTTGCGGCAGACGCAGGACATCGGATCCGCCCAAGCGGCCATGGCGAGCGGCGGCAAGCTTCCGGCGGGGGCCGCGATGGCGGCGCCGACAGCAGTGAAGCAGGTCCTAGATGTATCCTGAGCAAAAATGCTCCCACTCCAGAGTTGTAGTCATGCGGATTTGCGATTGCATTTACACTTACGCGAACGCTTGCACTGCGCATCTCGGACAAGAGACGCATTTGCGGTCGTGTTTTGGCCTTTGTACTGGTACAAACAGGATAAGGAGATCATGGCTGATGCGGATTTCCTTACTAACCTGCTTGCACTACAATAAAACTTTTCATGTGTGGCTTCCAAAACTTCAGGGCTTGTGTTGCAGAGTTGCCAACTTGGCTACAGGATGGGGACGTTTTTACACATGATAAGACGCCACAGCGTCTAACGAACAGCAGATCGCGGCGACACAGGGCGCCGTCGAGCGTTTGGCTGCCGCCTTGAAAAACATGGGCGGTGCGGGCGGCGCAAACAGCTTCACGGTCGAGGTGCTGCGGCAGCTGATGCAGCAGCTGCGACCCTTCATGTCGGTGATGAAGATGCTAGAGTCCGCTGTGGGGCCGTTGAACGAAAACCAGCTGAAGCGGTTTCTGCAGTCGTTGATCGACGCGATTTTGCGGGGAACGGGCGGCGGCGGCGGCGGGGGCATCACCTACAGCCCACCGCAGCAGGTGATTGGCGCCGGCGCGCCCATCACGAACTTGTCCGAGTTAGAGGCCGCTGTGTTCGAAGACTTCGAGCCTCCGGGCGGTGGGGACGCGAAAAGCAAAGCCACCGGCGAAGGAACAACGGGAAAGGTAGTCGTACCAGCTGGCGGCGGAGGAGCGACTACGAGTGCAACCACTAACTTGCAAGAAGTGAAGAAAGAGTTGCTTTCGAATCAAGAAGTACAAGGCACGACCGCCGCAGCGGATGCGACAAGAAGCAAAAAAGAAGCACTTGATTCCAAGGCCCCCGACGGAAGCGGAGCGACGCAGGAAAATAAAGACGAACCGACTACAGTGTCGCTTGCCGTGAAAATCAGTAACTTCGACGAAGGTCGTGCGGCCTCCGATAAGCGTGGCAACATTAAACACTCTACGGAAGCAGGAGCACAGGGAGAAGCTCTTGCAGCTTCATCGCAGCATTCTGATACCACCGCAAAGAAGATGAATGCGCGCGACCAGCAAGAGCATGATGGTGCTCTTAGTGCTGGCGCTGCAAATAACAAGCCAGACGCACTCAAAGCGGATGAGGGAGACGAGAACAAAAGCAAGGCTGCCGACACTGTCGACGATGTTGACAGAACTAGTGCGTCGAAAATACCAAAGAAGATTGAGCAGAAATCCGCTGACGACCCTGACGTGATTGATTCGCTCGACATGCTGGATGAGGCTGCGGAAGAGCAGCTTGGCATTGGCTACGACGACGCTCTGCCGGCAGGAGGAGATGACCTGTATGAAAGTGCACATTTCCCCCTTCCCCTCATTTGTCATGCAAAATGCCAGACTCACCCTTATTTGCTTGTTGTTGTTTGCACTGTTTGCATGACAGACTCCGGAATCCAAAACAGCAATGCAATCCTCTAGGAACAATTTGCCATGCGAAAGCTGCATCTTTGCCAGCGCTTGCGTTGCTTTTTATGCAACACAAATGAGCGGGAGGTGGAGTTGTGCACTCTTATAACCTACTTCCTGCAACCGGTAGTGCACCTAGTACGATAAAGCCGCTTTCTACGAGCAGCTTGTACACTCCGGCTAGTACCTCCAAAGCGGCCAGTTCCAAGGCTGGACACGTCATCCATGCAGAGGACCTGTCCGCAGCTACACCAGCCGACGGCGAATCAGCCTCCGCGGCGACGTTTTTACAACCGGACGAGGATGCAATGGCTGGGCCTTCGTCTGCAGATCACAGGGAGAATGATGATGCTGGTGGTCCTTTTCCGGACAAGACGGTCACGCTCGGCGGAAATCAAAAGAAGGCCTCCTCTTCCTCGGAGGCAGCCTTATCCGCTACTCCTTCGCAAGTAGGACCTACTCCTCCCATGTCCAGCTCGTCGCCGAATCCAGTTTTCACGGAAACTGGGCGGAGAGTAGTGTTGGAAGCCCACGAGGACGACCAGGGAAAAAGAAATACACCGAAAGCGGATGACGTTGTTGTAGTCGACGAAACAGAAGCGAGGAAAATCAAAGACGCACTGGTGGCCGCTGGAACTACGACCAGTGGTCCGGACCACGAGGCAGCGGCTGCAACACCACTGGAGCCGCGGGGAGCAGCCCCCGGGCAGCCATCAAGCGACCAAGCGTTATTTCCATCCCGAAGGAATGTGGAAACTGCTAGGGTCAGCAGCATCAATATGGAAACCGAGCAAAAGCAACCTACGAGGCCACAAGATGGTGTCCCGGTGACAGCAGCACACAGTGGAACAGATGAACCTGCTGAGCGCGTATTTGAAAAAGCACACGAAGAGAACATCGCGTTTTCCGCGGCGGTGCAAGAAGGGGACGAGCAGAAAAAAAGGCAGACTGAGCAGGAGGAAGCAAGCTCTACTGCCGCAAACGCAGTAGTTGTTTCTGCGGGACGAAAGAGATTCAGGCACGCCCAGCAGATCGTCGTTACGACCAAGAAAAGCCAGACGGTGCCAAATTCGAAAGAACTAGCGACGATGAACAGTGAAATTCGGAGGCTGGAACAAAGGCATCAAGATCACATTCAGCGGGCTCGGGAAAAAGGAACAAAGCCAGACTATTGAGAGGAAAAATCCCCCCTCCCCATATTGAAAAGGCATGTTTCCGAAAATTTGCGTTGCTGATTTGAGATCACAAATCGCATTTGTTTTGCAAGAAGACAAGGGCAGAGCCAGAAGCTTCCGCCCCATTATGGAAGCGATTTGCCATGCTGTTGGGCCTAAAGGGGAGCCATTTGCCATGCTGAACAACTAGACGCGTACGCCCCTCCCTAGCTTGGGGATCTGACCGCAGTGCTTTCCTGCAATACAAAGTACCCAAATCCAGCATCAGAAGTTTCGCTTTGATATGGGGAGGGGGGTTTTTTCCTTCTGATACAGACGAGGCCGGAACATCAAAAGGCGACGCGACTGGAGACAAGAAGAACGACGAGAACCATCAAAAGCCCGAGAAAATCGTGCTGCTGAACGAAAAGATACAGCTGCTGGAAAAGACGGCCGAGCAGGATATGCTGTGCAAAAGTATCGTACTCGTATAAATGCATTACAAATTTTGAGCATGAAAAATGAAATTTCTATATGCGGATTTACCTTAGCAAAGGGATTTGTAATGCATGATTGCAATACGAGTTCGAGTACGATACTTTTGCACAGGATACAGGAGCAAAAGGAGCAGAAGAGGGCGGAGGAGGACCATAAAATGAACTCACTAATGGTGAAAGGCAGTAACGAGGTCGAGCAGGTAGAGGAAGAAGCTTCGTCTTCGGCTGCGGCGGGAGGTAGTGGGGGAGGTCTTGAGACTTCTACTCCCAACGAAGAGCCCACCTCTCCGACCTCCGCGAGTGCATCAAGGCCAAGAATTCCAGCAGAAAAGGCACAGGCGGAAAAAGAGCTGCACTTGATGAACGTTAAGGCGTCAGCAGCGGGCCGGCAGTATCTCCAAGAATATCTACTGCAAACATCTCTGGGTCAGGAAAGACGGAGGCTGTGATGAATATGCTAGTCCTACACTCGGACTCCTGTATGTAGAAAAAGTTGTGGAAAAATTTATGGCATGGTCAACAAAAAGATACCCTTTTTTGTTTATACAAATGAAGCGCAGGCCCAGGCTCTTATGCGGACTGCGCATGAGAAAGTGTTCTGCAAACTTGTCATGCTTTGCCGCATTCGGAAGTATTATATTTCACTCATCTGCACTTGAGCATCACATGTTTCCAAACCCACACATATTTGCAGTTGATAAAGAAGCGGTAGAAACGAAAACTGGCGGGGAGGCAAGAAAAAATACAGCGACGCAAGACCAAGCGAAAGCAAGGACTGAAGAAAGCTCACACTCTTTATCCAAGAAAAAAACTGTGTTTGTGTAGTGGTGCAGGCGTCTTTTTAGGAGACAGCTTGACAAATTTGCGCTGCATTACACTCGAAGCATGCCATTCGCAGTTTTTGGGGCGTGAAATTACATTCGAAAAGACAAAGAGGACTCCAGCATGACAAATGTAACCGTGTCGGTAAGTCGGTAACTTTGCATTGCAGACTTACAACTACACATTATTGTCTTGCATATTCTGCGTCGACGTCCAGTGGGCAGCTGCAGCAGCCGCCGGCTTACAAGAACCCGCGGGCAGTCAATGAGCAGGTCCAGCAAGCACGAGCGGCACGAAAACTGCAGAAGGAGAACAAGGTGCTGCAAACTATGGCCAAGCACCTACAGTTATCCTTTGCAATAAAATAGGTCTGGGTCTCCGAGCCATCCGCAGCCATGATATATCATGCAGTTGTTGAACCTGCAACAAGAAGTTCGTTGCTCTGGAAAGGAATGCACGCGGAGGAAGATGACAAGAACCGCGGACGAGCAGGCTTCTTGATGCCGAACCTGCATGAGAAATAGTGCCCTTCTCGTCGAGACAGAAAACACGCAGACGCACACTGTTTAGTTGCTGACAAATATGCAAGACAGATCTACTTTGTCCTGTCCATTCGACGCTCGGCATCAGAAGGCACAGCATGATAGTTCCAGAGCCAGACATATTTGCAATGCACAACAGGCGCAACTGCAGATGGCCGCGGGCGGGGGGCCGAGAGCGGGACTGCGCTGAGACTGCGACGGTTGGAAGTGACGTAGGAGAACGAGTGTGGAGGAGAATTATCCCATTACGAAAAGCCATGACGAACACACGCGAAGACTAAATCTCTTGCAGCACATCAAAATTTGACTTCCATATAAGATGCTCATTCATGCATTTATTTTCCCTTGTCGTTTATAAGGATGTGCTGGCATCATGCTGCAAGCCCACGGCCGCTGCTTGCAGTTTGGCAATGAAGGCAAAAAAATTTAAAAAGTTAGAGATACATCATGATGAAACTCAGGGGAGACAAGACCTAGAAAATGCTTCGCTCTTTCCGTCGTGGTTTATCATGCGGATATCAGAACAAAAGATCCAGATAAAAATTCACGGGAGCCTCCTGCTGTTTTTAACCTTATTCAACAGATGAAATTGAAACTAGATTTAGGTTTGATTTTTAGCACCAAATTTCTTGTTTAGAGCTACTTAGCAAAAAAAAACCGATAACAGAAGATACAATCGAATGACCAAGTAGACCGATTTTTTTCACTCCTAGCAAAAATCAAAGCGCTCAAGTATTTACTCTTTTATGACATGAGCATCAGACCAAATCCAAAAGTTGCACTTTGAAGAAAGAATCCAAGAACAAGAAGATCATCATGCTTCGTTTCCGTTTCGCATTGATATAGTACAGCTACCGCGAACAGATATAGATTTTTTTCCTAGAAGACCTGGTATAAATTGCGTAATATCATTCAACACAGTCACAGCTTGCTTCTTTATCGGTGAAAACCACCGCTGAGGGATCAAAAACAAAGGCACAGTTTTTACCTTTGATCAAATTCTAACTTTATACGAAAAATATAACAATTCGTATTCTTTTTCTATATCGTTACTGCAGGAAAGTAATTCGGATTCATCATCTTCCTAGAAGATCAAAATCATTGTGATGTCATGCGTGTTTCTTGTATCTGTAGGTATGTTTTTTCTCAACAAAAATGATCCATGTCATCTTCAAGTTACCGCTTCAATAGCGGGCAAACATAACACTCAACTTGTATAATTCACATGTTTCTCCGCTTATTCATCGAAGACGAAGACCAAACCTGGGTCCATGCTTTGATAATTAAACACAGGTGCCACAATGCGAAGTCACGACAAAAGCGCGAAGTCCGAACTCACTACAACAGTGAGATAAGACAAGAAAAACAAAATGAAACGCATGGTGATCATCTATAGATAGTCTGCTGTGCGCGCACTAGCGACGAAGATGATGACAGATCATTTACTACATTTCATCCGCAGTGAATATTATCGTGCGAAAAAAGTGTATCACTTTCACTGTAGCGAGTTAATTGCGAGGTTTGCAACTACACATTTTTGATGATCTGCATGTCAGCCTAACAAGAAAATTTGTCATGCAGCCTCCCTGAGGGAATAAAAAAACGGAGACACAGCCTTAGCTCCAGCATTCTTTTGCATATGTCGAAAGACGAGCACTTCTGTGTTGCACCTTCTGCATTCGTTGACCGTGAAACACTTTTTTCGCCGGATATTTCTCCTGTGTGAGAATTTTCCTCGTGTCGGAGCTGTGATGACACGACGCGACAGGAACTGTGGCTGCAGCATGACGCGGGCGCAAAATTATGGCATCTTCGTCTTGCAATTACTACATTCGGTTTGCAAACAGAACTCCAAATCTGCTTCAAAAATCCCGTTTACTGTAACTGTCTCCGGAGCTCTGCTAGGATTGAAGTGCTTCTTGTCGCATGATCTGCATTGCTGAACTACCGGCGTACATCATAAGTACCGGCACTATTCATTTTGCATGGGGAAACGAAAGTGTCAATGTCATACATAGCCGCAGCCAGGTAAGAAAGCAAATCTATGCCATTCGTACGACACGAGCGATAATTATGCACTGGATATTGGTTTTTGGGCGAAGCAAGTGTCTACTTACTACTACCTCCCTGGTGGCACTGATGGTCGTCGTTGGCCTTACGTTGCTGAAGAGCTAGATTAGGACTTTAAAGTACCCATGCGGCGAGATCGACATGATGCAAATGCCAAAAAATAAAATCAAGCAAGAACTCGCACACAAATAAGCAAGTCGCTCCCTCAAGGACCCGAAACGACGGCAAGAGGAGGCATTTCGTCCGTAGCAATTATCGAGCACTTCGCTGCTCGTTCATGAGTATGTGTACAAGAAGTAATAACGAGAAAGTCAGCGGACCACTACCAGACGCACCAAGTCAGTGGCCCTCGTCCTCAACATTTGTAGTTTTACTCGCAGTAAAACAAGTGAAGAACGAACACAACAATATGATCGTGACACGAAGACAGCATCACGCCGGTTTTACTTACCTTTTCCTCCTTCGTGGTCCTCCGGGCTTTCATCTTTTATGAAAATTGAAAATGCGCTGTACTAGCTTGTTGAAAATCTCATTTTATAAATCTGAGCAAGCTGCTGCTGGTGCTCGTGGGAAAACGAATGTCGCATGACAGCACGATATCGAGTGCAAATATGTCTGGGTCTGGAAGATAGAGAGCAGCAAGGGAAGATGCCCCCGTCATGAGGAAGATTTTGGTGAAACATAAAGTTGGAGGACTGGAATGCTGCATGCAGAAACCTCAGAGATTTCGCAACAGCTTCTTAACGTCTATTCCGCATTAGAAATTCGCCATTTGCTCCTGCAGTGTGGCACGACACATATTTGCAACGCATACGAACACGAAAAGGCTTCGTGTGGTCTTCCTGCTGGCGGACGAGGACGACGAGGAACTATGATCGGGAAAAGTATCGTACTCGTAGTAAAAATAATCGCAGACATGGACGAAAGATGCATGTCTTTTATCTTTTTTAGCATGACAGACTCCATTTCTGTTCTGAAAAGAATTTGTAATGCGATTTCTACTACGTAGTACGAAGATACTTTTGCAATGCATAGGAACGACCCGAGCAGCGTGCCGGATCGCGATCTCATCCCCTAGGCCGGGAGCCAGCAGATGCAGCTACAGACGCACCGGTGAACAAGAGGACGGCCGAGCCCTCCACCATCGTCCAGGACGTAGATGCGGCAGCACAACAGGAGGATCACCATGATTGGCACCCCCAGCCATGCTGGTATGTGCAGGTCGTCTCTGGAGCAGATGAAGAGACGAGCGGCCGTGAGGAGACCTCGCCGCGGGGCGGCGCGGGGAGAGAGGGAGAAGAAGGGCAGCACAGTTATCATGACCCTCGAGCCATGGTGGCTTCCGCTTCCTCTGGCACCGGCGCGATCGACGGTTCCGGCAGTGCAAATCCGGACGCGGGCCACGACAGCACGACAAGTCTTGAAGACCGGATTTACAGCGTTTCTGACCTGTTCTTGCAGTTTTGGAAGCGGTATTCCGAAACGATAAACGAAACCGGGCTGCTGGTGTGCGCGGAGCAACCAAGTGTAGAAGTAGCTGCAGGAGAAAGACCTGACTATGATCCGCTTTATTCGGTGGAACACAGCAGAAAGACCGCTGTTGTGCAGACAGAACGCATGTCTTCGGCTACCTGGCTATCCCAGGAAGAAAAATGTACTGCACTTTGATGTATCTGTACTATTAATTTGAATTGCGCGTGTGTGCGGCTGCTCGGAGCATCTGTGTGATATGCAGACACAGAGTCGTGTACTTTTACAAGAGAACGATTGAAACTGCTAGTGCTGCGCGACTCACTTGCCATTGATGAGACATCGATTGATACACTACATTTTGTTATCGCGTACTGCCAAGGCAGGACCACAAGGTTTTTTTGGTCAACACGTTGTAGGACGAATTTGTCAACTTCTGTCAGCTGCCCAAGATCCTCGATGGCTGAACCATTTTTTTTCGACCAGGATGCTGACACGCTTTGCTGAGTCTGCTTGAGGCACTGGGGGGTGGTTGTGGAACACGTCGCGTTGTATCGCCTGCATGTTCGTCGCCTGTAAGCGCGCAAGAACGGCGACTTCTACGCCAGCACGCTGCTTGGAAGACGCTGCAGAGCGAGGTGGGTCTGCGTGCGATGGCTGAGGATTTGGGCTTCTACGATGGTGTCGAAGGCGTGCAAGCGTTTCTCAAAACGGTCCTGGCTGTGGGCGGAGCTGATGCTGAATTTATTCCTGTAGAGCGAGAAGTAACTACAAGCGCCGAAGGTGAAGGGGAGCTGCAAGCACTAGAGCAAGAACCTGCAGCAGGACTACGAGAAGATGAAGTAGATGAGTCTACTATTGGAGCCCGCCATTGCTTTCGTATATTACCGTCGCCGAACGGAGTCGAGGACTTCGGTACCCATAAAATAGACGCGTTGGCGGGAGGACGGCGCAACCTATGTGGACTTGGAGTAGATCTTGCGGTCGTTGCGGATGAAGATGAAGCCAAAGGAGAGCGGTCAAGATCCGCACAGAACTGTACGAAGAACAACTCCTTGACGTCGTCTCCCCCGCTAGAATTCTTTTTGTCGGCGATGGTCGACGAGGATGAGGATCCCATCGACCACTCCCTGGCGTTGTCGAAGACCAACGTGACCACGACGAGCTTTCACCTGTCTCCGGCTATTGAAGAAGCAAAGCGGTTGAAGCCGTGCCTCGAGGATCTACGGCCAGAAGTGCACGACAACCATATCAAAATGAAAAATCTACCCTCGTCCCCGCGCACACTCAAAGTGGTGGAATTTTTGTAGCGCGATTTGTGATCACAAATCGAAGTGGCAGGCTGGAAGGAAAGGGATGCGGACTGTAGTGCCCCTGTCTCGCACTGCATTTTCCCGAGCATCATGATTCATGATGCTCGGGAAAATGCAGTGCGTAGTTCTTGTCATAGTATGACAAGAACTACGCACTGCATTTTCCCGAACTGGCGCACGACGAATTAGCTGAACGCTAGGCCGCGCATCATGATCTGCAGTCTCTTTGATGCGGCCCCGTAATTTGAAACTACAGGCACATTTTTGTACACCTACACAAATCGCGGATCCATCCGCATCAGATGAAGTCTGCTTTTGAATATGAGAAGGTGGGGGTTTGTTATTTCTTTGCAATAACAACAAGTCACACTCACAGTGAAGATCGTGATCGAGCGCATCAGCAGGTGCAACCGCAACGACGTCCATCTTTGGTGTGCGATGCTTCTTTTATCAGGTCGGGCGAAGGCACTACATGTCTTTATCAGGAGCAACCTGTTTCGGCGGAGGTCGTCTTGGACGACGATGATAAACCCTGTCGTGCTCCAGGCGCTGCAACAAGAACTTCCACAACCACGGGAGAAGCCCCCTTAGGTCGTCTTACCAGCCCCAGGAAGAGCCCGGAGGCGGGGGACCAGGACCAGGACCCAGCAGACCATGTTGTGGCTGCAGCCCCGTCCCTGTTCAGCGTTCCCAGTAACGACCTGAGCACTGTGCGACACGAAGACTCGGCGAATTCGTTTGCGACGGAAGAAGTGCTCGAGCGCCTGGAGCACGCAACGCAGCGTGGTACGCTGCAGGAGGAGGTACTAGAAGCACGAGAGGCCGGAACCGCTGGACCCCTGCGGGCGACGGCGCGACCAACAGACGCAACGCTCTCGCTGATGAGCAAGAAGGCAGAGCACGGCGGCATGAATTCTACTTCCACGCAACTACATAATTTTTCACCTGAGCAAGATCTTCTAGCGCAGACCGACATCGGGGAAGATCCGGCCGAGGATTTTTCTGGCCACTCGCACTATCCTGTGCAAAAGTATCGTACTCGAACTAAGTAATGGCTTTTATGCATTACAAATCTATTTCTTAAGGCAAATCCGCATTACAGATTCAATTTGTAATTCTAAGCCAATTTGTAATGCATTGCAGCAATTTATGGATAAAATAGAACTATAGAATTTTTACTCGGATTTTTCGCCCTTATAGATTATAGGGGCGCCCTTAGAAAATGAATTCTAGAAAAAAGGGCATCTAGAAACTTCCCTTAAGGGAGCCCTTAAGGGAAATTTCTAGGAGGACACGCGTAAGAAAAAAAATGGCATCGCGGGGAACAAACATCCTGCAGGTGTGTCCTCCACGCGTGCGGCCCGGCCGGTTTTTAGCAGGTTTATTCTGGCTGCCCCCAAACACCGGCCCCGTTTGGGGGGGTAGGGGGGGCGATGAAGCTCGGCATGCAAAATGAAAAGGGCGGCCCTTCCCGCATCTGGGGAGATATCTGGGGAGATATCTGGGGAGATATCTGGGGAGATATCTGGGGAGATATCTGGGGAGATATCTGGGGAGATATCTGGGGGGATATCTGGGGAGATATCTGGGGGGATATCTGGGGAGATATCTGGGGGGATATCTGGGGAGATGTCTGGGGAGATGTCTGGGGAGATGTCTGGGGAGATGTCTGGGGAGATGTCTGGGGAGATGTCTGGGGAGATATCTGGGGCCGGGGATATATCTGCGGAGAGGCCTTTTCTAGAGATCAGGGCAGGAAGCCCAAAAGCGGGGGATCGGGCCAAGGCCAAGGCCGGCGGCCGGGTCGGGCGGGGGCGAGCTAGTAAGTTCGGAAGAAGCCCCGGAAGCGAAGGCGCGCGCGTCCACTAATCTGGGCCGCTACTAGTGAAGGGCTTCAGTAGCAAGTGCGGGCCCGTTTTGTCATGCTAAAACCGCGGCCCGAAGGGCTTCGAATAGTGGCCGCGTTTTCGCTAGCAGATTCCCAAGAGCAGGACTCTTTCGACTAGTCTTCAGCCCAACGCTCTCCAAGTTTTTTCCTCTTTGTTGTTAGTTTGCTTGGTAGTTGCGTTTAGATTTACTAGGCCACCTATCGCCGGCGTCCTGGACGCCGGCGTAGTGGTCTAGTACTAGTACGATATTTTTGCAGTTCATACGCACGCATCGACATCGAAAGATTCTTACTCATCAAACTCCAAAACCTCCTCCTCCTCCTCGAAAGAGTCGGCATCTGTGGAGACATTTCAGCCCCGGTGGCAGATGAAAACGATAACGAACCCCGAGCCGGCGGGGGCAAGAACGGCAAATCTAACATTCAGCTCGAAAGAGCCTTGCACAGCACCCTCGATGTCAACATTACCACCAGCATCCGCGACAGGAACGTGGCTGAAGACAGAACGAGCCGAGCTGATAGAAGCGCCGTTTGTTCACGATCCACTCCAGCACGGTTGCCCGATGAAAGTAGCACAGCCAGCGCTGTCCGTCGACGTGACCAGCACGGGTAAGAAGCCACCGCAGTACCTAGCTGGACGTCCGACGTCGAGCCCTGATGTGCAGAAAGTCGCGGCGCCGCCAGCTGTAGTTGACCCGCACAGCAGCGGCATCGTGGACGAGGATGAGGTAGACCACCAAGATGCGGATCTACGATTTCATACCCATGCCAACAAGAAAGATTTTTCGCACTCGGCGGGGGAAGAAAAAAATCATGTTCCGGAGTATCGCCCGCCCCCGCGACTGGCATGGTCCACGTTGCGCCGCGCAGAGACGGAAGAGGTCCAGCAACGGGGGCAGGGTAATGAAAAAAATCTCGATCATGCAGTAGGACAAGGACCAGGGGGAGTAGTTGTAAGACCACATGGACATGCACATATGCCGGCAGATGTCGAGCAGGGAAAAATGATCCATAGAGAAGCACCCCCCACCTCCACCCCTGGTGCAACTCTGGAAGACGGCGCGGGTATTGGAAATCAAGACGAGACTCGCTGTACTGCACGCAGACCGGACAGCACAAGTGCAAGTGCTGGGGAAACCGAAACAACCAAGCTCCACGATGTTGGCTCCGCGAGGTTTGGGAGGGGAGCGGCAGCTTCAAAAGTAGTGGAACAAAGTGAAGTTGAAGAAAAAGAAGATGAACTTCCACCCCCGCAGCTCGAAGACTTGGAGCCGTGTATTAAACGTCTGCGCTCTGCGCGCAGACTGGTTCCCACGGCGGAGGCGGCCGTGCAGAACATCGGCGCTGGATTGGCCGACGAAAAAAACGGGAATTTCAGCGAGAAAAGGAACACTTGCGCGGGCGCTTCTATGATGTGCTACCCAAATTCCTTTCACAGCCAGCGCATGAAATCATCGTCACCTTCGCGACGCACCGAAGAGGTCACCACCAGAAGGGGCCACACTCCAGCCATTCCATTATCTTCCAGCAAAGATGAAAAGATGGATGAAAGACTCCTTCTTAGATTCGCGTCGGAACAAACTGGGACGAGGTGGCGCTGTTCAAGGGCAATGGACATTGATATGGAACTGCTCTCAAGCGGTACATTCCCAACCGTTTTACTTATACATCATTTATGATTTATCAGAATGTTGCAGACTCACTAGCATGCTTCACACGATCTATCAAGTTCCTTCGCATGTTCGAAAGAGGTTCATCTCGACGCGCTAAATAGCAGCGGAATCCGCGCCAAATCTGTACTGCAGCCAGGACGCGCAAGGTGGTCGTCGTCTCTTATTTCACTTTTGCTTATTCGACGTGCATGACAAATTCATGTAAGAACAGCCGAGAGTGCATTAACACTTGAGAGCGCCATAATTGACGGCGTGCCCGGTTGTGGAGACGAAGCAGCACCATCATGGAGAGCAGTGGTGGCTGGCGATGAGCTCGAGCCGCATCCAAACCCGCAGTCCACGCCGGTGGAGGTTGTCGGACTGCAGGATGACGATCTTTTCTCGTCGTATCAATCACGCGAAGGGCACGATGAGCAGGAGCATGATATTATATGAATTGCAAAAGGAATTCTAATTGCAGGATCTTCGTACTCGTAGTATTCGTCGCAATGATGCATGACAGATATCTGTCTTGAGTCTTTCCAGCATGACAAACCCCATTTCTGTTCTTGAAAGATTTGCAATGCAATTTCTACTAGTACGATCTTCACGATGCTTTTGCAAGGGATACATCACCATGGACGACAATTCTGCCATCCTCGCGACGTCCTCTGTAAATTACGCGGTGGAGTCGGAGTGCATCGCTTCTCAGCAGCAGCTATGCATGGCAAATATGTGGCTGTGGTCTGGGTCTATTGGATTTGTAGTGCGAAATCGAAAAGAAAACAATCTCGCTGCTGGATGCCAGTTTGTCATGTTAAACGCGAATGAGTCCGCACCGCAGGAAGTAGCTGAGGAAAATGACTTCGGATGCAGTAGCAGTTATTTGAAGGCCGTACGCGTATACGTAGCGAGAATCCCTGCAGTGCAACTATCAGCAGCACAAGTTTCCACCAGACCATTAGAGTCAGAAATATTTGCATTTGATAGCAGCACCAGAGCATTATCTCTTCTCCGGGTCTTGCTTCAGTTGTTTCCGCGGAGGCGGTGCGAAAAGGTGACGGGATCGCTTTTGGGCGAACGCAAGGAGTAGATGACGGAGTTGCAGCCGCGGACGAGCTCCCGCCTGACGATAGCAGCTGCTGTCGCGTTGTTGAAACTGCCCGAGTCGAAGCAGACACTTCGAGAAATCGGCCTCCCCGCTCTGTAATATTATCCGCCCTACCGCCACCAGTAGCGCTGCAAGATGAAGAACCGCATCGGAGGTCCCGACTAATCCACTGTCGGACGGATCCTAGGAGCACGAGTATGGAATTGTTTTTCAAGCGTTCCATTGATCGCTGTGTACGTGATTGCCTCGGGATCCTTTTGCAAGAACAACAAATTATCGGGGCGGCTTGTTCTCGTCATGCAGAATGATCTGATATTAGGCACTTTCACTTATTTGCATTACAAACCAAAGGAAAATCACGTCGCAGCGATCATTGTATGTAAGAACGTTTGACAACGCCATAGCGAATGGCTTCTCCGTCGTGGGCGGGGACGAGCGTTCCGCCGGAAGTCCAGATGTGTTGATGTTGTCCTCTGGTCACTTACAACAAGGACTACCGCAACCGCCGGGACAACGAGCAGCACGACAGGTAGTTTCTCACATCACCTCCAGCACGGTGGGACCTACTGCAGGGCAAGAGCCGGCAGGAGCTGCAGTGTCAGATGCTTCGTCAATGGACCACGCAGTCCCGGCACCACGAGTTCTAGAAAACACGTACACTGCGAGTGCTACTTCCGGCTTGATTCAGGACGCGCCACCTGTTGGTCAAACAAGTTCAAGTGGTGGCCCGGATTCCTTGGTCCCATCGAAATTCCCCTCCACGTTGGGCCGACCACGCCCCCCTCGCGCAAGAACCACCACCAAGCTGGATCTCCTGTTGTTTTCCGATATTACAGTGAAAAATGCCCCCACCCCCAAAGTTGCAATGATTTGTGATGCGAAGTGTCCAAATGGAGATGAAAACTTTCTGTCATGCAAGAAAGGAGGATAAATCTTTCCGATGCACAGTCTAGGCGTATGTAGCATTGCTTGCATGGCAAGCGTCGCTCTGACTGGGATCTTTTGCAATACAGATCTTTTGCTAGTCACGAGTGAAAATCTGTGATGCTGATAGATGCAAGAGGGCGAGTGTTTCACTTGGAAAGGTTTGCAATGCAAATGCTCCCAAGCTGTTCTGGGGTGGGGGCATTTTTCCTTGCAATACCCAAGCAATCAAGTTCGGAGCTGGATTTTCTCCTGGGTTCCAAACTTTTTGCAGGGACAACTCAGCGCAGTTCTTCCCCTCCTCGTCACACACCGAACTTTTTTGACTTTGGAAGCACCAGCAGCAGCACAGCCGGAAGGTTTCTTAACCATCGCACCACCAGGCTGAAAGACGAGGTTGAGCGGGTTGAGAGCGTTTCCGACTTTTTGGCGGATCTTCGCACAGAGGAGCGGCAATTTCGCGAAGGCTCGAGACATTACGGAAGCGAAGACGGAACCGTTGCGGAAGGTAGCTGCGGGGGAGCACAAAAAGAACAAATGATCCGGTACGAAGTAGCAAAAAGCGTTGACGTAAGCCGCAAAGAGACCACTGGTGGTCTCGTAGAAGATGTATCCAATTGCATGGAAGGAGATGAGCTACTATCCCGCAAACCCTCTGCCCTGACCGACTTGATGGAGTGCCTGGAAAGGGAGGGAGCGGGGTTGTATGTAGAAGGGAAAATAGATTTTGGCCAACATCATAATAGTGGTGTAATTCAGCAGGCTTCCGCTACTGTTGACTCCGCGCTAACAGCTGAAACACAGGAGGTGGAACAGCCGCTGGAAGAAGTAACTGTGCGACCAAGCGCCGAGGAAAAGGATGAAGCAGGAGCAGCGCCAGAAAATATGATGAAACACTGGAACCGCTCGAGGACAGCAGATCCTGCGCAGGGAGATGAACGAGTGGACGAACCGCGAACGAAGCTCGGGGTGGAAGCAAAATACGCAGCGGGCAGCAGCAGAAGCGCAGAACACTTGCCAGGTAGAAGTTCACCACGAGAGGTCGCTTTATCTGACGGAGATGGTAATGGTAATGCTATGGCTATAAATCCCTTCGTGGACGACGACCCTCTTCTTCAATTTCCGTCAGCCACTAGAACGGCACCTCCCTCGTCGACACGAGAAATTTACTACGATCCTGGCTGCAGCGAGGGACGAGAACAAGCTATACAGTCCTCGTGTGCAGCTGTTCATGCTCATACTCATCCACTCGCGGCCCCATCGATGAACCCACACGCAATTGCCGCGGGATCGAGTATCGCAGAAAGCAGCTCCAAGACGGAGCCGACAGCCCAAGCAGGAGCGTTAAGGAGCAGCACTTTACGAGGTTGTGAAGCCGCACGGAAACCACGCACATTCCCTTCCAAAATGAGGCCCCTTCAAGAAGTACGGGTGAACAAGCAAGCTCCTCTACGGCTGTCCCTCCCACCGGTATAGAATTCTCAAACGTTACATTCTCAACTGTTGCGTGAATTTGTAATGCAAGAACCACAACGACAACGATCGAAGGGGCAAGCTTGCTGCTTTCGCATCAAAGATTTGGTACAGATTTGCATGCTGGTCAGCCCTTCGGAGATTTGTCATACGAAGCAGCTTGATGACCATCTGGCGGCTTAAGGTGGTTTTGCATGACAAAACCATGCAACACTTGAGAATGTAACAGTTGAGAACACCATAACCGGAGTCGTCTTGTTCTGAGGACGATAGTGGAGACCATGATGGCGCAGGGTGCGCACCTCCGTGCACAGGACGACCTTCTTGGCCCGGTAGCCCGCCCGACGCAAATTTCGCCACGGGTGGACACGACAGCTGCGCAATCAATACGCCTCGTCGCACAGCGGCGTGCTCGTTTTCGTCCAAGGACGAGCATCAGCGTGGCACTTTGCCTAGCAGCTGCGAGCAAGCAACCATAACCAACCTTCCGAGCACCTTGTTGTACAGCTCGATGGCGAATGATGTCAAGGTCACTTTCAATATCGATCCTTCGCGGCTCCTCGGGGTGGAAGCGGGCGACAAAACCAGTCAAGACGCTTTTGTTGATGCCCCTTCTGCTAGGGGACAATACGCGAAGTTTCGAAAGGGCTCGGCGTCTGTTCCGGAACGGCTCGTATCTCGATCTCCTGGGCCGAAAAGGCTGATCACGATTCTGGACGACCGATTGCAGGTCCCCTTGGCGGTTGCCGCGGCGCAGCAGCGCGCAGCACTGTATCGCGAAAAGAGCCAGGAACACGAGAGGGAGAGGAAGCTCGAAGTGGAGAAGAAGAAGCGGGAACTGTTCGACAAAAGGGACGTGAGATATGGCGTTCTCAAATGTTACTCAACTGTTACATGATTTGTAATGCAAGAATGGCAAAAGTGAAATGAAGGGCCTTGCGCGTCTTGCATGACAGATCTGTGTGTGAAAACCTTTGACCTTTGCCCTTTGCCATTCTTGCATCACAAATTGGGGATGCGCATTACAAGTCTTCCTGTCTTTGCAAATCTGCATTACAACTCTTGGGATATTGAATCTCTAATGCTAGAAATCGCTAATAGAAAGGGTCGTAAAAAGATCAAAGGGTCGTAAAAGATATGGCAAAAAATCGGTCGTCGTTTTTCGTTCACAAGTCGGTACATGATGTAGATGCATTCTAATGACCCTCTTCTGCGACGCGTATTTTTCGTCATTGCCTGCGACTGGCTGTAAGTTGTGTATCAGGTTGTTGTATGGAAAAGCAGGCAGGAAACAATGAAAAAGAACAGGACGCGAGCGCCTCCTCGTTGAAGAGGAGGCGCATCCTTGAAGATGATTCCATTACCAAATAAAATAGCAGCTTTCTTTTTTTTTGTTCTTTTGTTCTTTAAGGGTTTAGGTCTGAGGATTTTGAACAAGCGAGGACAAGCTCTTCCTGGCCTTTTTCAGCAACCAGCGCGCAAGACACCAGATAGGAGCACGACAAATCTAGTTGCCCTGGGTCGAGCACGCACTCTCTTTGTAGGGTGTGTGTTGCTGATCTCGTTTTTACATGATGGACACTATACACAGGGGAGAAACAGATTGTTCTCTGGGCCATTGCGTCAGTGGATCGTGGGAGACTTGTTGCAGTTTTCAAAGAAAAACGACTCTGCTGCTAGTCAAGCATGAGAAGCCAGAAACAATGCGCTTCAGTTTCTATTTTGATAGGTATGTAATACAGGTGGGGGGAGGTCGCAATCTGTTTCAAACCTGCCTTGTATGAAAAATAGACCCAGGGTAAAAAGATAGTAGTATCAAATGAAAAGCAGTAACTGCACAAAGTTACTGCTTTTTTCCATAAGTATAGGCCGGCCAAGGTGCAGCAGCAAGTGGACGGGAAAAAGGTGGTGAAGTGAGTATGCTCTGCACTTGCCGGGAAGACCGCCGAGACGCTTTGTATGAGAAGCTTTTTGTCATGAGTTGCTTAAGTGCAACGGCTTCGCGTCGAGGCACATGGCTTCAGTTTTATATGTACGGCTTGGGCATCAACCCCGGGAGGATCATTTTGTATGGTAGAGGAATCGGTCTAAGGAAAGGGAGCTTGTTGTTGGAGGTGTGATCATCAAGTGTTTGGCAAGTAGATTCAGAACAAGACAGACCTTGCGTTCCCTTCATCCAGTGAGGCCTGACCAGGAAGGGGAGCGCGCGGGGCCCGGACAGGGCGCGGGAGGTGCTGCGCCTCTGGTCTGAATCTGCTTGGCACACTGTGATACCTTGCACTTTTATCCGCGTACCAGCCTAATTCTTATCCCCCTAGCTGGCGCATCCAACAATGAGATCCTGAGCAGAATCATTTTGCGAATGAGTAAGATTTTTTTTCTAGTAGTCAGGAAAGTGGACCACTGTCCATCTCAGATCCAATCCTCCCTTGGCAAAAAAAAAAAAAAAAAAGTCTTGCGTGACAGATCTGGCACAGATTATCAGCCTGCTTGGCCGTCTGAGAATTTGTCATGCGAAGCAGCTTGATGGCGTTGATAGTCAAGGCAAATTTGCATGACAAATCCTGTAACAGTTGAGAGTGTAACNGGCCGTCTGAGAATTTGTCATGCGAAGCAGCTTGATGGCGTTGATAGTCAAGGCAAATTTGCATGACAAATCCTGTAACAGTTGAGAGTGTAACGTTTGAGAACCCCATATGAGAATTCAGAATTTCATCGTGGCTCAACGAGCAAGGAAAATAGAAAAACCAAATGCTTCGCGGAATTAGCTTCTTGCACATGCACTTGTATACATTCGCTTGATGTGCAAATAATAGACTATGAATCATGGAATTTTGCATGCACAGTTCCAATGTTGTCAAAATCCTTGATTAAAACACTTTTGCTCCTTCTGTGACAGACGCAGAATCCTTGGCCTTTCTGTGTAGAATGTGGGGCTCTCTGGCCTTGATAACCACTCGAAGGCACTTACATAGAATTCAAATGCATGATGCCCGTATCGCTAAATATGATCGTGTCAAAGCCAAAAAAGCAAAAAGCTTCCAGTTCCATCGATATCGAATCAGGTAGTTCATTACTTCTCGATATATTAATTCTTGCGTTGTAGAAGCAGTGTAGCTAATGTTGAGCATGGAGCCCGTCACTGATGTAGTCGTAATTGTGCCGCAGGTCGGGTGACATCATGGACGAAGTGAGTGGCGTCCTCGTGTCCATTGAAAAAAAGCCACAGGCGTGTGTCACTGCAGCTTGTAGTAGACGTACAGCATCATCATTAAGAGGCAGAAGAGCTACACAATCCTCGCCATGTCAACCGCAACAAAAGACTATGAAGGCAAAAGACGTCAATTCCAGATCATCTCCGAGCGCAAGAGTTTCAAAAGTGGTGTTGGTTAATCTATAATATAATAATAGTGGCAAAGGTTTTTTCACTCCTAAGGGAGCCCCTAAGGAAGCTTCCTTACGGAAGTTGTCCCTTAAGAGGGCTTGCGAAGGAAAAGCCTTAAGCAAAATTATCTTAAGGCGTCTTCGCTTAAGAAGGTACGCCTTAAGGCGGGCTCGCTTAAGGCGTTCTCGCTTAAGGGAGCTGCTAAGGAGCTCCTTAGGAAGCTCCTAAGGAGCCCTTAGG